AAAGGCACTACAGCAGAAGCAATGGAAGATCCTGGCTAAACCTTTACTCAAATATCGAAGAAAAATACAATCGCTTACGCTGTGACGAGAATGTATTTTTTTTTTTTTCAGATCTAAAAGTAGTTATCTTCCAGAAATGTATTTCGGTTGGCACAAATAACATACTTGCACACTGTTGTTAATTTTTTGAAACTCACACTTAAAGTTTGCTAGTTTATTGATTTTGTAGAAAAGATCCTTTTGAACACATGGTCCAATGTGGCCTTCGACTGTTCAGACTCGATCAATTTATAGAAATGAATGGCTTTACTCAGCTAAAAAAAAACACCTTAAGAGAATAGGGGCAAAAAAGGAATGGAGAGAAGAGCGTTGATCTAATGGTGTGTCTGGGCGTGAATTTGTAACCAGAGAAGAAATAGATTGTTTGTGGTAGCATGTTACATAGAGGTGATTTGGGATAGAAGCAAATGTATAGAGGTCCATCTGGTACTCCAATAAATTACAAAGCGAATGTTTTTGAGTATTGTTGTGAGAAAAACAACTTACGAATTTCTGAAAGGCAAAGAGCTTGGTCAAGGACACTTTTGCGTTCTCTAAAGCCACCTTGGGCAGTGTCTAAGGACGATACTTGGCCTTGGAGAAGTGCTTTGATGCATTTTTCGATTGTCTTTTCCGGAGATAGTAGTCAGACTAATTAGTCAGTAGCTGACTGGGTCAGTCGAGTTGCCCTTCTCATGAATTGGGACTATTTGTACGGCTCGTCAATAATGAGGCGTGTATGGTCAACACCAGCACAGATCAAAAATACGAAAAATTAAGGGACCACTATAATTTTCGATATGTCTACAGGAAGCAGAGGTAGAGCTATAAAAGATCGCGGCAATAGCCGTAGATGTCAGAAACTTCTCATGAATGCAAGAAAATACATATGTATTTTCAAACTCCGTTAACATTCATACCGACTTACAAGTATGCCACTTATGTACTTAAAAAAACAAAAACCACTATAAAACAAAACAAGAATATTTTTTGTAATGACAAAAAATAAAAAAGCAGAAGATTTCATATTTTCTGCTTAAAATTAGAAAAAAAGCCAACTTTTCAATTTTTCTGCCTTAAATAAATAAACGAGTCTACCGGATGATGGATTTACTGTTTTAGTTTAAAAGAAGAGATCAATGATCGGTAGACTTGTTTTTTATTTTAAAGCAGAAAAATTGAAAAACAAGCTTTTTTCAAAATTTCAAGCAGAAAATATGAAATCTTTTACTTTTTTATTTTTTTGTCATTGCAGAAAATATTTTTGATTTATTTTACAATAGTGGTTTTAATTCTAAAATAGCGGTTCTTATTGCTTTTCAAAAAATATTTTTTTGAGTACGCAAATGGCATACTTGTAATTTCGGCATAAATGTCAATATTTTTATGATTTCTGAAAATGCCTTTTTTTTTTTTTTTTTTTTTTTTTTTTTTTTTTTATATATATATAGGTAAGTCCATCACACTGACCACGAAGGCCTGAGATATACAAGTTCTTTTATAATTTTCTCCATCGCTCTAGTTACTTTTTTGTAGAGTTGTCATTACAGCGTAAGCGACGGAAAGATCTCCCATTGCATGCAGAAATCTTCCATGGAAGAAAAATGCAATCACTGATGCTGTGATGTATGGTGGCTATGGTTGCTATTGGTACTACGGTTGCTATGGCTGTCGTAATCATTCTGCTGCAACAGGAAACTTGGTCAAAAATTGATGGTTAAAAGTATTCAAGACAGAGCTCAAATTGTTGGAATTGTCGTTTGGGAAGTAAAGACGCCATAGTGGCCAAAAATTCTCTGAAATTGTGATATCAGAAAATATTATATTAAATGAAGTAAATATTTTAATAGCATTATACAGAGTCTATAAATTTAGAAATATTATCTGATATCATAAAAGTTATATAAATCCATAGATTGGGTTTTATGAATTCATATAATGGTTATAATATCAGAAACATGTATATTATCTCAGATAAAATATGTTATTTTATAAATAGCTATCTAAAAGCATATATCATCTATAATATTAGAAAACTTGTGTAAATTTAAATAAGCTATATCTGTTTTTAATATAATATTATATGGCATCGCATAAATCATTTCTTGTATTATAAAACTATATCTGTGGGGTAGAAGTTACTATTTTATATAAGATAGTTCTTGGCCACTGTGCTACTTGACACATATCAGTTTAATATAATTCGTTATAGATTGCATCCGCCTCTTGAGTGCCTTTCAATAAAAGATCTTCAAAAAAATACTATTTCTTGATAATCTTTTTTGATTCTGATAATAATTTTTTGATTTTGACAATAATTTTGTATAAGCTTATTACGTTCATGAAATTCCTGATATTCACAGGAAAAAAGAACGTTGGGGTTGAAACACAGAACCATCTTTCTACAGGAAATCTATCATTAGTTATGCTCTTGTGATAATTAAAGTAATCACTTATACAAAAAAAACATCGTTAGATATGCTCAAAGTTGCTCTCCTTAGTCTCAGAAGGGCTATGTATTATACTAAGTATTACTCGTGCGTAATTTGCGCATCTGATGGTCTATAGATGATCACCCGCTTACTAAGCAATATTCATTGAAATGGGCCTCTTTTGTACTGATTATAGTGTACAATGAGCTCTAAATGCAGATTTGAAGGCAATGCTCAAATAAACTCGCCACTTTTATCTTAGTGGACTCGTTTTTTTTTTTTTTTTTTTTTTTTTTTTTTTTTTTTTTTGCAAGAAGTACCTAGACATAGCTTCACCTCATTTCGGTTGGATCAGACCTACATTGGTTATTCCAAAAATTTCTCGATAAACTTTTTTTCATCCACGATCTCTCGTGATCCTCCATGGGTCAAAAAAATAAATTTCAACCAAGTGCCAAACCAATGGTACTATTCGATTCCTTGGCTCAAGAAAGCATGTTTTAAATGAAAAAGCAAATCATTCTGATAACCTAGTTGTCGAGAAATGGTGTATCGAAGATTAGCTTCTTTAAGCAGTGCTTTATGCATTTTTGCTCTGGTTGTCGTAAAAATGTGCTAGCAATTGGTCTTTCAAAAGTATTTCATGTTATTTTGGTTGCCAAAGAACATGAGAAAATAGAAACACAAGCATCTAATATTGTAAGTGTGGGAGTGAATAGACATAGGACATACAAGATGGCAGCGTGCGAAGATTGAAATAGGGAAACCCCAATCCTTCATCCCGCCGCTTTCTCAAATCGAGCTTTTGCTGGGAACTGCATAAAGATGCAGTTGTATGGCTTTGATACAGTAACAAAAGTTGTAGATCTTTGCTTTCTGAGCTGATTGATGTATAGAACGTAACAACTCTGCTGCTAACATGTTGAGTAAATAGGCAAAAACAATTTCGAGGTTTTTTCATTCATATCTCCTCATTTTTATAGCACAACTAGCAAACAAACACATTCACCAAAAACTACAGTCTCTGACGCGCATCTTGAGTATTTGAGCTTGTTGATAGCTCTGTTTTTTGTCTTGTAGCGTCCAAAAGAAGATTAAAGAGTTGTCAGGGTCAATATTTTCATGACTAGTACCCTTTAGATCAGAGGCCAAAATGGCCATTTTTTGCAAGTTGTTTTTTTTGGTCGAATCGATTCTCAAGGTACCATAGATGTTGGTAGATATAATTTATAGGCACTTGGAGCATTTATACGTATATAAGCAGGCTTTATGCTACCTTTATTTGTCCAAGAAAAAGAAGACGACATGTCTTTTTTCTCGTTGAAGCATCTATTTGCCTGGTGTCTCTGTTACCAGAACAAGTAATGTATTACTAAATTGTTTATGTAAATACAAATAGTTTATCAAAAAGACACTTGATTCCCCCCCCCTCCATAAATCAAAGAAACGCCGCATTTGCTTATGAAAAAAAAATGTCAAAGTGTTGAAAACTCACTTTCACTTCACGATGCATGATACATAAAAGATAGTCTTTAGAACATACATTCAATATGGTGTATACTACCCTGTATTCACAAATCCTAATTTAATTACTCAATTTTTCTATAGTAAAAGATACATCCAGCTTAAAAGGCATAATGCCATTTGTATGATTTACTAACATAGTATCTAGAGAAAAGCCTTTCTTTGGCTTTATCTATCTATACACCCATCCATTGGCTGTTTTACACCTGTCAAAAAGCTTCTTTCTAGTCTACTCCATTTTTGCGAATGCAAAAAAGAAAAGGGGCAATGAGTGCACGAAACAGCTCCACACAACTTCTTCTACCAACCTATACATAAATCCAGCTTTCTAGGTGTCATTCAATATCCAACAACCAACTTCATCATAGACATGATAACAAAGTAAAGGAAAAACCACACTTCTGTGCATCTTTCATCAAGAATAATTAGACAAGTCACCCAGCTTCGACCGATATAAGTATTTCTGGCATTTTTCCGATGAATTTTTTGTAGCCGCCATGGCATTAGAGCTGAATCCAGGTGTATGATTGGCCTTCTCTTACCTGGAAACAATTCTTAAGTAGATTAAGAACGTAATGCCCTTCTAGAGAGTCCTTTTTGGGTGCACTTTATAAATAAACCAGTATTATAGCTCCGAGAATGCTTCTCAAAAACGTCAAAAACGAACCTCAAAAATCTCTCAAGAACAAACAATCCATTGAAAGTTGGTATTAGTGAAAGTATTCGATATCATCATGCTATATCTAAAGATTTAAAGAAAGCAATATATTAGCCGTCTCAAAAAGTTGAGAAATTTATGATACTTTATCAAATCAAACACTTGGGGCATATCTCAGAACGTTATCAGAAATCTTTCTATCGAAAATATGTGTAGAAAAAGTGCCTTCGTCGCTGGTAAATCGTAATTTTCAAAAGCTCATGACTTTTGCCTTAGTATACCTTGAGGATTTCTTTCAATAAAAAATTTGAGTGCTAATATTTTACTATTTTTTTTCTTGTTCTGACATGCTCTTTTCGATCAATCATAATCGCAGTCGTTTATGGCATAAACAAATCGTGCGATCACACCTACGATGGCATCATGTTGCCTCAATCAAACCGATCAAGGGTACTATCAGTCTCCGTAAAGAAAACGATCTTCATACAGCTAGCTATTATTTTGAGAATGGTATCTATCTACCTAAAGTATATTTAACTGATAGTAAACAGGTCTTCGAAAAGTAAAGCCTTATTATTTCCATTTTCGTGCGTATGCTAAAGAACGTATGTTTAATTCAACTGTCTTACAAGTCTTTTTGAATGAATATCGAGGACGATCCGAACAATACTATGTATGTTAAACAAATATGCCTGGACACTTATCGTTCCTATAGCGATTTGCTATAGAGAAAGGGCTGATTACAGTCAATCATAAAAAGACAACACCTGATACACTCTTGAAAAGACAAGATTTGATAAGTCATGTAGTGCATCGACATGAACCACCTGTCACTGATCAGCCGATACGTATTATTTATGAAGACGATCAATTGCTGGTGATCAACAAGCCTGGCAGTATACAAGTCCATCCAAGTGGGAGATATAGGCATAATACAGTATTACATATCTTAAGAAAAGAATATGGTTACGATAGACTGTTTCGTAAGTACTTGTCATGAGTATCCCGCATTCATGTCAGCCTGTAGCCTCCAATCGCTTAGACAGAATTACATCTGGCTTGATGTTAATATGTAAGAACCCAGTCATGGCCAATGATATCGGGTTACAAATGAGATCAGGCGAGATCCAAAAAGAATACATTTGTCGAGTTTCTGGTGAATTTCCAAGGTAAGACTATGATGTTATAGCAAAACGCATGACCAGGTTTAGAGAACGCATTGTGTGCCGTGAACCGATCAAGACACTCTCTTACACAGTCTCATTAAACTATGTACATCCACAAGGCAAATCTTGTGCGACTATCTTTGAGCGAGTGAGTTACAATGGCCGCACCAGTCTTGTTCGATGTAAACCACTCAGTGGTAGAACACATCAAATCAGAGTGCATTTGCGCTATCTGGGTTATCCAATTGCGAATGATCCCATTTATAGCTATGCAACCGCATGGTCAGATCGAATGTTGTTATTGTCACCATTAAAAGAGACAGAGAGTATTCTAAATACTATGGTGAAGACAGCGCCTTATGATTATATGGACGATGACCCACTCAACAAGACAGGTTTGCCTCGCTGCGATGTCTGCCAAGTGCCTATTATCCAGACAGACCCACAGCCTACCCAATTGGCTCTGTGGTTGCATGCGTACAAATATTCAGGGAAACAATGGTCGTTTGAAACGCCTCATTTACCTGCATGGGCAAACGAATCATTTACGGACGATACTGTGATCATCCCTGCTACGTTTTAATTAAATTGATGATTTATTGTCTGACAGAATCTGTAACAAGACCTCCTCCTCCTCTTTCATTAGGGTTATCTTTTAAATCCATTTGATGCTCAACAGCTGTTGCAAGTGAATCAACATCATCATATATATTTGTCTTGACCGTTTGTGGAATAGGTTCAGTAGTTACAAGTGAACGAGGGTATCTAATGGTTTATTAGCTTTGGCTCATACTTTATGAGTGCTTACCCATTAAAAGTAGAAGAAGAGGGAGCGATACCCAGCATAGTCTCGGGCGTGATAGGCATGATGGGTCTGATGGGGAAGGGGAATATGTTTTCACGAAGGTTTTTGACAGCCTTTTTGTTGGTTGATGTTTGATTCTTGAGTCTCTTTTGAGCAGGTGAATCTGCAAAACGGACCTGCAGGGGTGCTGAAGATCCTGAGATAGAATGACCATTGAACTTCTCAATAATAGCACTTGCAGATGGACGATCAACCAATCTATAAATGATAAGCGTTTGTACTCATATTGTGTTCTTTTACCTAGCGAATCCTACACCTCGACTAAGCCCAGATTGTGGATCACGCAATATACGGTTTGATACTGTTTGATATGGTTTGAATAATTCTTCCAAAGCCTCTTCATCCATTGCTAAAGGTAGATTGGAAATATAGATATTAGTTGATGTTTCATCTTGAAGACTTCTTAATTTTGAGCTAAATGATTCCTATGGTCATGTAAGCCATGCATTCAACATACTCTATAGTTTTACCTGTCCAACTCGGGCTAAAGAAGCTTGGTAACCAGCAGCATTTAGACCTTGAATGGCCAATTGGCAATGCTCTTCATTTTCATACATGGCAAATCCATACCCTTTACATTCACCCGTCTTTTGGTCAATGATAGCTTTTGAAGAGCTAATTGGACCATATCTAAGAAAAATTTATTAAAAACGCGTTTTTCATTCGAGAATACTTACACTTTACACAACTCCAAAAAGGATTCATCTGTTTCTGTGGCAGGCAAGCCACGCACATAAATATTTTGAGGATGAAACTGAGTCAAATGAGCATATTCATCCATTTGTTCTTGTCTCTTCTTCAAGTCAAAGGTCAAAGGTTGAATAAATTGTTGAGGTGGTGAACCTGAGGCGTTGAGTACAGGAGAAGATATATGTAATGGAGGAAAAGGTTGTTGGTGAGGCAATACAAAAGCAGCATGTGTAGGAGGGCTTTGTTGAAGGTGATATTGTAAGGTGGGACTAAAAGGAGGACTGGAAGGGTGCATCTGAGGTGAAGAATAGTGAAGGTGTGGGTGGAGGACGGGGGATCCGGGGTAACTTCCATAACGTGCGTTCTCAGTAGCACCTGCTGTTGGTGCAGTGGAATAATATTGTACAGAGAATTGAGGACTTACAGGATACACATAGGCATAGGTTGCAGTATTAGGGTCGTTGGGGTCATAAATAACTTGAGGAGGAACATCCACAAAAGTAGCATAGGGTGGATATGTAGGTGAGTTAGGGGTCATGAATGCCTGTTGTTGTGGCTGTGTGGGTGGTAATTGATTTTTTCGCCCAGTATTGCCGTTAGCTCTTTCTTTTCTATCAGTCATAGTTTCAGGCAGAAGAAGAAAGAAAAAGAAAACTTAAAAACACTTTTTTTTTGCTTATATTGGCAAAAACGGTTTAAATCCCGTTAGCGAATCATAGTAGATGAAACAAACTTAAACAAGCTTTTGGTAATGCCAAAACAATCATTGAGACCCCCCTTTTTTTTCTGACTTGGTTTGAAAACAACAATACTATATACCTTTTTCTCCTGAACAAAATCACTCAACCTATTGAACAGTAATGCGTTAAAATTGATATTGACAGCTGTATTAAACTGACTTTTTGTATAGACAAGTTTCTTAAAGCCACGTCAAGTAATTTGAGTGGTTTACTGCAATCATTCTGATTGGCAACATAATGTTATTTAAATAAGCGGCATTATTAATCATACTCTTTTTTCTCTCTCTCTTTTTTTTTTATTGACAAGTCATTATGCACTCGTCAAAGTTATTATTGTATACGCTTGGCTTATCATTAGCCGTTTTGCCTACATTACAACAAGCAAAAGGACCTCAACATCCTTTACAAGAACCAGTACCTGTCAAATTTGTCGAAACTGTGCTGCAGAATAACGAACCAAAGGATTATTGCAACGTAAGTCGAGGTCTGTTGGTCTGTATTTACTTAATCTACTCTAGCCTCAAGGTCAAATTAGAGATACTTGTTGCGACTACCAAAGTATCGAAAGCATTCAGTCAGACGTCTTTAAAAAAGTACAAGAACTTGTTCATACGAAATTCTTTCGATATTATCGAGTAAATAACCATTCAACTCATCCTCAACGATTTCATTTAATGCTATTTATAGGCTGATCTTTGGAAAGAATGTCCTTTTTGGAATGAAGACGCTCTCTGCACCAACCGTGATTGTTCCGTAGCTACAACAGATGAAGTAAGAAAAAAATACCCTGATTTTTTTTTCTAAACTCCTTCTTTTTTTTTTTTAGAACGTTTTGCCCATTGATTGGAGAAAAGATGCATTGAGCAAAATTCAATTATCACCCAAAGGATCGGTAAGAGAAAAAAGAAATGTGCCCATGTGTAACTGACACAAGACAAAGCTGTTTCAACCATTTAAACAATGTTCTTATAAAGACCAAGACTTTTGTCTTGTAGACGATCGATTAGACTCTGATAGTAAGTATTGACACAAAGGCTTGTCACTCATGTATGACAGGCATTGTATATATTGATTTGGCCGAGAATCCTGAAAGATTTACGGGCTATGCTGGACCTTCTTCAGCTAGAGTCTGGAGAGCAATTTATGAAGAAAATTGTTTTGATATCGTACACCAAATGACTGAAGGCTGTGAGACATGCAACAACATTATGAACCTGGGACAAAAGACACCTAAACTATCTCCCAAATCGCCTGTGTCTCCTTTTGCTCATGTTCCTGGTAAAAAAGCTGAATTACAGCAGTTCCTGAACAATTTAGCTGAGGAAGCAGATGGTGGTCTTGAAAGCAATGCTGAAGTATGTTTAGAAAAGCGAGTCTATTATCGTCTGATTTCGGGTCTTCATTCTTCTATTTCTATTCATATCTGTGATGAATGGTTTAATAGAGAAACCGGTGTTTGGGTAAGAGGAAAATTGCAAATGCTTTATTCTTGACACATTTACTCTAGGGTCCTAACTTGGATTGCTTTGTTAACCGTATTGGTTCGCATCCTGAACGTCTTCAAAATGTCTATTTCACTTATGCTCTTCTTTTAAGAGCTGTCAAGAAGATTGGTCCTTACTTGGATAAATACGAATACCGTACAGGAAGTACAACAGAAGATGAAAAGACTCGTTGGATGGTACAAGACTTGATCAAGAGCACTGAGGCTTGCCCATCTACATTTGATGAAAAGTCCATGTTTAATGGTCCTGATGCTGTCTTGCTTAAGCAAGAATTCAGGGACCATTTTAGAAATGTGTCCAAGATTATGGACTGTGTTGGTTGTGAAAAATGCAGATTATGGGGCAAAATTCAGACTGTGGGTCTAGGCACTGCCTTAAAGGTGCTATTTTCTTATGAAGACAATTCACTCGAGTAAAGTATTTTTGTCATGTAGATCATTCAACTAACCCCTCATTTAGCCCTGTTCAAAACCCTGATCTTTTTGAAAGAGGTGAAATTGTTGCTCTCTTCAACACATTCAACCGACTTTCTGAAAGTGTTCAAGGTATCAAGACATTTAGACAGATGTACAAGGAAAAAATGACACCCAAGGTAACCTTGTTTTGTATGAATGGCTTTGTTCTAACTCGATTGTAGGAACAACACAAGATGATTCAGTATTTGAGACAGACTTTGATGAAACTCGTTAAACAACTCAGGAGTTGGCAAATACCCATTCCCTCTTTTATTGAAACTCTTGTTAAATAAACTTGATTAAACGAGGAAGAATTGAATCAATTCTTGCTAATCCTGATTCAGTAGGCCTAATGCCACCTTGAGACCATTCATGTAATAGTTCTTTTGGTATATAATGTTCCATATCTTTTGTCAGACTTGATTCATCTATTAGAAAACCTGCTTTAACAAACAAGGCGAGAGCCTCTTGGTCTAGAAACTGATTGAATTAGTTAAGTCACTAATAAAAAAAATAGGAAAATCATTTACATCATCTAGATTTTTTCCATTCGTCATAGACATAAATCTTGATCTTGGTATACCCATGCGTGTGCGCATACCAAATACAATAAGTTCCTAATATAGAAAATAAGAAGAAGTGGTGAAATAAGCAACATACCTCCATCATGTCTTGTGATGAAATAGGCTGACATTTACGAATGCCTTCACCCTCTGCTTCACACAAGGCCATGTATTTTTCGGGATGAAATTCCTGTAGAGACATATAAGCATATACATACCAAGCGTTTATCCCACTTACACCAAACGTACGAATACGTTGTTGATTGTCTGTCAATCTTCCATGTGCACCTGGACCTATACCTGACATGGATTGACGTCAAAATCAACTCAGACAACCACTCACCTAAAAAGTCCATGCCCTGCCAATAGGCAAAGTTATGCCTACTGATTGCCTTCTGAGTTCTTGCGTAACTCGATACTTCGTAATGTGCAAAGCCATGTTCTTGAGCCATATTGACAGTTTCTTCATACATGTCAGCTGCTTTATCTGAATTAGGCATAGTTGGGACAAGTCGCTTTAGTGTCTGTTTATGCAGACTAGATAGATTCATGAGTGTGTTTTATCGAACCAAGTCTTGTACATACGGTGTGCTTTTCTCAAGCGAAAGTTGATACATAGATAGATGATCACCAGCTATGTCCAGTGCTTGCTACACATAAGCGATAAATATTTGAATGAAACAACTCGTCAAGTTTACTTTTAATTCTTTTCTCCAAGCTAATAAAGTGAATATAATTTCAAACTAACTTGATGTACCTTCTAGTGTTTGTCCAGGCCGAGCATAAATCAAATCGAAGCTGACTCTTTCTTTAGTAAAGACATCTTTAGCCATCAACAATGCATCCAATGCTTCTTTTCCTGAATGATCTCGTCCCAATATCTTTAAATCGTTAGAGTCAAATGATTGAATGCCAAGTGATAAGCGGTTGATCCCCACATCTCGAAACGCCCTTAATTTCGTCATTTCGACAGACTATTGAAATAAATTAAATAAAGTAAAATTGAGATGAATTACCGTCGGATTAAACTCTGCAGTGATTTCCGTGTCATGACCAATATGAACGAATCGTTGAATTGTTTCTAAAAGCGTCGCCATGACAGAGGGCTGATCATGGTCAATTTTTGTCTTTTATCGTACGATACAATACCTTGGCTAAACCTAACAAAGCTATTGTATGAATAAAAGCGTATTTCATTAATACTTTACTTGGTGTTCCTCCCCCAAAATAAACAGAGTGAAGTCTTCGGTGTTGCAATTGGTATTTCGGTTGGTTCAAGTACCAGTTAAGTTCAGTGGCCATAGCTTTGGCAAGACGGTCATAAGGTGGGTCTTTTGGGTTGACATATTTATTGAAGTTACAATAAGTACATTTGCTATTGAAAATAAGAACAGACATTTACTAAGCAATATTTACCTTTGACAATAAGGCCAGTGAATATAGATAGAAAAAGAGGATTGATTTGTTCTTAATACATTAGATAATCGCATATTTCAAAGTAGAAAAAAAAATGATAATTTTTACGTGTGTGACAAGCGTCACTTTTTTTTTTTCTTTGTCTCTCTCCTTAAAAGTGATTTAATTGCAGAAAACAGTAAGGTGATTCTCAGAGTACGCGATTATCGGAGTTGCACCGTCATCCATTCGCATGAAGACTGTATGGTAACATTTTTTTTTTTAAAAAAAAAAGAGATCCTATCTTCTAAGCTTGTTTTCAGGGCAATTAGAACGTTTTCGAACGTGTGCAAATCAAATGATAGAATGACCCAAAGAAAAACCAATCATTCATTGTTCCAAGGATATTGAAAGCATGGTAGAAAAAGGAAAGTCCCTCAAACGAAGCTGCCATTCAGGGACTTGAGTTTGTGTCCAATGATACTCCTCTCATTGGCATTTGTCCCTATATAGCTGCTGTATTGGGCTACTGTCTGCTTCTGAAAGCCCATTTTGTTGGCTCTTTTGTATTACTTGCAAACTGAAAGGATATAAAAATTACTCTTTATGGTGAAAGCACGAGCAGGGCGATTCATTCAACTTTGTTTAGTGTATCATTACCTTATTTATTCACATGGAATAGATGTTTTATATGACAGTAAGACTAGATAAGCCTAAAGAGAGTATTTGATGTAATAAAAAAAATCCTTTAGAATGATCTATGATTTGATATGTACAAAAAACGAGAGAAAACAAGAAAATCTTGGTTGTCAAAAATCTATATTGACAAAGGAGTATAATGCGGTTGGTTAAGTCATAATATCGATAAATCAAATAGCTTTTAGGGTATCGAGAACTCAAATCGTTTGCTGTCCTCCTACTTACCATGATTTCTTGGCGCTAGGCTGTTGTTGATTCAACCAAGTCAATAAAAGCTGCCAATAAGTTTTTTTTTCTCTTTGAAACTGGAAATCATAATTACGAAGTGGACATGATCATTTTTGAGCATGCTTTTTGGAGAATGACAATCATCTTGCCCAAATTATCATTTATTTTTGGCTTAGCGACATTTTTTTTTTTTTTTTTTTTTTTTTTTTTTTTACAAAGTGACAATATCTACCAGCCGCACTGTATCAAAGAAAAAAAAAGGAGAAGACATAGAGGGGAAATAAATATAGATTTCTTTAGAAGATCAATGCCAGTACTGATCTACTTAAGGGATATATAAAACTAAAAAGGAATACTATTTAGCTTGTAATAAAAAAAAAATTGCTTGCATAGAGGGAATTAGAATATCTAATATTGAATCGTTACAGATTTCTTGAGAAGATCAATGCCAGTATTGACCTATACTACAGGTATAAGAAACTAAACAAGAATATCATTTAACTTACGTTCAAAAAAAAAAAAAGGGAACTTGTGCTTGCATAAAAGAGTTCAAAATAACATTGTAGGTTTCTTTAGAAGATCAATGCCAGTATTGATCTACATGAAGGATTTAAGAAACTAAACAGAAATACGATTTAGCTTACGTTCAGAAGAAGGGTCTTGTGCTTGCATAAAGGAATTTAAAATATCTAATGTTGGGTCATAATTGGTTTCTTCTGGTTGTTGCTGTGGCTGAATCACAGAAGAAGAAGAACTACCGATTGGGGTTCTTAAAGCAGGAATGGAACTAACAATATGATCAAATGTGTTGTAAAAGACATGTTCTGTTCCAAAGGGTGAAGTCATATTGAAAGACGGATTTATCAGCATGTCGCTATTGTTTTCATTGTTGAATGCCAATGATAATGGGTCACTAATCGTAAGGCTGTTGTGTCTAGACACTGCAGGCGATATCATTTCAGGTTGTATTTGAGCAGAAATGAAGTTGGAAGATGTAGAAGAGGTTGAAACAGATTGGACACTATCGTATCTTTGATGATAAAACTGCCTTTGTGCCATCGAGGGTTGTTCTGTCGTCAGGGGTTGAAGAGTATAAGATGAGCTTTGTGTTTCAGTTGTTGTGTTTTTCTTTCTCTTCTTGTTTACATTAGATTGAACAAGGGGAGGAGACAATAGCTGTTGAGGTGAATCCATGGGCGGTGAAGCATCTTCTCTGGATCGTTTCTTGCTAATATATTCTTGTTTAGGAGATGGTGTTTCATGAGAAGCCGGCTTCACTTTGGTTGTAAGTTTTTTTGAAGTTGATTTATGAAAGCTTACTTCTTCTTGCTGTTTAGGTGATGGACTTTTGCTTTTGCGTTCTTGTTTTTTGTTTCGTTTTCTAGAAAGGCTAGCTTGTCTCATCAACTGTTCGTTTTCTTTACGTAAAGTACGTAGTTGTTCTTGGTATTCTGATTCTCTTTCTTGAGCGTTTGAGACTACACAAAAGAGTGTTATTAACCATGCTTATGAAGATAGAGATAGGTTACCAAACTCAAGAGATTTGGCGACAATCATGCTCTTGCTGGGTCTTCGAATTTGTTGCAATGCAGGCAAGACATGAGCAAGTTCTTGAAACTTAGAATTAAGTCCTTCTCTTCTTTGTCTTTCGAGGGCGTTATGAGCAGTTCTTTTTTCAATGTATGCAATATCATCACTGTTATATTTAGCGTCTGTATGCATAGTAATTAACATACCTTTCGCTTATCTGTACGTTGGAAGAAAATGAGATACCAAAAGGGTAAGCTTGGGAAACAGATGAAGTAGGCATGTTGATTTGTTGTCTTTGTTGTTTGTTGTTTAATAGTTGATTTTCATTCAGTTTTTGTTCTTTTGGCATAACTAAAGAACAAACTAGGTCTTTTTTTTTTTATTGTTATTTCTCAAGAAAATAAAATGAAGGAGAGAAAAAAGGAAAAGAAAAAATTTAAAAAAAAAAATAAGGCCTTTTTTTTATTTATTTATTTCCAAAATACCGGAGGACATGAATTAAGGGTCGACCTATTGTAGACATTGAAAAGATAAAGTTAAAACATCAAGGATTTTCAAGACAAGGATCGATCGAATTCAATTTCACATAAGGTCAACTCATTTAAGGAAAAGGTACAGCCACTTATTTACGAAATAAAATCGACATTGATTGCACATTGATTCGATCTACATAACTTGTACTTTATTTCTACCCCCCAATTGAGTATTTCACATTTCTTCTTTTATTCTCTTTTTATTCCCCCCCCCCATAATGATCAAACTGTCATAAACTGACCTTATTGTGACACAATTGTGTAATTGTGTAGCAGCATGGCTCTATTTAGTAGAGAAATAGAACAATAATCAAACTAAGCAATGGATCCATATGTAGTTTAAATCCAATTTGGTTTATAGACAATGTCAATCAAGAACAAGGACAATTTAAAGTCTCTCTTTTGTTCAATTCATATAATCTTGTTCTAAATTGATGGCATTGTTGTTGTGTAATTCTTTGTTTATTAGGACTTGAACTTTAATAAAATAAAATTAACCTATAGCACTGAAAAGGAAATAAAGGAGAGGGCTCAGACACTTTTTCATTATGTTGGTTTCGATCGATCCCTACATGATTGCACAACACACATTTTTTTAAAAGTCAAAAATACATTGGCAGTTTACAAAATTGAAATACTAAATGCGAATGATACCATAACAATTAATCGCAATTATAAAATTAGACGATCGATAGTTAACCCAAAAAAAAAAAAAAATAAAGGGGAGAGAGAGAGAAAAAAAAAAGAATTGACTTGTGTGTGAAATACATTTCAAGTGCGCGGTAATAGTACGCTAACAAAAAAACGCGTTATGAAACACCTAGAATGATTACCATCTAAGGATAGTTGGTTTATTTAAATTAGACAAAAGGATGTTGCCAACAATGGAAAGTGGCTGGGATCTGGAAATGTATGATTCGAGGATTTCAAACTTTTACTCGATTTAGCTATTCATGCACTGACAGAATCAAACGTAAATACAATATATGTTTATTATCTATTATACCCACGTGGTAAATATTACTCCCCCCCCTTATTGTTATGTAAATGTCAATTGAATTGTCAATTTTCTTTTTATTTATACAAACAAACAAACACACACTGTATATATATATATATAATTAATTCTAATTGTTTTCTTCAGGCTTCATGGCAGGGAACAAGAGAACTTCCTTGATATTGTTGGAGTTGGTCAAGAACATGGTAAGACGATCGATACCCATACCCCAACCACCAGTAGGAGGAAGACCAAATTCGAGAGATTGACAGAAACTTTCATCGATCATTTGAGCTTCATCGTCACCAGCAGCCTTTTGGTTAGCTTGTTCGGCAAAACGTTCACGTTGATCGAAGGGATCGTTCAATTCAGTGTAAGCATTACAGACTTCCTTGGTAGCAACAAACATTTCGAAACGTTCACAGAGACCAGCACGGTCACGGTGCTTCTTGGCCAAAGGAGACATCATTTGAGGGTGACCAGTAATGAAAGTAGGACTGATACAGGTGCTTTCAAGGTATTCACCCACAAGCTTGTCCAACATACGAGCATTTGTACGAGGAGCAGAACAATCGATACCTTGCTTGATCAAAATGTCGTTCAAGAACTTGTTAGTTTCTTCAGTGTGGAGTTGATCGCCAGGGGGAAAGTGACGCCCAACTTTTCTTCCAAAGTGGTGATCATATCAATACGCTTGAAGGGAGGAGTGAAATCAATGTCCATCACAGGTCCATCAGGACCTTGAGGGTGGTATTGGATTTGGTACTTGCCAAAGAGCTTCATGACCATACTGGAAACAAGTTCTTCAGTCATATCCATCAAGTCATACATATCGGCATAAGCCATATAGAATTCACAAGTAGTGAATTCAGGGTTGTGAGTCAAATCAATACCTTCGTTACGGAATTGACGACCGATTTCATAGACACGGTCAAGACCACCAACAACCAACATCTTTAAGTAAAGCTCAGGAGCAATACGCATAAACATGTCCAACTTGAGATCATTGTGGTGAGTAACAAAAGGCTTGGCAGTAGCACCACCAGCAATGGTGTTCATCATGGGGGTTTCGACTTCAAGGAAGTTACGTTGGTCAAGGAAAGAACGAACATAGGTAATGATTTGAGAACGAACCTTGAACTTGTCACGAACAAAGTTGTTCATGATCAAATCAAGATAACGTTGACGGTATCTAAGTTCCATATCCTTAAAACCATAGTTGGCCTTGGGCAACATACGAAGACAAGGGGACAAGAGAGTGACCTTCTTGGGGAAAATGGACAATTCACCACGCTTGGTCTTACCAGGAACACCCTTGACACCAACAACATCACCACGTCTCAAAAGATCATGGATTTCAGCATAGTCTTCACCTTCATTATCTTGAAGAGAGGCCATGATTTGGATCTTAACACCTTCGCCGTGCAAGTCATAAAATCTCAACTTGGCACCAGAGGCACGCTTGTTATGGATACGACCAGCAAGTGTAATGACTTGGTCGTCAAGACGGTCACCAGCTTCAAGCTTGTTGAACTTTTCGATGAATTCGGGAAGAGACATTTCAACGTGGAACTTGTGAGGATAAGGTTCAGGATTGGGGTTTTCACGGAGCTTGTTGATAGCCTTGGAACGCATTTCAAAGTATTGCTAATATTGACAACTCTTTAATATGTGTTCTGTATCTATATATAAATAGGTACTTACGTTAGGGTTCAATTCTTCTTCGCCCTCTTCTTCACTCTTAGCCTTAACCTCCTTAGGGGGGCAGCAGCAGCCTTGGCAGCCTTCTGAGCTTCCTTAGCACGAAGCTTTTCACGTCTCTTGAACTCACTATAGAAAATGAATATCGTTTTCTTTTTTTCAGATAAATACATACGACTTGGAGATCATCTCCCCAGTAACGGGGTCCTTTTGAAGGTTCTTTTGGTCAACGTTTTCAGACATAGTTGTATAAAGAGAAGAAAGAGGTAAAGAAAAAAAATTTTGTTTTGAATAAAAATTTGACTTGCGGCTTTTCAAAAAAGGGCAGATAATCTTTTTGATCTAATTCAAAGCCGCAGTTTATTTGGATTGCATGAAAAGGCAACATTTAAGAAAGCAAATTAAGGGCTACTAGGTTTTGGTCTTCTTTTGTCAAGTCACTGCATGGCATAACCTAGATTTTGCTCTTTTTTTTTTTGGCTATTTTATCTTGATAAATAGTGATTTGATTATCAGTCGACAAAAGACTGTCTAATTCCTGAAAGAAAGAAAATAAAAGAAATCAGTGCTACAATAGGGTCTAGTGACAATTGAAACAAAGTATCTTTTTCCGGCGGAATTACAATGCTCTTTTTCTCTTGTTTCTTTTTTTTTTTTTTTCGTAGCACTTTGAGATTGTGAGAGGCGGCCAAACAAAGCCCACGCCATGCTGATTAATGCCATTCTCATCCTTATTTTTTCAACATTATGTACAGCCTCGACTTCTCGCTTATTTAAATACCTTGGGGATACACCCTACCAAAACCAATCCTCTGTCTCCTCCACCATAACCACACCACTACGTATTCAACGAGATCTCGGTGCCAACGTAACCATTGACCAGCTAATATGGCCCACACTCTCACTCTCCTCTGCCTATTTTCAAGACAATTATTCATTTGCTCGATTATCGGGTGTGAGGGATATACTTGACATGGGTTACAAACGATTGATTTTGGATATCTATTGGGACCAGTTGGACTGGCAATTATGTCCTTTTCCGCTTCAGTCCATACCTGATGATACTACATGCTCCAGTAACGCCACGCTCGCTCAATTTCTCTCCATTGTCAACGAGTATTTAGTTTCAACCGAGACAGCACGTATGGCAACCAAAACAGACCTTGTTTTTATTGTTTTAAATCTGCATGACTTAAGTACAAACACAAACACAACAGATTCTAATTTAGCAGAGATTATCCAGAATTCCATTTCAAATACAACATCTGCACCTCGGATTTATACGCCTTTCAACTTGACCACGGATCGTTTAGACATGAACCTTTCGTTTTTTGCGAACGGAAGACAATCCTATTTCCTGCTTTTGCAACAACAACAATCTAATGTATGGCCTCAATGGCTTTATTTGATTCAGAATAATGTGCAATTGCTTGTAGGGTTCGGTACCTTGCCTACCGGCAAAACTTCTTACCGCCTCACCTCATTGGACAATCATACTATTTTTGACTCTACAAGTCTTGTTCGTGGCGTGACATTCCAGAGTTGCCCTCAAAATCATTCATGGGCATTTGCTAGTGACATGAATCAAACTTCATTTACTTATACAACAGCTGTCAATGTGGTAAGACAGTTAAAAAAAAAGAGAACTACTCTCCATCTTATTTTTTTATTCTTCTTAGACAGAATGCGGTTATTCACCTTATTTTACCTCGAGCAATTATTCCACAAATAAGTCCATTGCTTCTGATTTCGATCGTGGTCATTTAGCAGACAATATATTGTCTACTATCTGGTCATGGGATATCAATGAACCTCAGGCCAACAAAGACAAGCGATGTGCAGCCATGCTTTTACATAATGGACGCTGGAAGGCAACTGATTGTTCTGAACAATACCGAGTTGCTTGTCGATCACTGGATGATCCAGATACATGGATGATCACACAAGACATTTATTCTTATGACCGTTCCATGACCTCTTGTCCTGACAATTACACCTTTGATGTCCCTCATATACCAAGACAAAATACGATATTAAAACGTTTGCTTGATCAGACTGATATTGAACAAGACAGAGTTTGGATCAATTTGAATTGGGCTTATAATGAAGACTCATGTTGGGTCATTGGTCGATATGGAACATGTTGGTGGGCAGATGATGTAAGTGCCAAAAAAAAGTCGACAAGTAAACTGACTGAGATAGAACGGACAAGCATTTCTAGGCTTAATTCGGACGTCTGTTGTGAGTGGTGTGATTATTTTGATTCTTGTAGGTATCTTTACGTGGGTCAAATGCGCTCGATTATGGAGAAACAGAAACTCAAAGTCTCGTAAAGCCATGGTGAAGAAGATGTTGGCCAAAAGAGAATATGTCACTATTCCTGTAAGTGTTCTGTCAAGTGAAGGGTTAAATCTAATCTTTTATATATATAGGCATAATGTGTACATAGATAGATAGATAGATAGATAGATAGATACAAATTGTACATATAGTAGAATAAATAAGGGTATAAAAACATAAGCAACAAAAGAAACCTAAGCAGCAGCAATAGATACTTGGCCGTCCTCTTCCTGTTGTTCGAGTTCTTGGACAAACATGTCTTGTTCGTTTTCGTATCTACAATATTGTATATATTATTACACTGTCTTTTATTATGTTACAAAGAAAGAAAAAAAGGTCTAAAGTTATTTACATGAGTGGTTCATCGCTATTTGATAATCTGTTCAAATGCAAATAAACATCTGTGCCATATCTATATAGGAAGGTTAAATCAAATAAAAGATCAGATAAACTTACCCTTCCATAGAGATGAGCTTTAAATCACCACCAAAGTAACGAGCATACTATACGATCATGGTTAAAAAAAAAAGAGACTTAAATTGTTTCCAAGCTTACCAATCTTGAAATAGGCAATCCATAGCCAAAACCAGCCATAGGTGCTTTAAAATCAGATTGGCTGAAGCCAGGTTCTAATTCTTGTGCTTGTGCTGTTGTATACTAATTCAATGTAAGCCTAACTGTGTCTGTAATCTAAACAGCATACCATGTAGGTCCAAACTAATGGAATACCTGAGCGAGGAATACCTCCACCTTCATCTGAAATTTTGATCGTAATATCTTCTTTGCCATGTGCAATCACAAGTTTAATAGCAGGATATTGATCTTCATAATCACTGCCATATCTCTCCACCACTGCACGCAGTGAGTTCTTGAGTAACTCAAACAACATATGGTTCAAGTGAGAAGGAACATACATAAATTCAATATCGCCGGGACAGAACATATGTACTTCAGGTGCCTGATAAAGACCATAATGTTCTTCACAAATGAACTTGGCATTGGCAATAGCATCCAGGGCAACATCTCGAATATTGGTTTTAGTACAAATAACACCTACATAATTCTTTCGGTTGGGTCCTCGATACAGGGAGACATGTTGCCCGATCAACATACGTATACCAATACGTGACATGTAAAATCTATCGAGAAATTGCTGTACTTCGGTATCAATCAAAGGAGAATTTAAATGTTCCTTGTATTCTAATATTCCTTGTGCGATCGTAGTCACAACAGGATCATGTCTCTTCTTGACCTTTTCAATAGTTTTGACAAATGTGCTTGTATAATCGACAATCTCGGGTGGCACTTGAATTTGATCTACATTATTGTAGTATCGGTGTCCAATAGGAACAGAAGGATGAAGGTTCTTTTGATGGTTGTATTTACCGAGCGAAGGGTTAGGTATGCTGTGAGGAAGGCATGTGTCTGATTTGGCGACGAGTTTGTCTTTTATAGTTTGAGAAATACGTGGTATATCAAGTTCAACAAGGTCTTGAAATGACTGTGCATACCAGTCTCTTACTTTTCTGATAGAAGGCATATTGTTTAAATTGCGTGGTAGTTCATCCAATTCTTTGACACGGTGGGCAAGTCGAATAGGCAGTTCCTCTAATACACATGAGTCTAACTTGAATTATATATGTAGGTGCTTACCATGTAGGAACTGACTGGCCTTGAACAGAGTAGCCTGAGAAGGGTTTTGCCCTGAACAGATTGAATACATTGCATCAAGATCTTTTCTCTTACCAAACATAACCATTTGTCTAAGCGATACTCCTGTTTGAGGAAACCGAGCAAAGTATTTTATTTTATCATATAATTGTGGTGAAAGTTGAAACATGAGTAAAAAAAAAAGGAACAGAGTGAAAAAAAGGATGAGTCAACACATATTTATAGTTCACATGTCATTGGTTACCCCGCATTTTTCAGATTCATAATAATTTATTCACTTTTGTCCGTACAGACCCGAATTCATTAGTTACACGCATCATTGAGTACAGTGAAATTACGTATAAGCAAGTTGAAAAGCGATCCAAAGAACAATGCAATCACAGTACATGTTAAGGTAATTACATTGTAGGGCATACTGAAATCAGGTGTAGGTAATCTAACCAATAAAGTGTCTGTATAGATACGCTTCATACTCTGCGATGATGGTAACCAGGCTGTGATAATGGCAGACCTACACATTCGGAGAATATAAATTATACGCTGTTATTTCTCACGCTTTACTATTTACCCGACATCAAATCCTCTATTCGCATCAGGGCGATGCTCCGTATATTTCAAAAAGACCTTATCAAACTCCAAAGAGAGTGTCACTGTTGTATTGGCTGGTATCATTAATTCACATTCAATCGTATTCGGTCTTCCTCTATCAATGGCTGGTTGATAATATATCTGTTTGACTTCTACATCTGGATGGTCTATCTTGAGTGTATGTAGATATAATTTTAAGTACCAAGGTAAAGAGTCATAGTAAATGACTGGCATGGCTTCTAATTGATTTCGGTTATGAATAGTCACCTTAAGGCCACCATGTTCTTGTCCATAACCAGTAAAATAACGTTCTGCATAAATTATAGGTTGAACAGGCTCAAGAGCTACACCAGTAAAAAAATAAATAAATAAACAAAATAAGCTTACATTGTAGGACCAATTGACTTACGATAATCAAATGAAGATTGTCTCCAATCCATACGAATATCTAATGGTTCTTTTGATAAATGGTAGGTGACTGCGTTTCCTTGTTGCTGTCCTGCTGGTTTTAATTCATATTCATTACCGGCATTTGTTAGATCAACAGACACTCGACTTTGATTGGCTACCGGGCAAGCTTGTCTAAGTTGTCTATCAAAAACAGATGCCAAAGACCAATCTCGTCGGCTTGAGTCTCTGATTGGATCCATTACAGAAGTGACTGTTTGCTTTAATTCCAATTGACGTTCAGTACAAGCATCATTCTACAAACATAAGTATATATTAAGAAAAAATAAGGGAAGAAAAGCATACTTGCCATACAAATGGATTTTGCATGAATAGCCATAGAATGAAAATTGGAATTATAGATTCGATGTGGGTTTAAGAGTACAGAGATACCAGACTATACAAATGAGAGTAAGTATAGTTTGATATGTGTGTCTGCATACCATGTTACCTTTGATTTACATGGTAATAGTTTGATCCAAGGTGTCAAGTTTTCTGTACACACATTTTCATGAGGCAAAGAGCCATATCTTAGCTGTTCATGTCTCATTTCTTCTGATTGAAACAGTAAACGAGGCTCAGTAGTAATGGTTTCGTCAATAAAGTTGAGTGAAGCACAAAATAGACCAGAAAGGGTATTTGTCAGTGATTTCCATTGATCATCTATGCTGCAATGACATGAGCATCTATGTATAACAATCAAACACTATTACTCTTGAGTATCTTTAAGCCATGCCCATAATTCAACACCTGTGCCTGCTGATAATGTAGGTGGATACTCCCATTCTTCATAGTTCCATCTGCCCTGAGTAAATGAAAGATGCATTTCGCGTACATTAAAAGACTGAAGTACTTCACCAATGGCTTTTGGGTAAAGACCATAATCTAACACTACGAAAAAATAGGAATGGATTAGTATTTGATTATTCAATCATGTAGTTTTACATGGTGCGTTTGATTGCGTATGCGCATTGACTCTTGTGTTGAATTCAAAATGAGCAAGTAATTTGCCATCAGGCAAGTTACGCAGTGTCAAATCTTCATTGTATTCCTCAGAAATACGGTCAGACAGTTGTGCGTGAGCAATGCCCATCAGACACAAGCCAATCCCTAATAATGATCGCATAGTAAACGCGTTTGAAACTTACTTCCGCTCACTTGTTTATTTATGCTTGTGACCGTGTTTGATTCACGCTTTCTTTTCTCTTCTTCATATGAAACGCAAACAAAGACAACGAAAGAGAGTCAAGAAGAGCTCGAATAAACCAGCTCACGAAAATGACGAGTACAAATCTACTTTTAAGATCAACCAAGCACTAAAGACCGAGAACTATGCTTTATTACGTGAGATTGGCCGAGAAGAAGGCTTTCGAAGTGATGCTATTCGAAGAAGAGTATGGTGAGAGAAAATTCCAAGTCAATATGTTATTGATTCTCTTTAAGGCCCTTTTTATTGCATTGCACAGATAAAGAAGTTGACAAAGTGATAGAAGGCTCACTTGAAAGTAAGAAAAAAAAAACTTGTGTTACCATGTACTGAATCAATGTCTATAGCTCCTCATAAAGATGAAAGCCAAGTCAAATTGGATGTGATTCGATCTTTTCATACATTTTCTACAAGTAAGATACAACCAAAAAGTATTGTTTGTAACTATTTATACAGGTATTTTGGAGGAAGACAAAGAGAGACTTCAAGACCAACTAAGTAAAGTCATTACTCATGTATTAAGGTCCTATCCTTCTTTACATTATTATCAGGTAAGACCAACTTTACCTATGAATCTATATTCATTCATGCTAGGGGTTTCATGATATTTGTTCTGTATTTATATTACTCTTTGGCGAGAAATATGCCTCCAAGTTGATGGAACCTGTCGCTTTGTTCTATCTAAGATATCCTTTTTTTTTGTTTTTTTTTGTTTTTTTTTTTTTTTACACTAACACCCACATAATATTTCCTTAACTTTTGTATACAGATGAGATGTTTATGAACATGGATCCTGTACTTAAGCAATTGACTATATTAGATACATTCATTCAACTTGAAGACAAGGAATTACATGCTTTTATTTCAGAGTAAGCACAGTAAATGCACTTTATTTTTACTAACAAACCATAGGGCAGGTGTACTACCTTATTACTGTCTTTCCTGGGTCCTTACATGGTGCAGCCATGATCTAGACAGCCTTGAAAAACTAACTCGATTATTTGATCTGTTCTTGTGCTCAAATCCTTTGATGCCCCTTTACTTTGCTGCTGCAGTTGTACTTTCTAGAAAAAAGGAGATACTTGCCTTACCTTGCGATGTGAGCATCCTCCATAGTTTCCTCACTAAACTACCAAAAGATTTGGATGCCCAAACACTATGCCAAGAAGCATGTGTCTTAGAAGAAAGATATCCTGTCTATGATATCCAATGTAAAAGCCAGATTGCATTGGATCAAGAATCCACTGTCAATTGCTTTGAAAAGGATTGGATACCCATTGACAACCTACAAGACCTGAACAACACAATTCAACAAAAAGTAATTCCTATCTTACAGACTCAAGAAAGAAAACCTATTGAGCTTGTAACACTAAAGGAGATTTCTTCTTCAGTTAATGTACTTGACAAATTGCGTCAATTGGATACAAAGGATATTGCTTTATATACATTGTTTACAGTGGGTGCAGGTGTAGGCCTTGTTGCTATTTTCATGACAAATGCAGAATTACTAAGGTAAAGAAAAATAACAAACGCATTTTTTTTATTTCATATATATCTAAAAAAAAAAAATTATCATAATCATATAATAATAGGGAATGGTTAACAAGCGGTGTATGAGTTAAAAAAAGAAAAAATAAAATGGGTGAATAATAAAGGAATAAAAATGTACATCATGAATACAGCCTATTATAGGATAGAGAAGAAGCTTTTACAATGGTTTTCTTCCCACAGTAGAAGAAATGGGCCAAAAACACGCGGGTGGTTTTTGGAATTCAATGACAAGTCGATCCAAAAAGGCATCATAGCGTTCATTTGGAACTCCTAAAGACTCAGCCAAATAAGGTTGGCCGCTTTTGAAAATGCCTTTCATGTCCCATAAGAACTCTTTGCTGACACTATCCTGTTTACCTAATCCTTATTTAATACATATGGTTAAATGACAATTGTACTTACTGAAATCAATGGGTTTATGTTCATGGTGAACAATTTCAAACCCTGCTTCACTGAGATATTGATTAATCTTATCATAAGCAAAAGGTTCTTGACCACGTTCAAGCATCTTATCAATGACTGTTTTTGTGAGGTTACATAAAGTTACTAAAAGAATAATAAAAAAAAATTTTTTTACATACAAACTTTGCCAGCCCACTTAAAAAACTCGTTGCCTTCAAGCTAAATAAAGTCAATAAGTGAATTATAATACCATGATGTTACTTACAAGCATGCCAGGTTCCTTGGAAACAATGATTCCACCAGGCTTAAGAACACGCATAATTTCCTTGAGCACAGGAATCCATTCTTCAGATCGAAGGGCGATACAAAAGAATCGAAAATGAACAATGTCAAATGTGTTGTCTGGGAATGCAATGCCGTCTAAAATATTATTGAGCTTGAATGATACATTAGAAGGTCTAATATCGCTTGGAAAGACATCAGATATATCAACACCAACAAGTTCACTGTTGGGTAATTCAGTGGCCACATCCTAGTCATTTTAAAATGATTATTTATTTTCTGATTCCGATTTTTATTTTATAGAGACGCTTCCTATAACTAAATTTACACACATGCTTTCACTTACCATGATCCATGTTCCTGGTCCACAGCCTAAATCCAGAATTTTGGCATTGTCTTCTACTGGAATCGAGAATTTCTCAAAAAGACCTTCAGGTATGTTTCTAAATTATAGGGTTAACTATCATATATGTATGTCTATATGTTGTACCCATTAAATAATGTCTTGAGTGCAAAATGTTCCTTGAAAAAAAGAAATTAGTAAAAAAAAAAAGAAATGAGAGTGCTTACTCCCACAAGACGATCTAATTCTTGGTCGTCATTAGGGTACCAATAAGCTGAATTAGACTCATTATGGAATTGCCTTCCTTGTTTCATGACTCTTTCTGATGACAGTTGACTCGAGTGATCAGATGAGGTATGACTTGGAGTAGGTACAACTGGCTTTTTTATGCCATTCTGTTTAAGCGTTCCTTTCTTTTTGCTGCTAATGCTGCTACTGGAAGACATGCTGGAGCCCATGTTTGCTTATAAGAGAAGAAGAAAAAAAAGAAAAAAAAAATAGAAAAAAAAAATAGAGGCAATGCTATTTATATTAATCTAACGAAATGACTGTCAGATTTCAAAATCCTGGGCTTAAAAAAAAAAAGCAAAATTTAGCATAAAAGACATGACATTTTATCAAAAATAGAGGGTATGATCGTTACACGCGTTTAAAAAGAATCAAAGTCAGTTGTTTATTATCCAAAATACAATGCAATTACAATCTCTGTGTCACTTTTAACATATTAATTAAATTAAATTCTTCTCTATTCAGCATTGTATAATTGATGGTTTGCAATATAGTCTATCACAGGGTTAGGCAGCAAGTATTTGACAGACATGCCTCGCTTGACAAACAATCTAAACAGCATTGGTTAGTCTAAGTTAGGTGTAGTATACTTTGCCTTATCTTGGTAGAACTAATGTCATTATGAATCAATTGCTTAATAATAATGACATTCATCTATAAAAAGAGTTAATAACATGATAATACAGTGAAAACAGGCTTACTCTATGCTGGTATAGAATATCGTGTGACAGCAAGAATCCATAGACATCTGTACCTGTTCTTTCTATGATAACACAGCCATAGGCACCCACAATATGGTGCAACTAATGAACCTTCATGTGTCAATACACTTTACATATATATATATATATATATATATATAATGACTTACATCTTCAGACGACCAAACTCCTGGATGACCAAAGGATGCCATTAAATCACCGCCAGCCAATAACATAATCTTGATAGGCTTCATTTGGCCTGAACTCGTCTTGATTCCCCGCCCACTGTGTTCAGCTCATGATCAAAGTGATCAAGTACAACAGCTGTTCGTTGATACATGGTCTGTCTTGACTCCCATTCATCTACCATAAGCCAGTCAGAAGTACTCTCGACTGCTAATTGACACATCTTGACTCGGTGCTTTGCTTCTACAAGCCCTTCCTTCATATAAGCATCAGACACAGGCGAATAATAACCTGCCAACAGCTCAAATTCCTGAAGACGTTCTTGAAAATGATCTCTTGCCATTTCTATCGAGTATTAGATGTTTCTGCGATCTTTTTTTCTTGTCTCGTACAGGATTACCAAACATTCTTAAATGCAAATACGTGATAGGCGAATAAGAGCCACATGCAACAATCACTAGCGGCGTCTTGTTTTCATCTATCACAGATTAGTCAGCAATGATTGTAAAGATACTCAACCTTTCATGGTATCAGCAATAAGGTGTCTTGGAAACTGATAGTCTTTATCTAACGCTTGTCTATCATGGCTATTCCCATAACCTTTGGCTTCTAGTGTAGAGGCCATGATTTTGGGACTGGACATATTGGAGAAATATATATATATAAAAGAAAGAAAGAAAGAAAAGAAAAAAGAGAGAAAAAAAGAGAGTAAACTCCTTGTCTTAAAATAGGTAAGCGCTTATGTTCCGTATGAGTGTTAGGTAAGAGGGATACTACAACGATAGCCAATCAAAAGAGCATTTCTCTAGTGCCAATACGTATGATACCATGCGTTCCTCTAAGCGGGGATTTAACCACTACTGTGCTTTTCTTTGACACTCAAACTTTCCTTTTTTAATTATTCAATGAAAATCCAACACTATATGTATGTCGAAAAGTCTACCAAAAACCCAGAAGAGATGAAAAGAAAACGTCTTGAGCGCAGTAGAATAGCAGGTAAAAAATCATTATATATATACATATATATCTAAATGTTGTATTCATTTATCCATATAGCTTTTAAATGTAGACAAAAGAAAAAGTAATGGATTGAACAATTAACTCAAAAGGCAGAAAGATTATCAAAAGAAAATACATATCTCAAACAATTTTTATCACAACTTCAACAAGAAACTGATTCTCTGAAGGCTTAATTAGTCCTGCAAAATAGACAATGATATTTATTTCTTCTTTAATAATTGAATTAACCGATATTGTTCCTCTAATAATTCTTCTAAAGATGCTTCTTCATCTTCAGTCGATTTATCCAAATATCTATTTTCTATCATTTTATGCATATATTTAGAATTATCAAGTAATCTATAGAGCTCATCAAGAGTCAATCTTTCCTTTGTATTTTTAGGAATATAGTTGGGATTAAAGGCATTGTTCGATCCGGCAGTAATAGGTTGTGATGCCGGTGTAATGATATAAGGATGAGTTTGATGAACAGAATGTGAAGATAAATATGGTGAAGGTGGTAAATGAGCCAATACAGAAGCATAGCGTACTTGGATTCTATTCAATATCATCTTTAGCAAACATAAGGAAAGGAGAGAAAGAGAGACGAAAAAAAAAAATTAAAAAAGAATTTTGATTTGTTTTCGAATTGAAATTCAGACGACATTGGACAAATCATTTTTAGAACTTGGAGCTTGTCCTTTTTCCTCCCTTTTTCTCTTTTTTTTTTGAGGAAGGGGAGATAGCAACAGAAGATGAGATTCCTCATACAACTATTTGGAGGTATTTTTTGACTGTGAGTAAAGAAGAGAGATAAAGAATACAAAGGGGGAGGGAAAGATTTCGAGTTTTTATTCATTCATTCATGCATTTCTAAAAAAGAAATCACTCAGCTTAAAATGCATATGACGTAAAAGCAAGGATTGTGCCAAGTCCATAAGAAAATCAGCCAAGCTGCCCGAAATATATATATACATATATTTCTTTGTTATCAAGGGGACAACAAATTCGGTTACCGACATGGTCTTCTGTGTTGTTTGAAGCACATAGACACGCGTCATATCCATGTCTGACCTGAAATTAAATTCCAAACATATTCTCGACTGGTTTGGATAAATTGAAGAACGAGGATTAGACGGCGTTGTTTTTGAAAATATGAAGAGCGGGTAAGACATGTATAAATTGCTTGGAAGATTTACCTTTTCAAGAAAGAAAGCGTGTAACTTGTAATTTTCTTGTGTAATGTACTCAACTGCACCAGCCAAAGAATATAAAAAGACAGAAAGATGGCATGTGAAGGCTATTTCTTTTTAGAATAAAACGACATGGATATACATCTGGAAATCAAGCAGAATTAGACTGTAGAGACATCAATAGCTTATAAGAAAAAAAAAACACGAGACGATCTCTTTTTTGTGTGTGTAGCTGGCTGAGTTTCTGCTTGATTTAATACACAGCACAACCAATCATGTTTATAAAAGTGTGTCTGCGTCACTGAGTTGTACGCTACTTATTTCATTTTTCCCTTTTTTCTGTCTCTTTTTCTTTTTTCTTTTCTTTACTTTAATCAAAATATATATCTCTCAATATGGAGGACGAAGTTGCTGCTGTAAGTATATCACTGCCCTGGACTGAGTTCGAGTATTTGACGCGTCTATAGCTTGTTATCGATAACGGTTCCGGTATGTGTAAGGCCGGTTTTGCTGGTGATGACGCACCTCGTGCTGTAAGTATCAAAAGCTCCCAGATGAGAGTTCATCTTGTTCATCTGGCCACTCACACGTATTCTCTAGGTCTTCCCTTCCATTGTTGGTCGTCCCCGTCACCAAGGTGTCATGGTTGGTATGGGTCAAAAGGACTCCTATGTTGGTGATGAAGCCCAATCCAAGAGAGGTATCTTGACTCTCCGTTACCCTATTGAACACGGTATTGTCACCAACTGGGACGATATGGAAAAGATCTGGCACCACACTTTCTACAACGAACTTCGTGTTGCTCCTGAAGAACACCCTGTTCTCTTGACTGAAGCTCCCTTGAACCCCAAGTCTAACCGTGAGAAGATGACCCAAATCATGTTCGAAACCTTCAACGCCCCTGCCTTCTATGTTGCTATCCAAGCTGTTCTTTCCTTATATGCCTCTGGTCGTACCACTGGTATCGTTCTTGATTCCGGTGATGGTGTTACCCACACTGTCCCTATTTACGAAGGTTATGCTCTTCCTCACGCTATCTTGCGTTTGGATATGGCTGGTCGTGACTTGACTGACTACTTGATGCGTATCCTCGCTGAACGTGGTCACTCCTTCACCACCACTGCTGAACGTGAAATCGTTCGTGATATCAAGGAAAAGCTCTGTTATGTTGCTCTTGACTTTGAACAAGAAATGCAAACTGCTGCTCAATCTTCTGCCCTTGAAAAGTCTTATGAACTTCCTGATGGTCAAGTCATTACTGTTGGTAACGAACGGTAAGTACGCTTTTGACGCGTTCTGTGTTTCTAATTTCTTTTTCAGTTTCCGTGCCCCTGAAGCCCTCTTCCAACCTGCTCTCTTGGGTCTTGAATCTGCTGGTATTCACGAAACCACCTACAACTCCATCATGAAGTGTGATGTTGATATTCGTAAGGACTTGTACTCTAACATTGTCATGGTAAGTTTTTTTTTTCTGTCGGAATCCATTTGTAGGAGTTTGATTGTATTGACGTATTTCTTTTATTTTTAGTCTGGTGGTACTACTATGTATCCTGGTATTGCTGACCGTATGCAAAAGGAAATCACTGCTCTTGCTCCTTCTTCCATGAAGATCAAGATTGTTGCTCCTCCCGAAAGAAAATACTCTGTCTGGATTGGTGGTTCTATCTTGGCCTCTCTCTCTACTTTCCAACAAATGTGGATCTCAAAGCAAGAATACGACGAATCTGGTCCTTCCATTGTCCACAGAAAGTGCTTCTAAGGTGCTTACACAAAGACATTTTGTTTACTTTCTTTTGTTTCAAACTTATATATCTTTTCTTTTTATAAACATTTCTCTTTTTTCCCCTTTTTTTATTTTTTTACTTAAAGGAATAGTAAGCAACAAAGAAATATGTCTTATAAAGAAATAAAAACAAGGGAAAAAAAGTTAATTTTAATGCATACATTATATATTACAGTTTGGTTAATAGACCTAGAGCAGCGTCCATATCATCTTGTGTCTTTTCATAGAGACGTTGTTCTTCTTCTAGTTTGGATGTCTATATAGCTTATGAGTACATTGTACAATTCAGCAAATAATACTTACGTCTTCCATGGAATCGTTTTTGATATTCAGCTTTTTCTTTTTAGGAGTGAGGTGCTGTTGAAGATCCTCTAGGATATTGTCGAGATCTTCTGTCAGATCAGCATTTTTTAGTTTTTCAGACTTGGTCAGTGGTTTTTTATTCTTTATGCTTGTCTTTTTGTCTTTGCCCTGTTGACGAGCATAAGGTGTCTTTTTAGTAGCTGTCTCTCTTTTTGCTTTAGGCATAGTAAATAATAATAATAAAAAAAAAAAAGACTTCTTTTTTTTTCGGCAGGCAGTGGAGTGGCACAATCAATTTATGGTAAAGCAGTCCTATCAGCTTCTACCAATCAAACCAAAAACAAATGCTTAGCATCTCTTTATTTATTTTTTTTTTTTAGCATTAAATATCTTTTCTAAATAGATATTTATATAGAGAAAGATCCTTTTATAAAGTATTAAATGTATCAAGAAAATAGTGCGATATATGAATAGCATGAAGAGGACATTTGTTTCTTTTGATTCAAGACCCGAATAGACGCCCCCCTCCCTCTTCACTCTTTAAAAGTGCATTTTTTTTTCTTTTTCTTTTTCTTTCTTTTTACTTTAGCAGCTATGAGTGAGCTCATATGGGATGAAACACATACAATAAACTCCCAGCATACATTTTGCTACTGTGGAAAAGACAGAAACCTTTTGGAAGTTGCTCTTCAGTGTCGACGTAAGAATTTTTCTCATTTTGTAACTAAAACTCACGCAACCTTCTTCTTATCAAAGTCTGCAGGAACTGGTTTCATGCTGAATGTACGACAATAACTAATCCACCCGATATCTTGTTTGCAACCAATTATATCTTTACATGTCATAACTGCCATGATAGCCATATTGAAACCTATGAAAGGACAACAGCAGGCTGGAAAGATATTTGCTCTACGACCATTGCCAATCTGATACTAGAAGAAATACTCTGTCGCATAGGCACTGATAATGAAGAGTTGTTTGAGAGTAAAAATGCAGCATTAATGCAAGAATGGCATCCAGAACAGCATTATTTCAATAAAAAGCAAATTATTCCTTATGTAGACAAACATTGGCTCAGTTTATGCACAGAAAGAGCCAGGACAACTACATGGTAAGCACGCATCTAATGTTTGGTCTACTTAATGGAATGATTAGGTGGGCTACGTTAGGCAGCTGTCTTTATTCCTCCAAAGATGCATTTGTGGCTCGTGATGAAAAGCAAAGATCAGCAGCTTCTGATTTTCGGCTGGTAGATGCCAATCTTTGGCATGTGAGACCTACATATCAGGTAATCAAGAATTAAAAAGATTCTTATTTTAATGCCATACATAGCATGGAGCCAAAACACCTTTAGTCATAGCACGTACACCTAAAGAAAAGCGCAAGGAACTAGATTCAGAGGATACAAAATGGAGATCAGCCACACCTATTACACCTTCTCCTCCTCGATCTTCTTCTCCAGTACCATTTACACCCACAACTGTGCCTGCTGTGTTTCCTTCAGGCACAGCAAACACAGATCACCCATTCAATCGATTTGGTTTTAAATATATTCCTTGTGAGCCATCCATTTTACATCTTGTGGCCTACCAACAAGCAGAGAATAGCCTAGGAGGATGTACAATCAGTATTCCTGATAAAAGTTCTTATCTTTCTGTGACAAAGGATGGATTGACAGTAACGACCGAAAAAGGATTTCGTATGTGTAGAGCCAATGTAGGCGTAAAAGAAGGGAGTTGGTTTTGGGAAGCAAGAATTCAAGCAGCAGCAGGATCAACAGATTCAGATGGTCCTCATGTTCGATTAGGCTGGGCAAGAAGAGAAGGTATACATACACATTATCATCGCCTTTGCTTACATTACTTTTTAAGCGTGTCTTAATGCACCAGTAGGATATGATGGTTATAGTTATGGGTACCGCGATAAAACAGGAGACAAATTGTTTTGCTCAAGACCTGAAAAATACGGTGAGCCTTTTCAAACGGGCGATGTGATAGGTCTTTACATCTCACTTCCATCTAAAAGCAAACAAAACTTCAAGAGTGCATCGAGGAGACGTATACCCATTGCTTATAAAGAACATTTGTGGTTTGAAGAAAAGGATTATCGACCGAGCAAAGAAATGGAAGCACTTGCGGACCCTTATAGAAAAGATAAAGAAAACGATTATGAGCCCAAGACTCTACCCGGATCCTTTATCACAGTCTATAAGAATGGGGTCAATCAAGGCGTGATGTTTACTGACTTGTTTGATTTTGAAGACTTTGGCCGTTTACCAGAAACTATCATGGCGAAGCATGCCAAAAAGAAGAGAAAGCACAAGAAAGATGCTGCTGGTAGTTCAAACTTGCATGAGTTTGATACGGCAGGTCATCAACATTGGACGGATGATCCACCTGTAGAAGATGATGGTACTCTGGGTTATTACCCTGCTGTTAGTGTCTTTAAAGGTGGTGTAGTTACATGTAATTTTGGGCCTCAATTTCAATATCCACCTTTAGATCAAAAGGATAATTGGAAGCCATTTTGTCAAAGATACAATGACTACATGGCAGAAGAATGTGTATGGGACTTGCTGGATGAAGTTTCACGTTCATTTAGGCAACAACAAAAAAAAGCTTCCATAGCATAGCTTAAATAAACAAATTGATAACATTTTAGTAAAAAAACAGGGTTTGAAATATCGAACCTTCCATTTACTGTTTACCATGCCCTTTAACCTCAAAAGTGTCATATATCATTGCAAACCTTGCTCGTCTATATCTTACGCATCAAATGGTGTCTTCTTACTAGCCAATGTCTAACGAAATGGGTCTCTTTCATACTTATTACAGTGTATAGCAAACTTTGAATACAGATTTGGGGCCAATACTCAAATCGAGTCAGTGTTTTCATCTTAGTAGACTCGTTTTCTTTTTTGAGAGAAGTACTTGGACATGGCCTCACCTCATTTCGGTTGGATCAGACCTATATTAGGCCATTTTAAATTTCACCCAACAGTCAAACCAGTGGTACCACTCAACTCCTTGGCTCAAGAAAGCATGTTTCAAATGAAAAAGCGAATCGTTTTGATAACCTAGTTGTCGAGAAATGGTGTATCGAAGATTAGCTTCTTTAAGCAGTGCTTTATGCATTTTTGCTCTGGTTGTCGTATAAAATGTGCTAGCAATTGGTCTTTCAAAAGTATTTCATGTTATTTTGGTTGCCAAAGAACATGAGAAAATAGAAACACAAGCATCTAATATTGTAAGTGTGGGAGTGAATAGACATAGGACATACAAGATGGCAGCGTGCGAAGATTGAAATAGGGAAACCCCAATCCTTCATCTCGCCGCTTTCTCAAATCGAGCTTTTGCTGGGAACTGCATAAAGACGCAGTTGTCTGGCTTTGATACAGTAACAAAAGTTGTAGATCTTTGCTTTCTGAGCTGATTGATGTATAGAACGTAACAACTCTGCTGCTAACATGTTGAGTAAATAGGCAAAAACAATTTCGAGGTTTTTTCATTCATATCTCCTCATTTTTATAGCACAACTAGCAAACAAACACATTCACCAAAAACTACAGTCTCTGACGCGCATCTTGAGTATTTGAGCTTGTTGATAGCTCTGTTTTTTGTCTTGTAGCGTCCAAAAGAAGATTAAAGAGTTGTCAGGGTCAATATTTTCATGACTAGTACCCTTTAGATCAGAGGCCAAAATGGCCATTTTTTGCAAGTTGTTTTTTTTGGTCGAATCGATTCTCAAGGTACCATAGATGTTGGTAGATATAATTTATAGGCACTTGGAGCATCTATACGTATATAAGCAGGCTTTATGCTACCTTTATTTGTCCAAGAAAAAGAAGACGACATGTCTTTTTTCTCGTTGAAGCATCTATTTGCCTGGTGTCTCTGTTACCAGAACAAGTAATGTATTACTAAATTGTTTATGTAAATACAAATAGTTTATCAAAAAGACACTTGATTCCCCCCCCTCCATAAATCAAAGAAACGCCGCATTTGCTTATGAAAAAAAAATGTCAAAGTGTTGAAAACTCACTTTCACTTCACGATGCATGATACATAAAAGATAGTCTTTAGAACATACATTCAATATGGTGTATACTACCCTGTATTCACAAATCCTAATTTAATTACTCAATTTTTCTATAGTAAAAGATACATCCAGCTTAAAAGGCATAATGCCATTTGTATGATTTACTAACATAGTATCTAGAGAAAAGCCCTTCATTTTTGCGAATGCAAAAAAGAAAAGGGGCAATGAGTGCACGAAACAGCTCCACACAACTTCTTCTACCAACCTAGACATAAATCCAGCCTCCTAGGTGTCATTCGATGTCAAACAACCAACTTCATCATAAACATGATAACAAAGTAAAGAAAAAATCACACTTCTGTGCATCTTTCGAAAAAAAAAAGACATACCCTCATCTATGAATGAAGAAAGTAAATTCGTTGAATGAGCAGTGGGCGTGACAACGTCTTCATGGCTAATCCCCTAACTATAAACTGATTTTTTTGGCCAAAACAAAGTTTGCTTTTGTGGAATGCCCGTTGGTCAATTTTCAAAGGCTTTTCTTTTTTCTCGTATTCTATAGTGCTACATCTTATTATATACACGTGCAACCTTTCTTCTATTCAAGCATTCATTCTGTCTTTTTCTTTTATGTATACCAATTTTCAATTAAAGCGAACGCACATAAATAAGCCTCCTTTTTTCCTCCATCCACTAACGAAATCCTTGGTTTTATTGTTCGTTTCCTTATTTGACGAAAGTCCCTTCGATGCATTAAGTCAGTACTAAATAAACAACCTCAAACAAGGTTAGCATCACGTCTTAAAAATCGTAATTTTTGGGGACGAGGCAATATGGTAAGGCCAGAACATTTCAATGTCTCAATATCAGGCATGGTTGACTTATCAGCAGGTTCAATAAAGCATGTAGAATATACTTGAATAAAAGCAGTAAATATTTCAGATTCTGCCTATAAAAAAAAAACTTAACTCTTGTATTTCTGTATAGCGTATTATTTACTAATGAGATACCAGGGCAGATACGTCTATGGCACAATGAATATTTATGTCAATCAAACACCAACTTACCTTCCCCAACCAAAGTTGTAATGATCCCTTTCCTCAATACGTCCATTTGCACAAGCCTGCATTGTTCTTAGGTTGTTGATAAATCTATCGGGAATGAACTTTTCTGGATCTGTAAAGTAATTTGAATTCAGGTGCATACTATGCATACTTGTGAGGATAGCAGTGTCTTTTTTGATAAGATAGCCGTCTACTTCGACTGTTGCTTCTGTAAGAATATGTACAATCGCAAGTTGGTCACTTACTATCTTGGTGAAGTGTATGTGGTAAACCAAAATAGGTAGCAGGCTTATATCTCATACATTCTTTAATAACAGAGACACAGAAAGGCACTTCTAGTCTTTCCTCAAACGTGGGTAAGCGACCATATTTTGATACGAATGTATCAATTTCAGCCGCAGTCTTTTTTTGTGTCTCGGGATGACGACACATAATAACAAAGTTCCAAGACAAGACAGTAGGAATGGTGTCCGTTCCTCCAGTCAGCATATCAGCTAAAAAAGACAGATGAACATTTTCATATGCAGTAAAAGGTTTTTCTTACAAACAAATACTGTCTTTTCATCTATAGTCATTGCAAATCCGTTCTCTTCTAGATCTTTGATGAAATTAGGCGTTTCGCTTAACATAGCTTGTGTGATCAGTTTGCGGTAAGTCGGGTTGCGCTCTTTTGTCATAAACTTGTTCCACATGGATTGACGACCAAAATACTTGCCAAAAAACGAGATAATAGGCAAAAAATATGGCAAATCATTTTGTAAATTAGCATATTTCATTGACAATTTCTCAATTGTCAACAACTTACAAAACTCGTCATCATCAACAGATGTAAATCGTTTACCAAAAACAGCGTCCAAGATAACATTTAAGGCACTGAATTGAAGATCTTTGAGAGGATCTACACTCCCTTCTTTTTCTGTCGTCTCAAGGAGTCGAGTCACTAGGTTAGCAGATTCTTCCTTGATATTAGCTGCAAAGTTTGCAATTTGTTTAGGAGCTAATAAGGACAAGGCTACAAATACTTATCAAGATCATCCTAAAGAACCTTGTATTTCTTACCTGCTGCTCGATTCTTTCTATGCCCAATATTAGGCTGAGCAAACACAACACCTCTATTCGTAAATCAGCTTTTTTTTATATTTACTCTTTAAAATAACTTACTTTCCTTGCATACCATAATGACCAAACCCATATACAGTTTTGGGTCTGTAGGAGGTCAATGCACTATTATTAACAAAGATTTTATAAGCCAAAAGCGGATCATTCACCATCACCCAGGTTCTGCGACCCATTCGAAGTTTGATAATGGGGCCTAGTTCATCATGCCATTGGTTGATTTGGACAGAAGGTGTTTCGCTCAAGGCAAGCATATGTCCAAGATAAGGAAAATGAGATTTAGGAGTTGGAATTTCTTTAAAAAATTTGGCATTGCGGCAACGGTCATAGGAAGAATACAAGTAATAACATGAGTAAATCAAGCTTGCAGCAGCAGTAATACCGACTACAGACACTAGATGATCTTGATGAATCTGAGAGGCTTTTTCCATTTTTTAAAAAAGAAAGAAAAAAGAAAGAAAGAGACAAACATGTTCTTATTTAGTCTAAAAGCTAAATACGTTAACACTAAGACGAATCAGAAGCTTTTTTAAGGGGATATCACCAAACTCTTTTATAATGAAAAGAAAAGATCTGCTTATTCAATTTCTTCTGTAGACAATGATTGCTGTCTTTCTATTAAGACAGTATCCAAATTTTTCAATGCTTCTTCTAGTGCAACCGACTTATCAAGTATTGTCATTTCAGGGCACTTGTATAGCTCAAGACGCTATTTAAATAGATGTGGGTTTTTCTATTCAAATAAACAAAAACTTACTTGAGGATCTGTTGAAGGTAATGTGTTGTTCTTGTTGTTGACTTGACACATATCAGCGATCATATCAAGCGCCTTTCCGACTGAGTTTTTCTTGTCAAAGTACATGGGCAATGAATCAAATTTGGACTCTTTAGGGCATTGAATATAAAGATAGATTCGAGAAGCTGCAGGAACTGAACCAGTGCCTTTTGCTTGTGACTTCATTTTCATGAGTTCAACCATACCACCGCTTTTACTTTTGACAAGCACGGATTGAATGACTTTTCGTTTCTTGTTCATTGCTTCCATGGGAAATGTCTTGGATAGTTTTTCTTGTGCAGCTAACTTCCTTTCTAGTTTTCTTTTTTCATCTGTTTCTAATGATTGACAACCATGAGAGGAAGGATGGCGGTGCCTAAGTAGAGGTAAGTACGCCTATGGTTTTTTTTCTATAATACCTTAGACAAAAATCTCTATTACAACCATCACAATGGACAGGACCAACACGAGGGTCAATATCAAAACATTTGTCAACATTGCATCGATCATTCACTTTTTTGTTAGTGGGAGAATACAAATATAGACTACATCGAGACTCTACATGTTTCTCTAGCTAATCATGATATTTAATTATTCATGCAAAATAAATTCAATTTACCGCTTTTTCAGGACTCAATGATGCATTTTCTGGTGCTTTAACCAACTGTTGGCAAATATTACACTGTACAAGTTGTTTATCAACACAAGCCCATTGAGAGCAATGGTGGTCAAGAGGAAGTCTATGGTCCCCACTATATTTTTATATCAATCACATTTCAAATAAATATAACTATTACCAAAATGTATGCTGACATAAAGGACAAGACACAGGTAAAAAATCTTTTTTTTTTCTAAGTAATTTGTCTATAGCAAGCAATATTATACCTAGTGCATGACAACCATCAAGTTGACAGTGTCTTCCTACTTGAGGCAGTTCCATTATCAAGAAAAAAAGAAAAGAAAAAGAAAACTTTCTAAGCGCGTCACACTGTCGCTTTTTTTTTTATTCTCTTAATTTACAAAAAAATATTTATGCTGATGTTGATGCTTCGGTTGTTGTTGCTGTTGTTGTTGTTGGTGATGATGATTGCTTCACTTTTCTAGCTTGATATTTGTTGTGATTGATAATCTTGTTCTTTAACTCGGCTGCCTTTTCACTAAATAAATTTTTGTCTTTGGTCTCTAAAAGGTACTTGTCCAAACCACCCTTCTTATCAATAGTACGTAAAACAGAGGTTGTGACTTTAACTTTGATAAATTCAGAAAGAGATTCAGAATACAAGTTTTTGGTTTGAACGTTGGGCAACCAGTTGCGTCTAGTCTTTTTCTTTGAAAAGGGGTTCTATGCACATTTATAAGGACATTTCACTTTTGACTAATAGATGCTTTACATTGTTACCAAATTGAATATGCTTTCCGCCAAAAAGACCACGTTGAGCACGCTTAAATGTAGCTCTTGCAAGAGCATAGGCGGGTTGTGCAGACAACATGTTACAAAAAACAAAGAGAGAGAAGAAGAAAAAGAAAAATGTCCAGGAGGCTAGGCTCAGAGATTGAGAGATAAACAGAGTCACGCTGTGACTTGATGTAAAAATGGGAACCTAATCTATCCTTGTGTTTATGCCAAGTTTCATTACTATGGAAGATTACCCTGAGTACATCATCAAACAAAGAACAACAGAAGTAAGCATCAAACCAATTTTACAAAGTGCTGTTTCTTAGAAGGAACAATGAAAAGTAGGAAGGAGAAGTTTTATACTATGTCAAGTGGATCGGCTGCGATAAAGACGATAATACTTGGGAAAGTGAAGAGAAAATGTTAGCGTAAGCAATAAGGAACATAGCAGGTCTATAGGCTAATCATAAAAAAAAAGGGAATGGCCTTCTGCTGTGATAAGATATAAGAAACAGCTTGGAAACAAAAATATAGAAACGCGCAGACCAAGTATAGTAACGAGAGAAGAAGTTTTTAGATACACCAATTCTGTACAGGACTGGGAATCACAAGTGGATAAAATAGCTTATGTAGAGAGATCAAAAGTGCCTGGGTTGATTGTCTATATTGATTGGAAAAATGGATTGAAATCAGTACATCATTCAACTGAAGTCTATGCAAAATGTCCACAAAAGGTAAATTTCCTTTTCTTGTTTTCTGTAACATTGACTTTGTAGATGATTGAGTTTTTTGAAAAGTATACCAAATTTACTGAAATCTTGGCTGACGATTAAATGTCGTGTGACTCAGTATAAGGAGAAGAACACATTTTTTGTATTTTTATTTTTGATAAATAGAAAGAGTAATCATATAGTAAAATGCTTTTTTTTCTTAGGGGGAGTTTAATAAAAGGGGATAAGAATACACTTTGGTTATGTGCTAGGTAAAGTGACAAGAGATGGAAAAGTGTAATTAGTGTTGGAATTACTGGTGGTCATATTGTCAAGTGTCTTGTGATTCTTTGTAGTATCATACATTATTACAGCCTCATCATCTTCCATAAAGAATTGAACTTCATCGTCTTGATGTTGTTGTTGCTGTTGTTGCTGTTGTTGCTGTTGTTGCTGTTGCTGTTGCTGTTCTTTAGGTTGTTGTAAATAACTATGGTGGCTATCACCACTACTGCCTGTACTGTTACTTGTGCCAAGGATACTACTTTTGTTATTGCTTGGAATATTAATAGCAGCTGTGCCTTCTGCTAGTCTGTCTTCATAGTCAGCTGGTAGTGTCATTAGCATTTCGCTACTATTTTGTGAAGATTTGGTTAAGAAAGGTACTCTCCAGGATTGGCTTTGTTTTTGAACATCCAATGAGGATTGTGTTACATCTCTTGAAGAAGACCAATTTGAAATAGAATCAGATAAATGATTAGACGGACTATAGCTTAACTGCTGCTCTTGTTGTCTCACTCTTCTTACTTGCAATTCAGTTGGTGTAAACAAGTCATTCAATGAAGAGGGAAGCATAGCATCATTCAAGTCGTATTGCTGAAGATGATGAGAGTGACTAAAGAAGCTACTATGGCTACTATCATCATATCCAGCACTCATTGACCCAGTAGATGCCATAAGATGACGACGATAGTCAGTGTTGGTAGGCGTATTGTTAAATAATCCACTATTACTCATGCCACTGTTGCTTCGAACAGAAGACGATAGACGATGATTAGTAAAAGGCGAAGTTCCAAGCAGATAATCAGAAGATTCGCGGGGCGATGAGTGCAGGCCAATAAAATCATTGGAAACCACATTCGGACGTGGGCTTTGTTGGTTACGCCATACATTTTGTTGTTGTTGTTGTTGTTGTTCATTTAGTTGCTGGTAATGTTGGTGAAACAAGGGCACAGCAGGTGCAGAAGAACCAAAGAAAGGATCATTTAAAAACGATCGGTGGTCAAAATTATTGGAGTTATGAATACTTGAAGAGAGTGGAATAGCCTGATCCGTTGTCTTCCTTCTGCCTGCATAACCCAACGCATTAGGCTGAGGTGGTGTGCTTGCCATTACCATACGATTGTTATTACTGCCGCTTTTGCTTCCATTGGTGCCAAAAGGAGACATGGTATGTAACAAGGCACATTTTGTTCCAAATTTGCAGTTACCTTTTATAAAATATTTACATACAGCGGATTCTGAAGAAAGATCTGAGCTGTGGGAAAAAGTACAATTGGCTCCTGCGGTACATGTACCTTGTTTATAAAATTTGCAAGGAACATGCGATAGGTTGGATGCTATTAGAAAAATAAGTGTCTTGGTTTGAAGCCTATAGATAGTTACGCTTTAAATTATTACTGTTATTATTCATAGCCGTTTTTTGTGTTGAATAAAGTATTTCGGTTGAAGTGGGCTGAGTACGCGACCTTTTGTATTGAAAAGGCTGCAGTTGTGAAGGCGAGCTTTTAGATAGTAGGTTTAAAGAAAAATCAGGAGAAAATAGCAGGTTGGGGTCGGTCATAGTTTTGCACACGCACTCAACAGCTCAAGTACACACACACAAGCACACGCAAATACAGACACACACACAAATAATTATAAAAAAAAAGAAAAGAGAAGAAAAAGAGAGAGAGTGAATAAAGAAATAAAAAAGGGGAGAGTAAAAATATAAAATGTATATAAAATCTGTATGGTTTGATTGGCTACGAATTAAAAAGTCATGCGCTTCTAAAAAGATTCAGTTACACTAGATGCTTGTTGTAAGAAGCAAGACCTCTTTTTTTCATTACTAATAAGAAAAAGAAATGTAAAAAATCAAGTAGTGACAGTAGCAATAACAATGCTACAAATGCTACTTGAAGAACACATACATGTATGTAGATTCTCTCTTTTTTATTTCTCTTTCAAAGTGATAATCAGCTGTTTATCACACTTGCTTTTATACAGTTTTTACACTTTAAATTCAGAAAATGTTAGTTTTTTCTAGACGAATCAAAATTAACCTTTAGACTTTTAGCTTACCTTTTTTGGATAAAACAAAAAAGGAAACTAGACAAAATGGAAAAGGTTACTTCTTCCTTCAAATAACGATGCAGGATGATCATAAGCAGAGAGGTGAACACAAAAATTTGGATACACGTCAAATCATACTTTTAGTTACTCAGGCTGTTTTTTTTTTGCTGAGCAAAGTATGTTTATATTTTTCAGGTACTGGACAAAAGCTAGAGTTATTTTCAATTATTATAAAATACGCACAATTAAATAGACATATATCTGTAGGGCCTCAAATAAAAATAATATATCAGTGATTGAAACTCTAAATAAAAAGATAAAAAGCTGTCAGCTGTACTCTTTCTTCTTTTTTTCCCTTATGAAACCTCCTCTAAAGATAACTACAGTTAAAAGTCCTATTACTGGCATTGAGTGAAAAAACGAGATACATTCCAAGTCTCAAATCTCTTGTACTTAAAGTACATACTCTCGTAACACATACTTATGCACTTTTGAAGTATACCTTTACGCAAGAACTTGAAAACAACATGGATTTTGCTTTACAGGACCTTGCCAATGTTGATTTCTTCAGAGAAGTCTTTATTTCACTACTTGATAGCTATAAATCGGATAAAGCAAAACGAAAAGAAAAAGCAAGAAGTTACAAGGAACTTACCAATAAGCATCGAGATACCTATTGTCAACTCGCCTCTTATGTTCCAATCAAACTGAAATATGCGCAACAAATAGGAAGCTATAAAGCTACGAAAATCCACACTGCATACATGAATGGTGTCGCTCTTCATTTCGGGAACAGATTGCATATGTTTTTGAACCTATTGTTAAAGAAGCAGGAAAGAATTGGCGCTTTGAAAAGTGAAATGAAAAAGAAAAATTGCATAGAAAGCGAAATCTCTGCTGCGGTCAAAACCATAGCAAGCCAGTGCATCAAAGTAAAAATGAACATCTCTCTGAGGAACATCACTGAATTGCCAGCGCATCTTTTTGACTCACAAGAAGTCGGCATCCTTCAACAGTTTTTTGATTGCTACCCTTCTGACACTCACTTCAAGAAGAATTCTATTTATTATGATTGTAAAGCGGACCCATCGAAGCATTTGAAGGCATTTTATTATCTGACGCGATGTTCTGAATCTCTCTACAATAAGTCGTTCAACTGCTTTCCTCTGAGAAGAACATTCATACCTAGTTATATGACTATAGACACATATATCGTAAACACTCAAATTTTAAGAAACTCTGTCATTAGCCACTTAGACAAAGAAGTAATCTGGGGAGCCGTACTGAACATGAAATCCAAAGCTATGAAGCCTCAAGAAGACAATAAACAAATGAAGTTTAGAGGTATTATTTACACAGATGGTGTTGCCGTATTCATATTGAAGCAGACCTATGACAGCAAGAAGAAAGGTTCTGGAGGCGGCATGCGAAATGATAAGAAGATAGAAGAAGACATTGCTTACATAGAAAGTCTGTCGCAAGAAAAACTTCAAGAAAGAACTTACAAAAATAATTGTGTTTTGATTGACCCCGGACGGCGTGATATGTTGTTCTGTATGCACGAAAGCAGTACCATTGAAAAGAAAAAAAACTTATCGCTATATGAGAAATCAAAGGAACATTGAAACAAAAACAAGAAAGTTCATGAAACTTTGTGAAAGACTGAAACCAGAGGACGTAAGCAATGCAGAAGCAATTCTTTCACGTTTAAAGTCATCCACAGTCATAAAAGTTCAATACGTAGAATATACAAGACAGAAAGTTACCGTGACTCAAGTTCTTCAGGAATACTACTCGAATGAAGACTTGCCTTTAGAAGAACGTAATACTAATATGCTACCATTTCGAAAGCTAAAACTATCAAGCTACATTAATCGACAGCAATCTGACAAACGTCTTTGTAAGGATATCAGAAAACATTTTGGCAATAATGCTGTTATTGTTATTGGTAACTGGTCTGCAGGGAATGTCAAGTTCCATGAACCGATTAGAGAAGTTGGCATGAGAAGAATGCTTCAAAAAGAAGGTTTTCTGGTACACCTTATTGATGAATTCAAAACATCCAGTATATGCCCGGTATGTAAAGGTGATGTAGACACTTTCAAAGAAGTTGTGAATCCAAGGCCCTTTAGAAGGAAAAAATATCCAACCGTAAAATGTCATGGTCTTATAAGGTATAAAACTTTTAATTATGTTTAGTTTATTGATAACATTTGTGTGTCATCTAGGTGTAAAAATGAGCAATGATTGAAAGAAGATCGTCGTCTTTGGAACAGGGACTTACTCGCCACCCTCAACTTTTGTGAGATTCTCTTTAGTTTACGTGACCACGGTGCAAGACCGATTTACTTTCAAAGATCAGCCAAGCAAACACCAAAAAACAACAAAAAAGACAAAGACCTCCTTCTATTGAAAACGACAGTAGAAAAAGACAATAACAAATCTGAAGTAGTTATCGCTGCTTTCAATCCATTTTGTCTAATTTCCTTTTTCGTTTTATCCAAAAAAGGTAAGCTAAAAGTCTAAAGGTTAATTTTGATTCGTCTAGAAAAAACTAACATCTTCTGAAAATACTGTAGTTCGGTTAGACAGATTGTTTATTTAAAAAAAGGACATAATTATTGAAGAAAGAGGTAATTATATCAAACATAGAAAATCTGTTAGTATTATGAAGGTAAAAAAAGCTTAGTGTAAATGTAAGTTTAATCACACTATTTCCGGAAACTGAATGCATGCATAAAAAAATCTTGATTGCACGAATACTTTACACATATGAAAGGTAAAGAGCATACAATCTTATATTGCACAGATGTGCAACCATCTAGAAGGCTTTCTTATTTTATGCCCTTGTATTTTTCAAGCGATGCCTCAGATATTCCTAAATATAGTATACAGTGCCTTATTTTGTATTGACTTTTCCTTTGTTACGCACACAATAGTATTAAATGAACAGAAGAAAAAAGTCATTTATACATATTGAAATGAAAAAAAGAGCTCAATCAGCGTTTTGCTTCTTTTTACAAAGACGAGGGGGAGTTTGTAACCCGGAAGGGAGTTGGAGTCTTTTTGATAGAGATATAGGTTCTTCAAAATCGTTTTGCTGCTGATACTGTTGGGCTGCAATGACAATATCGCTAATTTGTCTACATACTGCTACAGCTTTGTTCACCATTTGATAGGCGGCAACAAAAGAAGGGACTATATCTTCTGCATCTATCGTCACAGTCTTTGTCTTCTTCAGCCGGCAACAAAAACCTTCTACTTGGTCAAGATACATGATATTGATAGAATATTTTGAGAACTGAAAACCAACTGTCATGATCTGTTTTTTCTTTTCTTGATCATAGTTAGTTGCTTCAAATAAATCATCAAGCATATCCTTCAAAACCTTGACTGTCTTTGTCTTATCAAAATTATTTTTCTTTGAATTTTGATCTGTCAACAAAGATGCCTCTCCATAAGACACTTCCAAGTCATTGAAATTAATCAACAAGTCCGCCTTTTTCCCAGTAGGCTTTCTTGCCACTTGATCAACAAATCTCAATCTTCTATTGGCAGAGGATTTACTGCTAATTTCACCTCGTCTACATCTAAGTTTTCCTTGCCTTTTTAGCTGAACGTCGACAAGATGTACCCAAAGGTTGATCATAATTTCTGTTTCTGAGGCGTTCTCATGGAACATACCACAGATAACATTGTCAATTACATTAGTTATTGAGAGCATAAAAGTATGACATGCATGCTTGTTGTCGTATTTTTTCAACTGATCCTTGCAGTAGCTTATCATAGCTTCAAGATAATCATTTTCATTGCTTGATTTTAATTCAACGTACTAAAAAAATTATACATTGAGATATTATGACCAAATATTACCAGATAAAAATTACCTTGTTCAAGATTTTCTGTATACATTCATCAAGGTCATGACTGATATCTGGCAAGCGTTTTGGATGAGAAGAAATGACTTCAGTTATTTCCTCATTGCTCAAGTATTTCTTGTAATTCGTGTCATCTAAATCAACTATCCATGAATGTGACAAACTAAATAAACTCTCAGTTAAAAAATTACTTGTTTAATATTTATTCGTTTACTTACTTTTCGTAGCTATACTGGTTTGATAGTTGATAAACAACATCTTCTAAATATTTTCCTGTCGTTAACTTCCATTTCTTTTGGTCATCCATGATCTCAAAAGCCAGCTGAACTTGTTCGCGCTGATTGGCTTGCAGAAGACGAGGTGTGTTGGTAGTAGTTATGGTGGCTGTAGTACTAGAATCAGTAGTCCTAGTATTAGGGGTAGCGGTTGAAGCAGAATTATCAGGAGCAATGGCAGCCGCAGCAGTATCCTCTTCCCTTTTTCTCTTCTTTAGCAGACTTTTAAGGACCTCGAATTCCAAAGAAGTATACGTTTCCTTATCAAGCTCAGGTCGAATTTGTTCAAGAAAGTTTATATGTCTGGTTCTCAATATAGTCTGAATCTTTTCTGCTTCTTCTTTGAGCTGTTTGATTTGCTCAACATGTGTAAGAACGAACAAGATTAAAAAAGGTTTTTCTTCGGTTTTGATAAATTCTTTGTGGTCTTCTTTTACTAAAACTATTTGTTAGTTATTTCATGCTTCATTGAAAATTTACAAGTGTAACTTACAGTTAGACATTTAAGCGATTTGGGAGAAAGAGGATTGAAAATAAAAAGAGAACGCTTTTTATAACATAAAAGATTTTTCATGCGACGTTACACAAGAGAAGTGTAGCACAAAGATGTCTATCAACTCGTATTTTCTTAGAAAACAAAAGAAATATATGAGCAATATCATCTAATTAACAGCTACAAACGCACTATAAACGAAGAAAATAAATTTATTTCGCTATGGAAGCGAAACATCAAAATTAGTTACAAGTACAAGAATCAAAACATTTACATCAATTCATGCAAAGAATTTTTTTCATTCAGTATTGAGAAATTGAATTGAAACTTAAAAAAGGCTAAGAGATAGTTGTTTGATTAGCTACTGAAACAAGACTCTCCGATTTTGGTCAAATACACTGATATAATGGTAAAAGTCTTAAATACGAGTAATACTGCTCATAATGATGAGCTATGAGAATTCTCAATTGAAAATACGCGATCAAACTAAACGATAGCTAAAAAGTGGAAGATATACTAAAAAAAACACTGTTATATAAGCACAGCATTTCATTATCGGAAAAATTCACTCCTTTCGGTATTTATTTTAAAGCTTCTTTCGACAGATGCAGGATTTATTCATTTTTTAGAAGAATACCAACTGACAATTAGCATTCTAAAAGAGAGCAAGATACACTTTAAAGAACACATTTAACTAGAGCTGCAATCAATCAAAAAAACAACTTGGGCAAAGCAGAATTAGGGAACATGTAGATAATAGTAAAATCGATATCTAAAGTCAGAATAAAATGAAACAAACAAATATATTGTTTTTTAGCTTTCTATACACATAAACTACTTAAAACAGTAGATGGTATTCATTGTGGTACAGTCCGGCTGGTGGATATTGTCGGTTACAAAAAAAAGTAATTGTCGATTACATAAAGGTATAATTGGCGGTTATAAAAAAAATGGTTGTCGATTTAATCATTCTTTTTTTCTTCATCCTACTATGACTGAATCTAACATTTTAACAGACTGCGCTCATCTTGAAACAAGCAACAATTCCTTTGAAGGTAAGTCAAGTTTGTGCAATTATAAATGCTTTCTCACACACACAATAATGATCTAGAAGAATCAGAGCATAACGTTACTGATTACTTACTACCGAAAGAACATGTTCCTGGAAGTGATCTGATAAGCAAGGCAGTATCAACTGATACCAGAATTATCAATATTATCAGTAAAAGTTTGGTTAACGCCCCAGAAGATCAATATAACGCTGCACCAAATGAATTCTTGAACGAATGTGCTTACGATGTTCTATATCTTATATTGATCTTCTGGGGCGTTAACCAAACTTTTACTGATAATATTGATAATTCTGGTATCAGTTGATACTGCCTTGCTTATCAGATCACTTCCAGGAACATGTTCTTTCGGTAGTAAGTAATCAGTAACGTTATGCTCTGATTCTTCTAGATCATTATTGTGTGTGTGAGAAAGCATTTATAATTGCACAAACTTGACTTACCTTCAAAGGAATTGTTGCTTGTTTCAAGATGAGCGCAGTCTGTTAAAATGTTAGATTCAGTCATAGTAGGATGAAGAAAAAAAGAATGATTAAATCGACAACCATTTTTTTTATAACCGCCAATTATACCTTTATGTAATCGACAATTACTTTTTTTTGTAACCGACAATATCCACCAGCCGGACTGTATGGCTAATTTTTCCTTTCTTCTTTTACCAGGAAAACTTTAAAAATTTTCTTCGTTTTCTTTGCATAATACAGACCATCAGATATGCGTTTTGAGCAGAACTGGTTAACAGGAAGGCATATATCTATATCAATATAACGCTAATGCAAAGGTACAATCTCATTATTTGTTATTACAAAAGACCAATTCCAAGGTAGTGAGGTCATATCATCTATCATTCAAAAAGATTACTGTAGTGCTGACTATAGATTCAGATGCAACCTGTTACTTCACTTTATCCTACCTTTTTAGTAGCCTATTTCAATAAGGCTTTCAAACTTATATGACTTGAGCTTGAGGCTAAATATCTATAAAATGAAACGTATTTTCCCTGTCATATTTCTACACCAAATAGGGGGCCCGGTGTTTGCCAGTTTCCTACCGCTAGCATCGTGCACTACCAGTTTTTGCTATAGCACACGACGGAGATGTGAAGGGATGACCAGGACATACTTCAAGAGAAGTATGTAAGAAAAAAGCTTCGCATCAGGTAGGGGGCCCGGTGTTTGCCAGTTTCCTACCGCTAGCATCGTGCACTACCAGTTTTTGCTATAGCACACGACGGAGATGTGAAGGGATGACCAGGACATACTTCAAGAGAAGTATGTAAGAAAAAAGCTTCGCATCAGGTAGGGGGCCCGGTGTTTGCCAGTTTCCTACCGCTAGCATCGTGCACTACCAGTTTTTGCTATAGCACACGACGGAGATGTGAAGGGATGACCAGGACATACTTCAAGAGAAGTATGTAAGAAAAAAGCTTCGCATCAGGTAGGGGGCCCGGTGTTTGCCAGTTTCCTACCGCTAGCATCGTGCACTACCAGTTTTTGCTATAGCACACGACGGAGATGTGAAGATGTGTAAGGGAAGAGATCAATGTGTTGCCTAGTTTTTAATAGGCCATACTTTACACGGAGTGCAGTCTTCTTTCACTCGAGGCAGTCACATTTTGTGAGTCTGTCCTGACAGCTCGCTTAGCTCACTTCCAATTTCTGTTTTTTGAGCATGATCGTTTTTTTGAGGTGGCTCTCTGTTGAAGCATTTTAGAAGAGACGATAGCAATATGTTAGCATACTAACAACAGCAGCGAGTTGGAGACCCGCCTAGGGCGCTTTTTTTTTTTTTTTTGCAAGCGAAGCGGAACAAGCTTGTTTAGGAACCATTTTTCTTTTTACCACAGGTGTCGATTTGGCTTAAAAAAAGAACTAGTATAATGATAGAAAAGCACAACTGACCATTCAAGAAATCTGCTTTTATAAAAATAATGAATGACAAGTATATGACAATGCTTTTGAAGAGAATTGCGTGGTTGTGCAATAAAAGGCCTAGAAGTTTTTTGCTCTTTACTTTTCATGCGCTCAAAGCGATCGCGGTTAGCGTACAGCTCAAAGAATTGTTTTCATTCTTAGTGTTTCTATATTGGTGCAATCAGTTTTAGGAAACTGTGTAATTTATTTTTGGTTTTATTGCATTCGAAATGAGCTTATTGTTTAAACCGACTAGACTTTGCAGTTTATGAAGGTAAAAATAGCCCCTAAAAAGCAAGATCATTGTCAATAACACAAGTCTGTGATATTTGACAACTTTAGGCTCTGTTGTGTCCTATCCTATATAAACTTAAACCAGGAACTTGCTATAGAGATTTCCTATAGTGTCGAATTTACTTGAAATCAATGGCGCAGTAAGAAAAATCACAATCTCCAAAAACAACCATTTTGTGCTACTTGTAATGGATCTGCATTGACTGTCTAAAGATATCTTTTTGCACTTATAGAAATATTTCAATGTTTTTTTATTACATTTCTTTATATGTGTGGTTGATGTATTGTGTATGCGTGTAGTAAATGAGTCTATTCGAATTTGATGCTATGGCTTTCAAAAGAGATTTGTCCACCTCTAAAGGAGCCTCTCTTCTTCTTGTTCTTTTCAGCACGGAACTTGTCGCCCGAACCTTGATCAAATCTTGAGAAGCTTTGTAGCCATAAGAGCTGATACCAGATCCACCTTTGCCTTCATATGTATTATCCTTTAAACGGTCATCTAAAAACTCAACTTCTTCTGGTTTGACACGTTGGAATGGTGTACCTTGAACTCGCTCGCGCTTCACTTTGGGGCCGCTAAAAATAGGATGTTAGGGTTTAAATTCTCTGTTTATTTTGAAAAGCATGGAATGAACATGAAGGGGGGATGTATGTACGAGTGTGTATGGATGATATTATTTACCTGTTGGACTTTTTGGGAGCAGGTTGTTCAGCAGGTGCTTCAGTAGCCTTACGTTTAGAGTTGGTGGACTCTTCCATCTTTACATCCTTATCAGAATCGGAATCACTATCAGAATCGCTGCTGGAGTCAGAGTCGCTGCTGCTAGATTCAGATTCACTGCTGCTAGAGCTGGATTCGGATTCACTGGAGCTGCTGCTGCTAGATTCGCTGCTGCTGGAACTGCTGGAGCTGGAAGATTCCTTCTTTTCTTCCTTTTCTTCCTTTTCTTCTTCATCTTCTTCATCAGAGGATGATTCAGAATCAGCATCAGAACTAGAATCGGAGTCAGATGATGATGAGGAAGAGTCTTTCTTTTCTTCAGCCTTGGCTTCTTCTTCTTCATCAGAAGATGAATCGCTAGAAGAGGATTCACTGGAGGAAGAGCTGCTGCTGGATTCAGCCTTCTTCTCTTCAGCCTTGGTTTCTTCTTCTTCTTCTTCTTCATCAGAAGAGGAGTCACTGGAGGAGGATTCGCTAGAAGAGGAAGAGCTGGAGGAAGAAGAGCTGGAGGAGGATTCGCTAGAAGAGGAAGAGCTGGAAGAGGAGCTTGAAGAACTGGAAGAGGAAGATTCTTTCTTTTCTTCAGCCTTGGCTTCTTCGACCTTGGCTTCTTCTTCTTCATCAGAGGAAGAGTCGCTAGAAGAGGAAGAGCTGGAGGAAGAGCTGGAAGAAGAGCTGCTGCTGGATTCAGCCTTCTTTTCTTCAGCCTTGGTTTCTTCTTCTTCATCAGAAGAGGAGTCACTGGAGGAAGATTCGCTAGAGGAGGAGCTTGAAGAGGAGGATTCCTTCTTTTCTTCGGCCTTGGCTTCTTCTTCTTCTTCGTCAGAAGAGGATTCACTGGAAGAGGAAGAGCTGCTGCTGCTGCTGCTGCTGCTAGAAGAGGATTCAGCTTTCTTTTCTTCGGCCTTGGCTTCTTCTTCATCAGAAGAATCGCTGGAGGAAGATTCGCTTGAAGAAGATGATTCTTCCTTCTTTTCATCAACATCCATTTTATCTTCTTCTTCACTATCACTGCTGTCGGAAGAAGAGCTGCTATCAGATGAAGAGGAGGATTCCTTCATTTCAACATCTTTTTGTTCCTTTTCTTCTTCTTCGTCAGAAGATGATTCGCTACTGCTGCTGCTGCTGCTTTCGGAAGAACTGCTTGAAGAGGAAGAGCTGCTAGCGTTTCTATGGATACGTCACTTAGTTACACTTTTTCTCATATCGTATTACTTACTCAGACTTGAATTGTTCAAAGATAGAAGTCAAAGTCTTCTTAGTTTTTTGCTTTTCAACCTATAAAAATTATTAGAAACTTCGAGATCAACACGACATAACTTACCGAAGGGTTCTTCTTTTTCAAAGCGTTGGCGGCTTCGGTATTACCACTTTCTAACAAGTACTTGTAGACAAGAGAGTCAAGGTCAGACATAGAGTTTACAATAAAGTTTAAAAAAAAAAAAAAAAACCTGTAAAAAAAATTGTTAACTTTCTAATCTATCAAGAAAAAAATAAAACAAGTCTCAAAGTGAAGTTTAGTGGCTTATCTTGCTCGACTGCTTTTGATCTTACTATGTTCCTGAATCTAGGGATGAAAAATAAGGGTATGACGTTTTTTATTGACTTTGTTTAAATATATAGAAGAGAGATATAGTGTTTAGTTGTACATGGTCAAGTACTGTCTTCGAAAGCCTGATATACTAATGATTGTATCGGCAATACTAGGATGAGATGATACAAGCTGGAATATCAACCATATCACCATCACTAACATTTAATTTAGTAACCCTATGTAATATTCACTTATTTACTTACGACATAACATGGGAACCCAGAAAGAGAACAAGCGTTTATCTCTTCGTTTCTTGGCTGCTGTATAGATTTGTTGGCTATGACTACTACTACTACTACCACTACTACTACTACTATTCTGTAGTTCATAAGGGTGTTGTTCTTTTCGCTCTTCTTCTTCTGTTAAGCTTCGTGCGCCCATGGCATACGCTAAAGCCATATACCAAGCCAATGCTTGTTCTGCTGCTGGTTCATCTTGTGATGATTTGTTTTGTTGAGTAGCATCATCTGCTCCAAACAAGACAGACATATTCGCAATCATATTGCTTGGACGAGAAAACTCGAGTACATGATCAGCAATCGTCTTGAGATTGAGTTCTGCAGGTTTAGCAGGAATGGTGTTTTTGATGTTTTGAAGGAACGAACGATTGTCTGTAGGCTGTTGGAAATGAGACAATGTACGCTGCATCCAATTCATTTCTTTAGGATCTGCTTCGTCCATTTCATAGTCTGTTAAATGATGAACATGATAAAGTGTTTCTGCATCCATGATTTCATCTGTTGAATGAGACAAACTTTCTTCTTCGTGTAGGTATTGAATGGCAGGTGGCGTATTTGACTGTTGCTGTTGTTGCTGTTGTTGCCTGCGTCGGTGTCGAAGTCCTTCAAAGGCTAAATAAGGTTGATATTCAATAGACTCTTCTGAATCTGACAAGTAGGATGAACGCCATGTATCTTCAGCAACAGATTCATGATCACTTAACCAAACACTTTCTTCATCACTCTCTTCTTCATCAAAAGAAGTGTCGACATCAGCACTCATTTTATCGGATGAATCATAGTCATCATATACTGCATCAGATTCGTCTACCACAACCACATGGTTCCAAAGAGCGCTCTGAATAGCACTGCTGTCTGTCAGATGCACAGGCTTCTTGTTCCATCTGTTTGAAATGTCTGGATCAGCAGCACCTTTTTCAAGCAAGACACGGACCACAGAGGCATGGTTATGCCAGGCAGCATAATGTAATGCCGTATAGCCATTCTTGTCTGTGATATTGACATCACAGCCTAAATCAATCAACATGTCTGTCAATTGAGCAAAGCCTAACATGGCAGCCAAATGAAGCATACTGTGTCCTTGAGCACTAGTCAGCGAAACATCCGAGGATTCAACATCTCGGAATGCACACATGACTTGCAAGACTTGAATAATATGTCGTTCTAAGCACATCTTTTGCGTTGTTGTATCAGCAGGAGCAGAAGAAGTGGTATTGCTACCATTACCATTGTTATTATTGCCCCCACCTTGTACAATTCGCATAGCAATGTCGCGAGCATCTTCTACTTTGCCTGTCATTTTCAGGCCCACGACTTGAAGTGCAAGTTCCATCAGAGCACGGTCATTTTCATTATAATAAGTAAATAAAGTGACATCTTGGCTATCTACCACAAGAGGATACTCTTTGAATGAAACAACCACAGTACCTGCTTCTGCAGCAGGAGGTAAGATACAGACAAGAGTGTTGGGGGACCAGAAATGAGTGCTGGAAGCAGCTACATCACCAAACATACAGGTCAAACCAGCTCTGAATCCACTGCCTAAAAGAGTGACTTCCACACCACCAAATGTAGGACCTTCATTGGGAATCAAGCGTTGAAGAGAAGGTCTTTCAGTGTTGGGTGCAGGCACAGGCGACATGGCTTTTTCGATAAAAGGTGAATTGCCTCCCATGGGTGAGTCTAAAGGTGTTAATGGGCTACGAGGATCCATGATGACTGCTGCTGCTGCTGCTGTAGTTGTGGTTGTGGTGGTTGTGGTGGTTGAATGTGTAGGACGAGGTTGAATTTGATACGGTTGAGGAATGAAATGAGGGTTGTTATACATAGGTCGATTTTGTTGAAATGAAGCAATCGTGTTGGGAACAGCACTTGAGGAAGAAGATGAAGAAGAAGGTGCAAATGGTGGTTGATCAAATGGGCTTGAAAGAATGCTTGCGTTTGGAGGTAATTTGTCTATCTCCGTTCGTTGACGTTTTCTGCCTGCCTTCACTTTGTTTGATTTATGGTCGTCTGTGATCATGATAGGGGGGGACATGCCTGTGGCTACTTGCTTGCCCGTATGATCCAGCATTTCAAAATAAATGCAGAAACCGAGTCTTTCGTTATGGTGTCTGCAGTAACATGTGATACGAGTGGGCAGAATTGTATCACCTGAATTAAAATCAACGACTTCAGAACAGTTGAACAGCAACACTTTTTGTTCTTCTAAAGCAATTGACTTTTCGTCTACTTGTCTTTCTTCTTGCTCATGCTTGACCTTGTTTTCTTTTCTACGTTGTGAACGTTTCCGCTCACGTTGAATACAGCCCAGACAAGTAACGACTTTCCGAGATGGATCGCTTGCACAAATGACACGCGCAGACAAAAACAACATTTTTTCAGGCTTAATATGAGTTGCATTATCTAATCCTGCCACATTAGCAATTTTGGATCCATTAGGTGCTGTTGATAAAAGCACTTGTCGTTTTAGTTTGTCTTTGGCTACCATATGTTCTGGTAATTTGAGGTGGGACCACCATTGTGCTTTGTCACCATCGTCTGTGACTAATTGGATACAAAGCTTTATTTGGGTCTCAACACGAGACTTGGCGCCTGTCTGAGGGACACCTAATACTCTAATTTGCATACTAAAAGAAATGAGTTATATATATGTATATATGTATATGTATGTATATAATTTACCCTGGCATAGTAGTAGTAGTAATCGATGTAGTAGAAGAAGATCGTTCCGTTTTAAGTGGTAATCTATTATAAAATAAGTATTTCGTATGATGATCAATATGCTTATTACGGTGAATTAAATGGTGGTTGTGATTGTTGCACTGGATAACCAGAGATATATTCAGTAAAGTTCTTAGCGAGGTTTGGAATAGCCTAAGTATTGATCAATAAATAATAATAATAATAATAATAATAATAATAATAATAATAGGAATCATTACATTGTTAAAACCAGACCAAAATGTTGGATGAGAGTCTGTAGGTGTTGATGTGTTTGGTAAAAGAGGGTCTACAAAACTCTGTACGGTATGTTGCGAGGGTGAAGGTAATGAAGGTGAAGGTGAAAGTGAGGGTGATAGGATATGTTGTCTTTGTGGCTGTAATAAATGTTGTTGTTGTTGTTGTTGTTGTTGTTGTTGTTGTTGTTGCATAAAAAACAAGGGGTTGTCTGGAGATAGTTGGTCCAATTTATAAAAGAAAGATTGGTCAATAAAAGAAGAAGGTTGAATATTTATAACGTCGTCGTGTGGTTCTGAAGTTGATGAGCCTGAAGGTGAATCACAAGTTGTGTATTTATTATGTTTATTATTACTAGTGGCTTCATCTGCTACAACTGAACCTGAAGCAAGGTCCACCAAAGGGCTTGTTGTTGACATATTTTATATAAAGAGATACTCTCTGAATAATGTAAGCAATACAAAATATAAAAATAAAAAGAAAAAGAAAAAGAAGAGACACTCAACGTGAAATTTTTTTCCCTTTTTTGATATACAAATCTGACCAATCAAATGACTCAAGTCATAGTAGACTCAAGGACAACCCTTCATAGTGTCTGCATCGTATTCTACACTTAAATCGTAGTCTATGTATATATAGATCATATAAAAAAAAGAGTAGAGATCAAAGCCTGTTCACGTGACTCTATGGACCTTACTTTGCTCGGCTTGTACTTGTAGAATTGACCCCTTTCTTTGGGGACAAATTTTTTTATGTTGAATTTTCACATTTGAACACATAAAATCCCTCCAACTTTTTAGATAAACAAAGAAACGTGCAAAAGGTACAAATGTATTTATTGCATTTGTTTATTCTATTCAGCCCAAATAGGCCTTCATTCAATGGCTACCCATGAAGAGTCAGAAGCTCAGCAAAAGATAGGTATATTACAGGCTTATTGCGTATATTGCTTATAAATTAGTTATCTTGGTTGAAAATGTATCTACTAATTTCTTTTTATGGAAAACACAGAAAGTAGTTTTTGCAATGTTAGGATGCCGCTTCATGCCAAAATAGAAAATTAAGCTTTATTATTTTTTATTTTGATTCTAGATAGCATTGTATACATCATGAGTGTTTATTTAGAGTACAATATTTATATATATATATATATAATGTGTATTTATAGCTATCCTGATTCTCAAAATAACAATAAAAGCCATTCATGTTTTAAGATGGTAACAATAAGAACTTCTTTCATGCCATTACTTTATGTCATTGATGTTGATCTTGAAAATAAATTCACAGTCACCCATGTGCCTGAACAACATTGGCTTTCTTTTTTTTTTTTTTTTTTTTTTTTTTTTTTTTTTTTTTTTTTTCTTTAAAAAAAAAATATTTTTCTAAATAAAACCCATGAAGCAGCAACAAGACAATAGCAATAGAGACAACGACGACAACAATGATAAAATTCTGATAGAAAATAAATATGCTTCACTGTTGACATTGATTGACACCATTTATCCTCCTCTGCTGTGTACTTTATGTGATGCAGTATTTACTTCTAAACATGCATCAAATCATCATTTTGCTGAAAAGCACAAAAAAAGGCCTCGATATATCTGTATTCATCCTTATTGTGATAGGCGATTTTTGTCTAAATGCGCATTGCGATTTCATATTTCACGCTCACATTTGGTGATCCAAGCAAAAAAACCTTTACCAGATCCTTCTTTTATTCAGTATGAATCAATTCAACCTGATCCTGTGGAAGACATTGAAAAGCCAGTACTAAAGAAAAAGAAAGAGACGCCACCAAAACAGCACAAGAAACCACCTACAAAAAAACTGACTCGGAAAGTAATGATACCACCACTTTCCAGTGACGAACTATCGACTCCCTCACCACCTCCTTCACCTTTTGCTCTATATCATCATCATCATAAAAGAAATGCTAACAAAAGACCTACACTTTCTGTCAAAGCAGAGCAATTTCTGAATAGCATTTACCCTCCTCTTCAATGTCCTAGTTGCAACCAAGTGTTTGCCCGAAAAACAAATGTGATCAAGCACTTGGCAGAAGCACATATAGGACAAGAGCCCTATCGTTGTATTTATCCCTCATGTAACCACCCTCGACTGTATGCCACACGAGAAGGCTTGGTTTACCACATTGTACATGTTCATGACACTCAAAAATAAAACAGTTTTATTATGTTGTCCATTTTAAACATCGAGTTTCCATATGCGTAGAAAGGCATTGAGTCGAACAATACTTCATGCCACAACGCAAACATCTATAGTTGCTTGAAAATCCGCATACAGAACAAAAGTTTCTTGGTGGGTATATAGAAGGAGAAACAGAGCATGTCTGATAGCAAAAAGGAGTGACAGGCTAAAAGAATGTGAATAGGTCCTGCATAAAATTATCCATGGGCTTACTGTTTCTTCTAAAAGGGCTGTCAAATTGGCTTTGGTCGAATGAATATTGATTGATCTGCCTCTTGATTTACGGGAACTGGCTATAAAAGTTGTTCAGTAGTCCATAATACAGAACAACAGCCTACCTCCTCCTCCACCTCCTCCTTCTTCTTCTTGTGCTGCCAGCGCAATACTGATCAAACCTTCTACATCATTAAGCGGTTGGTGATTATCTTTCTCTAATGACTCCAGTTGTCGCTTTAGACGCTTTGAGTGAACTTCTGGATCGTGACGAGTATATTTAACACGCTTTGACATAAAGGAAAAAAAAAATAAAAAAAAACAAAAAAAAAAGTCGGTCCTTGATTTTGTTGGTGTCCTTGGGTTTTTAAAAGTACGCATGTGAGCACACACGTAGTGTCTTCTTTTCTACTTTGCCGCAGTCATGGATGATTTCGATGGATTGTTTGATCATGATCTAGACCTTGACTTATTGGACTCACCATCCAACCATGCCTTGACCAGTAAAGACACAGGCATGGACGATGACTTTGGAGACGATGATGATCTTGATCTAAATGACCTTGTGGAAGTGACAGAGGCAGTAGAACAACAACATGCTGTATCCAATGGCCAAATCAGCTTTGTTTCCTTTGGAGAACATGATCCTTTACCTCCTCCAGCTTTACCTTCATCTACACCATGCTTTCATCCCTTTGACACTGAGAATTTGCGTACATGGATCTATCCCATCAACTATCCTATTCGTGGCTATCAATTCAACATTGTTCAGAAAGCCATGTTCCATAATACACTGGTAGCATTGCCTACAGGTCTTGGTAAGACCTTTATTGCTGCTGTTGTCATGTTTAATTACTATCGTTGGTTCCCAAACTCGAAAATCATTTTCATGGCACCTACACGTCCTCTTGTGGAGCAACAAATCGAAGCTTGTTTTACTATCTGTGGTCTACCTCAAGAAGACACAGTCGAAATGATGGGCAGTACAACACCAGCCAAACGAAGAGAACTATGGAAATCAAAACGAGTGTTTTTTGCTACACCACAAACGATTCAAAAGGACCTTGAATCATCCAGTTGTGCCGCTGAAAAAATCGCTTGCATTGTCGTTGATGAAGCCCATAAAGCCACAGGCAATTATGCCTATTCTGAAGTCGTTAGAAAAGTGTCGAAAAAGAACAAAGATTTCAGAGTGCTTGCCTTGACAGCGACGCCAGGCTCTAATTTAGACGCTGTTCAAGCTGTGGTTGACAATCTACATATCACAAACATTCAGATTAGAACAGAAGATTCAATGGATATTCGTGAATACTCGCATGGAAAAAACACACAGCATGTCATTGTCAAACTGAGTTATACAGAAGGATCAACAGGTCTTCTTCCTCGTATCATTGAAGACTTCAAACAGAACGTATTGGGCCCTCTGCTTACAAATCTGTCTAAATTGCCCATCAATGTCTCGGCTGATATAGAGCGCACCTCCTCATTTGGGCTGCATGTTGCTCGCAACACGTTTAGAAATACAGCGAAAAACGTAAACCAAAACATCAAATGGAAAGTATTTTCCTTGTGTTTAGTTGCAGAACAAGCTTATCGAGCTTATGAGCTCCTGTGTCAGCATGGTATTGCTCCTTTTGTGAGCACAGTTGAGTCTATACTTCAGGAATTCAATGCTATCACTCAAAACGGCAAAGAAATGAATCAAGCTCAGCGTCAATTTGTTAAGAACAGCGCACTTCAAGGTATATTGCGGACATGCAAACAAGAAATGACCAAGCCAGACTTTGTTGGCCATCCTAAAATGGATCAATTGGTTTCTATTTTACTGAACCATTTTGCTAGTTTAAGCGAAGGCAAAACATCAAGGGCCATGGTGTTCTCTAGCTATAGAAATTCTGTTCAAGATATTGTGAATGTGCTCAATAGACATTCGCCCATTCTTCTTCCTTCTTTCTTTGTTGGACAGGCGTCTGATAAGCATGGTACGAAGGGTTTAAAACAAACAGAACAACAGGCTGTTATTCAGAAATTCAAACGAGGCGAATTCAATGTCTTGGTATCGACAAGCATTGGTGAAGAAGGTTTAGATATTGGTGAAATTGATTTGATTGTATGCTTTGATTCTCAATCATCACCTATTCGTATGGTAAAGTACCATTCTATCTCTTTATCTTTAGATATTTATCTACTTTTTTCTTTAGCTACAAAGAATGGGTCGTACAGGTCGTAAACGAAAGGGTAAATGTATCTTACTCATGACAGAATCTGAAGAAAAGAAATTCCAACAAGCAAAAGATGCTTATTCTCGAATTCAAGGCCTTATTACGCGTGGTGGTCTATTGAAATACTATAAGCCTAACCCTAGTGTTCTGCCCAACAACTACAAACCCTCACTCTGTCGTAAAAAGCTAGATGTGGGTGTCTATGTGCCTAAGATGGTTAAAAAACGAAAGCGTGGCCAGGAACAGGAGTCTGATTATACCCCAGAAGGCTTGTTGAAGCCTGAAGTTGAGCATGCTTTTATTCGTAGCTTTAATGACCAAGACCATATGTTTACTTCTATGGAGCCCATCATGGAACGGTTTTGGCCAGTACAGCGTATGGTGAAAAGTGTCAATAAGTTTATACCGATTCAGACAGTTAGTAAATCAGTTCACCGGGTACAGCATTCCAGACGTACGTTGCAGTTTGTCGATCTTGTCAAGAAAATGGAGCACCGCATCCTGCATCCTGAAGAGAAAATCAATTTCAAGTTTTCTTTGCCCAAGAAACAAACCCATTTACACTTACCTTCGAAAGGAAAACAGAAAAAGACACGTCCTTATGATTCCGTGGACCTGGACAATCAAGATTTTGCTGCGTTCATGGAAAACCATGACATGTCGCAGTTCATGATGACAGACGATATGCCTACAAAAGAACTGGTGCTCCCAACCTCAAAAAAAGATAAAGGCAAAGCCAAGATGAACCCAAGCGACGAGGGACATGTCGAATTTAACTCTGATGCGGATAAGCAAATGGATCCTCTTTCTTCGGACCCCATGTTGCCTGAGAGCGTCTATGAAGAACCAGGTCTTTTTGAAGACAGACAGAAAGACGTGCAAGTAAGTGTGTCTGATACCTTGACACCTGTTCCTGACTCTCCTAGTAATCAACATGACGCAAGTGATGGATTTTCTGATGAATTTCCTTTGGACGACTCGTTCATTGCAGATGCCTTATTGATGGTGGAAGATGTGCCTGGTTTTCATGATCCACTTGAACCTCAGTTTCCTTTTGAAACAAACACATATGCTTCTAAAGCTATTTCGTTTGTCTGGACGCATGCGATGCCTGAGTTCAGCAGAAAAGCAAAAGATTTACTTGATCAACGACAGATCAGCATGAAAGAATTGACAGGTCGATTCTTGGCCATGCAATGCTTTCCTCAATATGGCCAGCAGATAAGCCGTGTTTTACGTGATACAGTCGAAACAAAAGCATCATCTCCTCCCAAGGAACCTCCTCAAACAAAATCGCCAGTCAAAGTCATGACAATCAAAGATAGTCAAGCCAGCGAACATCAAGCACAACCTATGGAAGACGACGATGACTTTGATCAATTTGATTTTATCAGTGACGGAGCGTTTGCTAATTTTCTTGAGAATAAATTCTCGGAAGATGATCAGCCTGGCGACTTTTCTCATTTTATGGAGGAACAAGAAGCAAGCCAACAATGTTTTACTCAACACATCATGAAAAAGTCTTCCCTATATGCTGATACAAGTCAAAAACAACAAGATAATCACAAAGAACAAGAAGAAGAGGTGTTTGTATTTGACCTCAACGAACCATTTTCTGATAGTGATGATGAAGAGCAAGGAAATAACCAAGCTATGCCTACACTTAATCAACACATAGAAAACCAAGAAGACAATCAAGTATTGCCTATGTCAATTGAGCGAGTCAACAACAAAGCATCGCTCCAAGAGTCCTCACCTATACATATTCAACAAGAAGTAAATACAACACCTTTAATAAGTATCAATGAAGACAGTCAGCCTCGTCTTGCTCATACAAGAAAAGCGTCTGTTCTACTCACCAGCGATGATGAAACAGAACCAGATACAGCAGTTCGTGCTGGCCATCACCGTAGTTCAAGCTTGTTGAGTGAATTATCAAGAGGCATTTACACCCCATCTCCGCTTCGCCATGACATTCAAAGCAGTGAAAATGAAGCTTCTCCTGTGTTGATATACCGTAAAAGACGCATGAAAAACAGAATCATTCAAGAAGACGATCATGATGAAGATGGCGATCAAGTAGAGATTGTCAAGACAAGAAAGAAACGGTTACGACAAAAATCTTCTACACTTTCGCCTCTTGCTTCTGAAGATGACTTGATCATTGTACCACCTTCTAGCCATAGTCTTCTGAAGCGACTTAAACAAAGTGGCTATAATGCTCATCATCGAACTCGTCAAGATCATAATGATGAGTTAGAGAACCCGTTTATTGACGTTGAAGCAGAAAAAAGTAGCGATGGAGGCCATACAACAGAAGACGAGATGGAAGAAGGTTCTTCCTGCATGGACTCTTTTATTGATGATGCTAGTGATTTACTTGCAAGTCGCATCTCAAACGACACAGCAAGTCCAGCTCGAAACATTTACGTTCAGAGCTTATTACATGACGAAAATCCTAGTAACCGAAAGCATTGGATCAACAGATTTGATGCTGACAAATGGACTAACTTTAATGGAAACGATGATGGTATTGTTCAGACAGAAGATGAAGAAGAACCTGAAAGTGTACAAGACTTTTCGTCAGATGTTCATTTATTTTCCAACAATAACCGTGGCCATTTAGAGCAGATAGAGGCAGATGATGATGATTTTATGTAAAATAGATAATGTAAATAAGTTTCTAAAAAAGTACAAGAATAATAGTAACAATGATACAAAAAGATAAAAAGTGTTTACTGTATGATAATGCTGTTGACATGGATGATTCTGTATCTTCCCGCAGTGCTAAAAGATTCTTCATTAATGCTCCAATCCAAAAATGCTGTGCTTCTTTTGTATCCAAAAGGCCGTTGTTTTCAACAACCACACCAATGCGCCAGGCCGGATGCAACTCTCCATCTGGGTCCTCTTCTTCACCCTCGCTATAGTCAACTAAATATATCGTGAATACTTGAACTAGCTAGAAATACAACTTACAAGGTGGTTCATAAAAAGGATCTCTTAAATCCTCAACAGCAATCTCTGTCACATTGGATATCCAGTCAATAAGTGCGATACTGTTGGTAAATACTTGGCTCACTGTATTTTGAGTACTGTCATCATGTAAGGCACTAGCGATGGATACTGGACAAGTAAGGATGTCTGGGCTCACATCTCTAGCACCAAAGATACGCGTCAAATCACCCAATACATAAGGCATATCCGATGTTTCGTTTGTCTGAGGATTTACTGTAGGATAATAGACAACTAAAGGCCCTCCTGAGTCTCCATGACAAGCGATATGAGGCTCAGTACTTGATCTAGATTCCAAGTACTCTTTTCCTACTGAATCGAACTTCGTAATATCCAAAGGCAACGTCTGTAAATCCTGAGCTAATTGCCCTTCAATATCTGTGTATCCAAATCCAATCATTTCAGCTACATAGCGTTAGCAACAAAGAACTGTTTTAGCTTCTTACCTTGTGTAGGTGGTTTTGAAGCAATCGCTGGTGTCCAAAAAGGAACTCGCTTAATTCTTTTTGAAGGCATCAATGGTGAAGCTAGTTTAACAATAGCAGCATCATACCGAATATCAATATTGCCAGATATGTTGTATAGAGGATGAATAGCCCAATCTACAATGGCTGTTGCTTTTTGATGTGTGCGATGAATATTATTGTATAATGCAAAGTAAGGATTTTTATCACGGACATAACTTGTAGGATGCACGGGTGCATCAACACAATGTGCTGCTGTCAAAATGTACGCTGGGTCATAGGATAGCAAAGTACCGCCGCATACATGAGGATTGCCAATCATGACATAATAGGGATACTTGTTTTGATCAGTAACACGAATACCATTTTGAATAGCCACTACACTCGATAAAGCGATTAAAAGAATAAAAAACACCATATAGAGAATAAAAGAAAGAAAGAAAGTAAAGGGAGGGAAGAAGTTTACATAGAGTTTTTATATTTTGTTTTTCTAAAAGAATGTATGCGCAATCATTCCTTAAACGTTTTCTAAAGTGTGTAATGTGCACGGCCAAAAAAAAAACTTATTGTCCTTTATTTATATATAGTTAATAATTATAGTTTTGTTGTGCTTGATATCCTGGGTTAGTGGTTTGAGGAATATAAGGCTGTTGAGGTGGGTAGTGAGTAGGTGGGTAACCTTCTGTACTTGAAGGCGTAGCAACAGCAGGAGGAGCATAAGCAGCGTAGTTTTGTTGTTGTTGTTGTTGTTGTTGTTGAGCAGCAGGGGAATAAGTGGCATGATCATGAGCAGGAGGGGCTACTGTTGGATAGCCATAATCAGAAGTTTGTTGCTGAGGTTGAGGGGGAGGAGGCTGATAGTTTTCATAAGAAGCTTGGTATGGTTGCTGAGGTGCCTGTTGTTGCTGATTATAATCATATGGAGATTGTTGTTGCTGAGGAGGGTTAGTGGCATTCATTTGAGGCGTAGGTTGCTCATTGTTGTAAGAATAAGCAGGCTGTTGAGCAGGTTGGTTTTGAGGAGCAGGGCTTTGTACTTGAGGTTGCGATGATGGTGGTTGTTGGTATCCATAAGGAGACTGTTGTGGTTGACCAGTATAAGGCTGACCTGGTTGATAGCCATAATTTCCATAAGGTGGGTACCCTCCATAAGGTCCTCCAGGGGCTGCTGTCTGTGCAGAGTATCTAGCAATAGAATTCGAGAGCATACCATCATACATTGTTCTAGCTTGCATGAATTTTTCATTCAAAGCAACAAGTTCATCTGATATTTCATTAGCGAGAAACGCTTATTTGTGTATAGCTTACCTTTCTTTAAGCTGTATTTTTCAATCAACTTAACCAACTTGGGTCGAATGGAAAGTGTAGTATTATACAAGTTTTGAAGTTCTTCATTATCGGAGAATGATTCTCTAATACGGGGATCCGTTGAAGAAAGCATCTCCAACAGGCGATCAATATTGCGAGTCTCGTTTATGACCTCATTCTCAACGGAAGCCTCCTTGAGTAAATCAGAAGGCGAAGGGTCGACGATCTTTTCAACGTAATTGACAGGAAAGATACCTGTCTTTCCACGTAACTCACCCTTCCACCAATCACGATACACACTCTCAATCACACGAATAATGTCCCCTTTTTCAAATCCAAGTTCACCTTGTTCTGTAGGTTGAAAATCATACAATGCTCTGACTCGAGAAATTTGAGGAGGAGCAGATTCTGTTGACTACAAAAAAAAGTAAATTCTTGATGTACCTGAATGGTTTCTTGATATTTACCTTGGCAACAGCTGCAGTTTGGTTAGTCGAAGCAGGAGTTGCAGATGACTAGGTTGCGTATGTTAATTTAGAAACTATAAAAACAGTTGTGTGTTACCTTGTAGCTTGAGCGGTTTTCTGATTCAGAAAGCGAAAGTGCTAAGGCAAGTTGAAGTTCTTCTTCCTCTTTTTGTTTATCCAGTTCAGACTATAAAGAGTTAAGTGCATGTGCCTATCATTGGTTATGCTCTACCTGAGTAAATTCCTTTTTAGGCTTTTGTGGTGAAGGAAATTGAATGCCTTCAGCACGTAATGAGTGATATACTTCATTCATTAAGCCAAGCGTAGAATCTGCTCTAAATTCAAAGGAGCACATTTGGATAAACTCCAAGATTCTTGTTTGAACTTTGGAATGAACTGTCTAAACGATAATAAGTTTGTTTTGCGGTTGATTTATCCAATTTTACCTTATCATGAACAAGTTTTGTTAAAGTGTTTGTAAAAGAACGAGAACAAATTTCACGGTGTACAGTAATATCACAGTTCTTGACAAGAGCTTCGGTCAACTACAAGCCATGAGAAAAATGAATATGTTGGATTAACAATAGCTTACAGCAAGAGCATAAAGCTGAACATTAGGATTTTTGTTATTTAAGCGCTTTTCTACCGCAGCAATACAGTCTCTTGCACTTTTATAAACTGTAAGCCTTTTATAATGCTTCTTATTCTTTTCTTTACCTTTCAGTAGAAGCTCGAGAAAGTTTATCAGTCACTGCCAAGATGAGTTCCCAGTTCTCAACAGTAAGGTTTTCGTTTGTTGCAGCAACTAAATAAAGTATTGACAAGTGCAATCTAGCAGAAACCATGAAGAGAATACTTACTAACTGACTCGTCAAAAGGGTTTGCTCTAGAAAACATAGTTTTTTAAGAGAGAATAAGAAGAAAAAAGAATAAAAAGGATACGAAAAAGAAGGAGTGTCATCAATTTGAACACTTAGTTTGTGATTCAAAATCCGATTGCAGTGTACTTTAGTTATAGAAGTTTCTACTTGTCAATAGAAAAGTATACAGCTCTTGAAGAGAATCATCTAAGAGTACTTATGAGTCTTTTATGCAAAGTTCAAAGATATTCAAGTAGGTTCTCAAATACAGAAAATTACTTCGCTTTTGAGATAATAAAAGCAGAGAATTGATCAGGGCTCATTTCGCTTGCCAAACTAAAGTGATGTTGTCTTTAACATCACTATGACATTGTGCTTTTCTTTCGTTCACTTTATGTCTTGTTGTTGTTCTCTTTACTTCTTCTTTTCTTCTGCTAACTCTATCAAAACGTGGTTGCAGTTTGTAAGTATTGATGCCGAAGCAGAGAGCAGCTTGTAGGCAAGAAAACTGTTATTTAAAACACCGAGCACTCCCCCTCCCCTCCTTTGCATGATATCCATCGTTTGTCATATCCAAAGCTGCTCTTTTTGCCTTCAAAGTGCTATATACTGTAGTAAGAGCTACACGCCTACATTTTTCAAGTCAAATGGTATTATAATCTGGGCCTTCTTACTAGCCAATGTCTAACGAAATGGGCTTCTTTTATACTTATTACAGTGTATAGCAAACTTTGAATACAGATTTGGGGCCAATACTCAAATCGAGTCAGTGTTTTCATCTTAGTAGACTCGTTTTCTTTTTTGAGAGAAGTACTTGGACATGGCCTCACCTCATTTCGGTTGGATTAGACCTATATTAGGCCATTTTAAATTTCACCCAACAGTCAAACCAGTGGTACCACTCAACTCCTTGGCTCAAGAAAGCATGTTTCAAATGAAAAAGCGAATCGTTTTGATAACCTAGTTGTCGAGAAATGGTGTATCGAAGATTAGCTTCTTTAAGCAGTGTTTTATGCATTTTTGCTCTGGTTGTCGTAAAAAATGTGCTAGCAATTGGTCTTTCTAAAGTATTTCATGTTATTTTGGTTGCCAAAGAACATGAGAAAATAGAAACACAAGCATCTAATATTGTAATTGTGGGACATACAAGATGGCAGCGTGCGAAGATTGAAATAGGGAAACCTCAATCCTTCATCCCGCCGCTTTCTCAAATCGAGCTTTTGCTGGGAACTGCATAAAGACGCAGTTGTCTGGCTTTGATACAGTAACAAAAGTTGTATATCTTTGCTTTCTGAGCTGATTGATGTATAGAACGTAACAACTCTGCTGCTAACATGTTGAGTAAATAGGCAAAAACAATTTCGAGGTTTTTTCATTCATATCTCCTCATTTTTATAGCACAACTAGCAAACAAACACATTCACCAAAAACTACAGTCTCTGACGCGCATCTTGAGTATTTGAGCTTGTTGATAGCTCTGTTTTTTGTCTTGTAGCGTCCAAAAGAAGATCAAAGAGCTGTCAGGGTCAATATTTTCACGACTAGTGCCCTTTAGATCAGAGGCCAAAATGGCCATTTTTTGCAAGTTGCTTTTTTTTTTTGCCGAATCGATTTTTAAGGTATCATAGATATTAGTAGATATGATTTATAGGCACTTGGAGCATTTATACGTATATAAGCAGGCTTTATGCTACCTTTATTTGTCCAAGAAAAAGAAGACGACATGTCTTTTTTCTCGTTGAAGCATCTATTTGCCTGGTGTCTCTGTTACCAGAACAAGTAATGTATTACTAAATTGTTTATGTAAATACAAATAGTTTATCAAAAAGACACTTGATTCCCCCCCTCCATAAATCAAAGAAACGCCGCATTTGCTTATGAAAAAAAAATGTCAAAGTGTTGAAAACTCACTTTCACTTCACGATGCATGATACATAAAAGATAGTCTTTAGAACATACATTCAATATGGTGTATACTACCCTATATTCACAAATCCTATAGTAAAAGATGCATCCAGCTTAAAAAACACAATGTCATTTGTATGATTTAATGACATAGTATTTAGAGAAAAGCAACAATCATCAACATACACCTATCTATCTAATTCATATTTCCTACTGCTATAGGCTTTTGAAACTATTTCTTTTATTAGTATTTCTACTTTGACGATTATACCTATCATTTCTTCTTTTCTCTAGAATTGATTTGCTAGTTATGAAAACTAGTAAAGGAAAATTGAGCCATGTATTAGGCGATGAATTATAGGCATTTACTTATGTCAGGGTTTATCATTGATAGTAAAGGACTCGACAAAAATACTAAACTGTTGTCGTCGTTTAGGGAATACAAGTTAGGTATCGTACAAGGATCTAAATTATATAGAATAAACATTTGTCTTGATACAAAGCTTAAGTTAAATAAATATTCACATAAAATAAAAGCAAAGAATTCAAACACAAGCGAAAATGCTTAAAAGCTTTTATAACAATTATTGCCTACAAAAAAGTGCTTGCTCATTCTAATTCTCTTTTTTCCGATCCGTTATCTATAGTCACACTATTTTTATTTCTAAAAGTAAAGCCTTCCAATTAATTGAAACTTTCGTAATCAGGTTTAAGGGAAACCTTCACATTGTGTCATGTAGTATACAAATTCCTATCTTTAAAAAAGCATCTATGGTAGAAACAAGTGGTTATTTGGAAACTCTTGATCTGTAGAAGCCTTTTTTGACATGAAAACACCATTTTCAGTAGAATGCCGCTTGGTATTGCCAAGTAATTCTATTATAATTATGAGAAAACAACGTTAAACAGAAGCAAATTACCTTGTTGTTCTTTACTGCTGTTTGCAATTGAATTAAGATTTGGTCCTTTCGTTATAAACTGACTAGAAGAAGCGGCAGAATTTTCGGTATAATCTTTGTCTTGTAAATACAAATCAACAAGACCATGTGGCACTGCTGATGATGAGGAGGAGGAATGGCAATGATATATGCCATATATATCCTCATTTGAAGCCGAGCTTGGATCATTTGTAAAAGACGTTCTTAAGTTATCATCCATAATATTATGATAAGATGAATAGTTTCTATATGCTTTATGAAAGGATGAAGCTGCTCTTGATCTTGAATATTGATTCAATCGATTCATTTGACGAAAATGCGACGGGTATAAATAAACAGTCGGATCGTCTGAAAAGAGTGGGTAAAGTGTATCTAGAATTTTAAATTGGCTGGCAAGCGTTTTAGCTCTTACAATTGAAATCCTAAGTTCATTCAGTATATGCATTCCAGCGTTCTCCTACTTACCAAACACCTTTAAGATGCATCGCACCTATCTTGACAACGACTCTTCCTTTCTCATTTTTTAAGATACCATCTCTTTTACCTCGAGACATGCCTGCTACATTTAATAATTTGGTACCATTGATCATGTCATTATCTAAACATGTATTTAGAATAGCCGTATGAAAGAAAAGACTGTCATTTTACCTTGTCGACGAGCAACACATATCCCTCGACAATCAACTTGATAACATATTGTATTCTCATCTTCCCACAAAGTAGTGGTCAGCCGATGTCTATATGTAGCTAATTGATAATAATAATTAGTTTAATTTAGTTATCATCCCTCCACCATTTTACTTGTTCTAGGAAGGGTAGGATAAGGCTGGTACAAATATGTATTTAGATCTGAGACTGTGCTATTATTCAAAGAATAGTTGGGTGTTAAAGAGGAATTAAGGGAACGAAGAGAGGTCGATGTACTTTCTTTGGCCTTGAAATAAAGTTGTTCGTTGTCATGATTGCTCGACTTGTTCCATTGATCCTGATTTTTATGGCGTTCCCATTTATCTACAATTAGTGTATTTGTGTTAATTTAACATATAAAAGTCTTATTTTAATTTACTTTTCAAAAAGTGGTTGTCTGAAACAATATCCTGGTGTAATGCCACTTGCTCCAATTGCTTTTCTTTTTGTTGTGTTCGATCTAGTTCGATACAATTATCATTGAGTTCTCGAGAATATTGCATTGCTTTAAATGCGAATCTATGCAGATTCGAAAAGAAATAAAAAAGAAAAGAAACAAATATATACATTCTCGTCTCATCATAGAAAAAGGATATACGCCTGTATATTCCCTGAGTAAAATGACGCTTCAACCGAGAAGCACCGACGATAGAACTTTAACATTTGTCCAACTGATCATCGTATATCATTATATTTGTTGCCGATTACTTTTTATGCCGTCTAGGACATATAAAGTACTTGCATAAAAAAAGAAACCGTAATTTATTGGCGATTAGATATTCTAGAATAGTGAAACGCATGATAGCCCACTTTCATTCTTATACATCCAAACTTTATCTTCTATTGTGCTTGTGGATCTATTTTTTTATAAAAAAGATATGCTGAGGTACAGTAATTGCTAAAGCATCTCTCAAGGTATTGCTTAGGTGCCAATAAAAAGCAACAAATAAGATAGGTAATCGAACAGAATGATAATGATTACAGTCTTTTAATGTATGGGCGCGCTGTTAAATCTTAAAAGCCAGGCTAATAGCACCGTGCACATCGAATAAAAATAATTTGGTAATTGACAGCTTTAAACTTGCAGTTGATTAAAAATGACATGAATGTAAAACACATATATATATATATATATATATACACCTTTTATGAATCAAAGCCCTTGGTTATCTATCCCTCTCCCTAACTCCTCGTCACCCATAAAAAAATTCCTCGAAAAGAAATTATAATGACAGGAAAATCACGATCAATATCAAATATGCAAAAAGGAATTCTAGTGAACATTAAAACGTCTTTTTTTTTTTTTAAGCAAGCATAGGTCGAGTTCGATTTGGCAGTTAAGCTAATATTGCATGCATTGTAACAGACTTAAGTTTTATTAAGTAAATACAAATCAGCCATTTTAGGATGCGCTACCGAAAGAGACCAATCCCAGTTTATCATTTTGATAGACACACTGTGCACAAAGGGTTCACAAAATAAAAATTGTCATAATAAGAATGTACGAAGGGAATAGTTTCTTATTTCCTTTTTTCTTTTTATCTCTTCTTCTTTGTGTCCATATTACTTTCCTTTCTATTTAAGCAAACACACAGACATTTTGTTTATTTACACAATAAATCATGAGCTTTGACACAACAAATTTATTGACTTTGAACAACGAACCTTTCCCGACTCAACCGCAATCCTCATCATCCTCATCATCAGATCAAAAACAAATTTCGAAACTCATTCTAAAAACAGCATTACAAAAGGCCAATGCTGCTGTTCAATGCGACTCAACAAACGACGTTATGGGCGCTATTAGTGCATACAAGGAAGCTATCACTCTACTAGGGCGCGTTCTCGTTACAGTAGACAAGCAAAACGATAAGCGCCGTTTACAAGAAATCGTAAGTTGAAAGGAGAAAATGCCTCGATAATTCAGTACAGTATTTCAGGGGAATTAAACTAAATGATTATATTTAGTACGACTCATATTCTGAAAGAATTCGACTTTTGAACTCCATTACTCAAAGGCCAAGCAACGAAGAACATCAAGAAGCTCCTGTTCGCAGTTTAAATATCAGCTCAACACTTCAAGAAACAAAGTGTTCAATTGAATCTTCACCAAGCCACACTCATGCTTGGCAGGATAATAATGCTCATCTTTCAAGTTCCACTACTCGGCTTGTTAGTCAAAAGGAGTTGACAAAAATTCCCACTTCACCCACTACACCTCAATTACAATCCTCAAAAAGCACACCTACACACTTATTCTTTGAACACAAACCACACAATGATGACTCAGACTCTGAAGAAGATGATGAATGTAGCCATCATGAACCTATGCCAACCATGCATATCAGTATAGCAAGAGGAAGACGATCGAGCTCAATTAGCTCTATTGAATCAGCGCTTTCATATGAAAGCGCTGCTGTTGAACAACCTGCCATGACCTTACCTTCCTTGAGAAAAAAAGACGAAGATAATACACCTATACCAAGACTTAAGACTGCTTTTCGTGCACGCACAAGTAGTCTCCCTCGACCCTCATTAATGCAGAGATCTTCGTCGATGTCTACTGTAGAGACCCTGGGATCGCATGTTGATCCTTCTATTGCTTCCTCGATAGAAGAAGAGCAGGAAGAAGCCATTGTGCCGGAAGAAGAATATAGACACCCCATCACGATCGATACATCTCAGCAAACCATTTCTCGTCCCGGCTTCATTCGACCTTCCATAAGCGGATTAGGGTCCATGCGCAAAAAAGCGGTGAATCGATTATCAATGGAAGGATTTGTTGGACGCAACAAGGATAAAATAGCAAGTTCGCCGTCCAACGGAAGCAGTTTTAGCATCTTCTTAAAAGATCCAATAAAACCTGCAGCTGAATCGGATTGTATGGACACAAATCATATCGCTGTTTCTTATCAACAACCACACTATGAGGATTCCATGTCGAATCAATACAATGGCAACAGAAGACCTTCTTCAGCAAGTCATCAGCTGAATGGCAATCACCTCAAGCTATTACTTGCAATAGAAAAAAGTATGATTGAAGGTGCACATGTTACACAAAGACTTTATATACCCAAAAATTTATGGTAATTACTTTACACTTGCATGGTATGTTCTTACATCCTTTCTTTTCCACATGTAGGCAACAGCCCAACATTCGCCTTTCGTCTATTGATATCAAAATATCTGCATGTGAATCCATTATCAATGATATTGCTCGGCTTGAGAACTGGTCTTATTTAGACGATTTAGTAAGTTCAACAAGATTACTCGATCACTTTGAGAACTCTATGGATCAACTTCAAAACGCATTAGCTAAAAAGCTAAAAAAGGACAGTATGAATGCAGAGAGCCCAAACTCATCGAATGGAAGTGTTGTTGGGTCAAGCAATGCCAGTATACACAGCACACACAGTCGGGATTCCATGGCCACTATAGGCAGTAAAATTGAAAATAACAAAAAGACGCAATCGTTTATGTCCTGGAGTACTAAACTGACAAAATCAGTGGAAAGGATGAATGCATTCAGTCTGACAAAAACGTAAATATTGCATGTATGTTTATATTAGTCTAATTTCTTTTTTTTTAGAGAGGATCAATTTAAGAATTATATCGAGGCGTTACAAAAGCTGTTTTTAAAGATTCATGTCTTGGGTAAGTAGTTATTTAAGCAAATTAAAAATATGCTAAAATAATATAGAACATTGGCTCGACTATTATTGTGTTGAAAAGAGAAAGTCAAAACAACCTCAACATGATGTGCTGATAATGAAATTAACCAAGATTTGTACAATCATTACTAACTTAATTGGTGGTTTTGTTGTAAGAGATATCACTGTCTTGCTAGCTAAATGGCTAAAAAGAGGTGGTTCATGGGTGAATGAGTAGATCTCAAACACTTTCCTTTTTCTTTCTTTATTATTACCCTATGTATTTATTATTATATAATTGACAAAACCAGCAATATTAAAAGCAAAATTATGGCCAAACATCACAGTCAGCTTCTGTCAATTTGATCTCAATCACGTCAGGCAAACGTTCAGTGTTGTCTTGTTCTGCATGATCATAACGTTCGTGTTCCACAAGGTTAATAAAAGACGTAGATTTGAGCTTATCTTCTTTTTTTTTCAGGCTAATACTCTTGTGGCACTCGTAGCCTGCACGGCGTCGATAAGCGCTGACAAACAGCTCATCATTCCATAAAAACCCTTGGTGTCTTGACATGACTACTATAGGGCAAGGCGCATATTCTGAACATGAATTATAGATCCTATCTCCAATATTTCTATCATAAATTCGATATTCATAATATTTATCCAGGTTGGTTTTATGTGTTTTGATTTCTTGTGGTGTGTCTTTATTCATGGTATAAAAAAATGAAGAAAGAAAACGATAAGTATTAAAAAAAAAAAAGGATGAGAAAATATAGTGCGCTTGTTTAAAATATTATTATAAAATGATTCAATTGCTTGACAAAATTAGTTGGTTTGACAGTCAAGAAAAATCGCTTTTGTCCGCCACTTTATTATCTCAAATATGCAGTTGCGGGAATGATAATCTATACTATAGTTTTCTTCATCTTGGCACTTTGAATGTTTAATGATAGTCAGAGAAAAAGACCATTCTTATTGGGTTTTCTGTCACTGTACAGTACCAAATTATCGAGCTTCCAGATTTTCTGTTTTTCATGACATTCTCTAGAATCATGAAGAGAGTAAGTAAACCATAAAATCAATCTCAAAAAATGTTAAGAATTGAGAGTACATAAGAATGCTTCTTAAAAATTAAAGTAGTTTAAGACTCCGCTGTCCAATAAAAAATCTTTTAAGTGAATTTGACAAAACAATTTTAGATATTATAATTTACTTTTAATTCTTTTTAAAAATGTGGAGAGATGGCCGAGTTGGTCTAAGGCGTCACGTTAAGGTCGTGATCTCTTCGGAGGCGTGGGTTCAAATCCCACTCTCTTCACTCTATTTACTTTTCTTTTAAAGGTTTTTTTGATATAGAAATCTCAAGAAAAGGTTTGTTTTTTCTGTAGTTACAAGACAAAGGTAGAGATCGCAGCAAGTTATATGTAACGAGCACCAGGTTTTAACTCGTCCAACTAAGTAATTTGTATAAATAAAAGAAGATACAAATATATAATATAATATAGCGTACAATGATCAGATGTAATGCAAGTTTAAGGGACCCTATTAGACAAATGATATGATAACAGTCAAGTTTAAAGTATAAGACAGTACAAGTAAGGTACGATTGGATATCTTTATTTGTGTTGAATTTGTTCTAGTATTTATATCTATTCTAAAGTAGTTATGTTGGATTTGCAAAGGTGCAATTATGACACTCTAGATTTAATAAATTTATAAGTCATGTAACAGTGATACGACAATGTCAAGCTATGCTGACTAAAGGTACAATGAGTAATATGATATGGAGCAACTATAAAATGTAGTAATACCATAATTGGATTTCAAACTAGAAGAACAAGATATGTGATACAAGTAACTGTCAGAATATGAAATATGAAATAATAAGGGTTTCTAAAATTTAATGTGTAGAAAAAATATAACATGGAGATAGTCATTTTGTAACAATGTTACTATCACCAAGTTTTTGTATATCCTTGTTTATTTTGGTTTCATTTCTTTGCCCTACACCTTCTAATTAGAATAAGACGTATTTTATTTTGTAAGAAATAGAGTTATAGAATTTTGTTTATTTGTTTTAAGTTAAAATCGAATTAAGGTGCTTCTTATTATTGCATTTGACAAGCACTTGACATAGAAGACCACGCTTCTTTAATACTATCTTTAATAAAGTTTGATTTTTGCTCTTCATTAGGAATAACCAAGATCTGTCTCAACCAATTACAGGTGAAGCGTTTGCCACTGTTGCGTGTTTCACACATGCCAACAGCATGGTATAATTCACGGATGTGTCTTTGAGTATAAGAACTAGACCTGACGTTTTGAGTTGATGTAAAAATGACAGAAGGTTCAAACGATTTTGGGAGCTTGTAAAGTCTTCTAATTTCTGCAACAAAACCATCTATACGAATCATATAAGTCATCAAATCCGAGTATATCTAATACTACCATCACTCTCTGTAACAGCGTCAATGTTATCTTCTAAATCATCTCTGAATTCTTCATCAACATGTGTGAAGACTACAATAACAAAATTCCAGAAATCCTTGCCTAATAATTGGTGAAATAATACGAGCATGTTTTGAGTGTATGCATCCAATCTTTGTATATGTTTAGCATCTACAAATGGTCTTTTCAACTCTCTCTCTTACCTAATATCATTGATATTAAAAACCAAGAAGAATGCACTTACACCATTTTGAAGTGACTTGAAATATTTGGTCATTTCTCCAATACTCTGGCGATCATGAATGTTAGAATCAATCAATCCGGGTGTGTCAATTAAATGACAAATTTTCTTGGAAGGTGCATATTTCCATTCGCTAATTTTTCCTTCTACTGCAGTTGTTTTGGCCTATCAAATAAGTACATAAGAGCCTAAGTTACTTGCCTGTTTCTAAGCTTACGTCTGTTCCGTCGCCAGTCTCAAAAGTGTATTCACCTGTAATCGCGTTTAGCAGACTTGACTTGCCTGTTCCTACGTTGCCTAAAGCAGATACTACGTAGGTATCTTTTTCTTCAATAGCCTCGAGCATAACCTGGCATTTATGTTAACTGATGTCTTCTTTAGCCTATAGAAAGTTTTTCTTTACCTTTGGTTTAAACGACTGTATATACGAGAGGGAGAAAAAAGTAGTGTAAAAGCCTCAGATCTTACGTCGACAATTTAATGTAGCACAAGATGGCATAGAGGTTTATTCTTGAAGATCACTCGCAAATCTATATGTGTTACTCGATCAAAGAATTATAGAAAAGCAGAGCATTGATAGAAAACATTAGCATTACATAGAGGGTTTCTTTTAAAGATTAATGTATATTATCCATCACTGAAAGAGATCAAATAAGAATACTCTCCCCCTCTTTTTTTAAAAAAAAATGCACAATAGTACCCTTTTGATGCTATTTCTTTTTAGGCATTTAACAAATTTTGCTCCACTTCGTCTTGGATGACAGATATCAATTATTGGCAGCTGCTCATTCACCTATGATTAAGCACAAACCAACAACTCATCAAGAAATTACATTCTTGACAGTGAAAGCCTGACCCTTCTTGGAATACAAAGCTGTAGTAAATGAAAGTTGTGTTAAAACATCAGATAAGGTAAATTATTCTTGTATTTCCTGCATGAATTCCTCCGACTCTTTAGACGTACAAAGGGAAAATGGCCAGCAATAAGAGCAATAGCTAACTTTCTTACGTATACAATAGTAATTTGAAGCCTGCATATATACGTATAAATGCTCCAAGTGCCTATAAATCATATCTACTAACATCTATGATACCTTGAGAATCGATTCGGGCCAAAAAAGCAACCTGCAAAAAATGGCCATTTTGGCCTCTGATCTAAAGGGTACTAGTCGTGAAAATATTGAACCTGACAGCTCTTTGATCTTCTTTTGGACGCTACAAGACAAAAAACAGAGCTATCAACAAGCTCAAATACTCAAGATGCGCGTCAGAGACTGTAGTTTTTGGTGAATGTGTTTGTTTGATAGCTGTGCTATAAAAATGAGGAGATATGAATGAAAAAACCTCGAAATTGTTTTTGCCTATTTACTCAACATGTTAGCAGCAGAGTTGTTACGTTCTATACATCAATCAGCTCAGAAAGCAAAGTTCCACAACTTTTGTTACTGTATCAAAGCCACACAACTGCATCTTTATGCAGTTCCCAGCAAAATCTCGATTTGAGAAAGCGGCGGGATGAAGGATTGGAGTTTCCCTATTTCAATCTTCGCACGCTGCCACCCTGTATGTCCTATGTCTATTTACTCCTACACTTACAATATTAGATGCTTATGTTTCTATTTTCTCATGTTCTTTGGCAACCAAAATAACATGAAATACTTTAGAAAGACCAATTGCTAGCACATTTTATACGACAACCAGAGCAAAAATGCATAAAGCACTGCCTAAAGAAGCTAATCTTCGATACACCATTTCTCGACAACTAGGTTATCAAAACGATTCGCTTTTTCATTTGAAACATGCTTTCTTGAGCCAAGGAGTTGAGTGGTACCACTGGTTTGACTGTTGGGTGAAATTTAAAATGGCCTAATATAGGTCTGATCCAACCGAAATGAGGTGAGGCCATGTCCAAGTACTTCTCTCAAAAAAGAAAACGAGTCTAGTAAGATGAAAACACTGATTCGATTTGAGTATTGGCCCCAAATCTGTATTCAAAGTTTGCTATACACTGTAATAAGTATAAAAGAAGCCCATTTCGTTAGACATTGGCTAGTAAGAAGGCCCAGATTATAATACCATTTGACTTGAAAAATGTAGGCGTGTAGTTCTTACTACAGTATATAGCACTTTGAAGGCAAAAAGAGCAGCTTTGGATATGACAAACGATGGATATCATGCAAAGGAGGGGAGGGGGAGTGCTCGGTGTTTTAAATAACAGTTTTCTTGCCTACAAGCTGCTCTCTGCTTCGGTATCAATACTTACAAACTGCAACCACGTTTTGATAGAGTTAGCAGAAGAAAAGAAGAAGTAAAGAGAACAACAACAAGACATAAAGTGAACGAAAGAAAAGCACAATGTCATAGTGATGTTAAAGACAACATCACTTTAGTTTGGCAAGCGAAATGAGCCCTGATTAATTCGTGCTGAAGATGAAAGGCAACAGTAAAATAGCAGATTGGAGCAGATAAAGCCGATACACAAGTGAATTAACACATGTGCCAATGTAAAAGTATGGTAAATTGTATGAAAAGATGTGTACATTTTTTTTTCAGTTTGAAGGTGTTGAATAAAAGCTATTTTCCTGAATTACAGTCAATCAGCCACATGTATTAGATCAATTGGTGTAGATTGATGTGAAGCTAAGCAGAAACGAGAAGAAAACGCGACTCACAGTACCATGAATCAAGATTTTATGCGGATTATGAATTTTTTTCCCTTTCCCCCAGGGTTGAAGGCGAGCCTATTTTTCTTTCTTTTTCGTTTATCTTATATTATGTTATCAAGTCGATATTCTCTGAGGCTTCTTTCAAACTTTAAGAAACCAACTGCTATTTCAACCAAAATAACTTTCCTTAGCAACACAAAAAGACAGTTTTGCCAGACTGCATACACGCGTTTGGCAGCGTTACCCGATACCAAAGACGCTGTCCTTTCCGCCTTGAACCAAATAGAAACAAAAACAACAGCCAGCTATAACAACCTCTTGAAAGAACTTGCAGAACAAGGAAGAGCGTCTCAAGCACAGACAGTTTATGACAATGTATTTCGTAACAAGACAGTATTGGCTGACATAGATACCTACAGTCAGTTAATGTTGGCTTATATCAACCATGGCGAATATGAAGAGGCCATGGGAATTTATTACGAGCTGCGCGACCATGAAGATACTAATAAAGTAAAGGATTTTGTGTTGGATGCCAAGATGTATGCTACTATGATTCGATCTCTCACGCATGCAAAAAATATGACAGCCCATCTGAACCGTTTTGATCCAACAACTGAACCAGTTTATGCATATTCGGTAGAAGATGACGATAGAGCCATTTTGGAAAACATCGAAGGTGATTCACAGCCTGCTTTGTTGACAGCTTTGACTTTGTTTAATGATATGCGTCGCTTGGAAATTCAGCCTTCACCTGAAATGTACACAAGCATGTTGAAGGCTTGCACGGAGCAGAAAGACAGTTATGTTTTAGAGAAATTGCATAAATTGATGCGAATGGATTTGTATCTAGATCCTGATGTACGTGTGTTAAATCAACTTATGGAAGCCTACAGTGTCATTGGTGATGGACCTTCTGCATTAGAGATCTGGGACACAATAGAAACAAGCCTATTTAACAGTGATAGTGTGTCTATTGTGCTAAAGGCCTGCTTAGATTATGGATATCATACAAGAGCAAATGCTATCTGGAATGCAGTAAAATTAAAGCAACCTGAACTAAGATTGTCTGTGGATGACTTCAACAATTATCTCTTATGTGTCATTCGATCAAAAGACATGGAAAAAGCAGAGAAATTAGTGCAAGAGGGATTGGCCAATGGAGATGCTGATGAATCAAGTGTAAATACTCTAGAACAATATAAATAAACATGAGAAAATATGTTCAAAAGATAACTCAAGAATGTCTCTAAAAGCCAAATTATACAAAAGAAAAAAAAAGTATATTTTGAATACAAAACGAATAGGAGAAAATACATCTTTATTTCTTTCTAATAACATACAAATATAAAGAAGACCCCTCTTTCCTTTCTCCCTTTTTTCAGCTATATTTGTACAAGTTTCCTTGATTCTTTTCTTTCTTCTTCTTCTTCTTCTTCTTTTTCTTAAATAAAATATTATTATTATGGCTCATGTAAATATTAACATGAAGGTTCTTTATACTTATTTCATATTGTAGAGACTAGGTGGACGCAGAAAGAATGTCAAGAAAGGATTTCAATTCACTTTGATGGTTGTAGGCAAGTTGACTCATTGACTCATTGACAAGTTATTAATTGTTGTATCTCTATAGGTGCATCTGGCACTGGTCGTACTACATTTGTCAACACCCTTTGTGATTCCAATGTCTTGTCAAAGAAAATTTGCGATAATCCTGAAGATGCTCATAACGAAGAAGGTATCACTATTAAGCCTGTCTCTGTTGGTAAGTTTATCTATTGTTTTCATTCTTACTTATACTCTACAGAATTGGACGAAGATGGTGTAAGGTAAAATAATCACCCATTTAGGAGGATTTAAAGGAGACAAAAAAAAAGAAGGGATCTTGATGCTTCCCTTCCCTCCTCTCTCCTTAGGACAACAAAATGTACTTATTCCTTTTTTAGAATCTCCCTAACCATTGTTGATACGCCTGGATTTGGTGATAACATTGATAATGAGAAATGGTAAGAAAACTATGCCAGTCAAATTGAAAACGACTCACATAATCAGCTTTCAAGAAATTGTTGGTTATTTGGAAACACAGTATGATGATATCTTAGCTGAGGAATCAAGAATCAAACGTAATCCTCGTTTCCGTGACAACCGTGTCCATGCTCTTTTATATTTCATTTCTCCAACTGGTCATGCGTAAGGACACAGTCACTGTTGTGTGATACTGATGGACATAGGCTTCGTGAGATTGATATTGAACTCATGCGTCGTTTGAGTCCTCGTGTGAATGTAATTCCCGTTGTTGGTCGTGCTGATTCACTTACTCCACAAGAACTAAAGGACTTTAAGCGAAGAGTAAGCCTATAGATTGTATCTTCTTGACTTAAACTGCTGGAATAGATCATGGAAGACATTGAACACTATAAAATTCGTATCTACAACTTCCCTTACGATGTAGAAGAAGACGATGAAGACACAATTGAAGAGAACAGTGAATTAAGGGTAAGTGTCTATAAGTACAACCCATCGTAACATATTTAACTAGGCTCTTTTACCTTTTTCAATCATTGGAAGTGATGAAGAAATTATTGTGAATGGTCGTGCTGTTCGTGGAAGACAGTATCCTTGGGGTGCAGTAGAAGGTAAGCATATGAAAATCACCTTCAATTGATTGACTTGGTATAGTGGACAATCCTCATCACTCTGACTTTGGTCGCTTAAGGTCTGCTCTTTTGAGGTAAGTATTTATGGGATACATAACAAAGGCTGATAGAACAATTAGTTCTCATCTTCAAGACCTCAAGGAAATCACACATGACATCTTGTATGAAAACTATCGTACCGAAAAACTTAGTCGTACAGTTCATGGCGGAGAACAAGAGTAAGGAGTAGATAGTTGCATGAATAAGACTGACTGACTCTGTACTTTAGTGATGCTTCTTTGAATGTAGATGACATGACAGGTCAAAGCATGCGCTTAAAGGAAGAACATTTGAGAAAAGAAGAAGAAAAGGTACATCTTGCATTTGATTGATCGCATATACTCATTCTGTTAGTTACGTGAAATTGAATTGAAGGTTCAACGTGAAATTCAAGAAAAGAGAGCCGAATTAATGAACAAGGAAGAAGCATTGCGTAGTTTAGAAGCAAGGCTTTCACAAGCTCAGATAGCTGATGCTTAAACTTAATCACAATAAAGAATGAGATACCTTTAAGCAATGGTTTTCTTAGCTATAATGCAAATGCATTCCTTTCAGAGAGAGAGAGAGAGAGAGAGAGAGAGAGAGAGAGAGAGAGAGAGAGAGAGAGAGAGAGAGAGAGAGAGAGAGAGAGAGAGAGAAAAAGGGGGTGGGGATGAACAGTGGATCAACATTTTGTTTGTATGCAGATCAAACTGTTTGCTGCATAATAAAAACCTGGTACCTTGTTTTTCTCAGAGATAAATCCCAATACAAACTCCTACAAAACTTTTTTTATTTATTTCTTTTTTATTATTTTTTTTTCCTCAATAGTATGGCAAGTCAAGAGTTTAGTAACCCTTTAAGAAAATTCAAACTTGTATTTCTAGGCGAACAGAGCGGTAAGGTTTACTGAGTTTTTCTTTTCATCTGATTCCTTGCAGTGGGTAAAACTTCGCTCATCACTCGCTTTATGTATGATACCTTTGATAACACATATCAAGTAACGTATATGAAATGAAAGAAAAAGAAAGAAAAATGCTTATGTAATGAAAGGCAACAATTGGTATCGATTTCTTGTCAAAAACAATGTATTTAGAAGACAGAACTGTTCGCCTTCAGCTTTGGGATACGGCTGGACAAGTAACGCGCTTGATATGAGGCATTGAGAAAACTTATTTCATGATAGGAACGATTTCGAAGCTTAATCCCTAGTTATATTCGAGATTCTTCAGTAGCTGTTGTTGTGTATGATATTACTAGTATGTGTATGAGTCAATTGGATAGTCATTAATGACATAAAAGGCCGTGCTTCATTTCAGAATACAGCTAAATGGATTGAAGATGTACGCGCAGAGCGTGGATCAGAAGTCATTATTGTATTGGTAGGAAACAAGACAGATTTGAATGATAAAAGGTAAAATCACAGTAAATGTTTGTCTATTGTTAACAATGATCTCAGAGAGGTTACACTAGAGGAAGGCGAAAAAAAAGCAAGTGATACTGGCATTATGTTTATTGAAACAAGTGCAAAAGCAGGTCATAATGTAAAAGCATTGTTTAGAAGAATTGCACAAGCATTGCCTGGCATGGAGGCTGAAGTAGGAGCAAAAGAACAAAGTAGGTTTTATTTAAGCATATGTAAGCTAATATTTTCAAGTGCAAAAAGTGGATCTTAATACAGCAGAGAGTACAGAATCAAGTGGTTGTGCTTGTTAATAAAAAGAGATTTTCGTGTAACTTTCTGCTTTTTCCCTTTTTTTTTTATTCTATGAGAAAAAAAAATATGGTTATCATAAAACAAGTGACGTTTGAAACAATAGACCAACAAGAACTTCTACAGTTGCTCGAACTTTTGAAACAGCTTTCATCTTCTTTTACAAAAGAAGCTGTTGAACAAGCACTTTTGTCGCGTCAAAATCATATTTTGGTTGCTATATCACAAGAACAGGTGGTTGGTACAACAACCATGGCTTATTTACATTGCCTTACGGGTACTCGAGTTCATATAGAAGATGTTGTAGTAGACATGAATCACAGGGGACAGGGGATTGCACAGTTATTGATTGGTGAAGCCATTCTTCGTGCGAAAAAAATCAAGGCTAAAAGTATAGACTTGACAAGTCGTCCTGATAGAGAAGCAGCCAATAGACTTTACCGAAAATTAGGCTTTGTTCAACGGGAAACCAACGTTTACAGATATCAATCCTAATCTACTTCCCCGCATTTTTTTTGGATCAGATGAATAAAAAAAAAAAGGATTTCCCCACACTTTTTTTTGGATACGGGGTATGCGCATAATATTATATCCATTCAATGCATATATTTTGGCTGAAACTTTCCTTTTTTTTTTCTCACTTTATTCTTTTTCAAAAAGAAAAATTTGTACAATGACTATTCGTTTTGCTAATGAACCCACAGATGGACAAACTTTCCAATATCAAAATCAATTGCCCAAGCTTCCTATCCCTAAGCTTGAAGACACAGCAAGACGTTACCTTGCTGCATTAAAGCCATTACAGGTAAAAAAAAAAAAAAAAGAGAACACTAGAAAACTTATTACTTTGTAACTGAACCCTCTCTAGTCTACGGAAGATCATCAGAAAACGACCAAGGCAGTAGAAGAGTTCTTGCAAAAAGATGGTCCTGTCCTTCAAGAGAAACTTAAGACATATGCATCTGACAAATCATCTTACATTGAGGAATTCTGGTACGACTCTTATCTCCACTTTACCGATCCCGTCGTACTTAACCTGAACCCTTTCTTCTTATTGGAAGACGATATTTCCCCACTTCGAAACGATCAAGTCCAAAGGGCTTCTTCCTTGATCTTTTCTACCTTAACATTTGTTTATGCGCTCAAGACAAAACATTTGGAACCTGATGTCTTTCGGGGTACGCCTCTCTGTATGTCTCAATTCAGTCGTCTCTTTGGTACTGCTCGAGTGCCCACAGGGAACGGCTGTTATATTGCACCCAACAATGATGTTGTAGGACGTCATATCGTCGTGATTTCTCATTCTCAGTTTTATCATTTTGAAGTTTTTGATGAATCCGGTGATTTTGTACTGAACGAAAAAGAAATTGCAGCCAATTTACGAGCCATCTTGCGTGATTCTGCTCAGACACCAGTGACGGATATTGCTAAAAATGCGGTAGGTATCCTTACGACTGAAAACCGTCGCAATTGGGCCAAATTGAGAGCTCAGCTCAAGAGTGATCCTCAGAACCGGGAGTCTCTTAAGGTCGTTGACGGTGCTTTGTTTATTGTCTGTCTGGATCATGTGAGCCCTACTTCTTCAGAAGATTTGAGTTACAATATGCTGTGTGGTACATACAATCTGGAACAAGGAATGCAGGTTGGAACATGTACCAATCGATGGTATGATAAACTTCAGGTTTGTAAATTTTTTTCCCCTCATATTCTTGTGCTACCTTCCTTGCTTACCTAAACATGCGTAGATTATTGTCTGTCAAAATGGAAGTGCCGGTATCAATTTCGAGCATACGGGTAAGTTGAGTCACACACACACACACACACACACACACACACAAGAAATCCAAAGCTAACAGGTTCAATCAGGCGTGGATGGTCATACTGTATTGCGCTTTGTGTCTGATATCTATACAGATACCATTTTGCGCTTTGCAAAAACGATCAATAGTCAAACTCAATCTATCTTTCATAACTATCGTCAAAGAAGAGAGAGTGCAGGCGGTAATCCTACTCGAGACAGAACGGGTTCTACTGGTAGTGCTACAGGCTATTTTGATCATAATCCTCGAAAGATTGAATGGAACATGACTGAAGACTTGGAGTTGGGTATTCGTTTTGCTGAAACAAGATTAAGCGACTTGATCTTGCAAAATGAAGTCAAAGTACTTGAGTTTCATGATTATGGCAAGAACTTTATTACTGATATGAAGATGAGTCCTGATGCCTTTGTTCAGGTAATTGAGTTGGAAGACATTGATAACAGCGCTTATATGTATACATATATATTTATTTAGATGGCTATTCAAGCTGCTTATTATGGTTTGTATGGTAAATGCGAAAGTACATATGAACCAGCCATGACCAAGACCTTTTTACACGGTCGAACAGAAGCCATTCGTTCTGTCACTTCTGAATCGCGTACTTTTGTCGAAACCTTCTATTCCAACAAATCTTCTCATGACAAATTGGAATCCTTGCGTGCTGCTTTGAAGGCACATACAAACATTACCCGAGAATGTTCTAAGGGACAAGGCCAAGATCGTCATCTTTATGCCTTAGAATGCGTCTGGGACAGACTTTTCAAGAACGAAAAAAAGCCTCAGTTGTTTACAGATGGTGGATGGAAGACATTGAACAGCAGTATTATCAGTACTTCCAACTGTGGTAATCCTGCACTACGTCTGTTTGGCTTTGGTCCTGTTGTTTCCAATGGCTTTGGTATTGGTTATATCATTAAAGAAGATCGAATTTCGGTAAGATAGAAGCATGCTATATTTACTTTATCTCACCTACTTTCTTAGTTTGTTGCTTCTTCAAAGCATCGTCAAACAGAGCGCTTTTTACAGACACTTAAAAAGTTTTTGATGGAAATCAAAGCCATGTTGATTAAAGAAAAGTATCCTGGTGGTATCTCTCAACGTCAAAGAATCTTGGCTCTTGAAGAACAAGCACAACAAGCTCTTAATGACGGTTATAGTTACTTTGACAATGGCTACGAGGCTGCAAACAGTGATCATACATTATCTGATAGTGGTGGTGCTGGTTCACCACCTTCACCTACTACCAAGACAGTTCGTAAGGTTGGCAAACGTTTATTGATCCGTGAAAATGAAGATTTGTAACAAATAATAAATAAATATTATTTATCGAATTTCAATATTGAGAATCTTGATATCTTCATAAGGCTTATTTGTCTTGTCCACTCTGACATGTTCTATACTATGCACTACATCCATACCAGCTGTCACTCTACCAAACACAGAGTGCTTATTATCCAACCAAGTCTAATAAAAGAGTCTTTAGTATATGCAGATATAGACAAATGTTACTTACAGCAGGCGCAACTGTAATAAAGAACTGACTTCCATTTGTATTAGGACCTGCATTGGCCATACTGACAGTGTATGGACGATCATGTCGATAGTCTCGAGAAAACTCATCTTCAAAATCATCTCCCCAAATAGATTCACCACCCGTACCATCACCAAATGGACAACCTGTTTGAATCATGAATCCCTTAATGATACGATGGAAAATCAGGTTGTCATAGTAACCATTTTTGGAATGAGTAATAAAATTCTCGACTGCTTTGGGTGCTGCATCAGGGAAGAGACGCATATGAATATCACCTGAAGTTGTACGAATGATAGCAGAAGTACCAAGGACTTGCTTGCGTTCTTGTGTTGCTGCCACTGTTTGTTCTTCTCGAGAAGGCTTTTCGTTAAATACATCACGCTCACTACCCTTTTGTCCATGGCTAAACACAGTTAGAATGCATGATGGATACAGAATAACTTACTCAAAGGGTTCTCTACGCGTAAACATGTAAAATCTGTTCTTGTTGAATGCTGTACAAAACAAAGTAGGATCTAATTCTTGGCTTTCTTTTAAGGCGGCATTGTCTGAGGCAGCCATGGCTAGTGTATACACGCCCTTCTTACGAGGAGCACCTTGGTATAAGCCCATATTCACAAAACGATTGGACTCTGATTTACCAATAATACGCACAACCTTGTTTGTCAGTGTATTGACTACTTTGATACCGAGCAAAGCACCATAGATAATGAAATTGCCCGTTTCATCAAACACAGCATTGACAAACTTGGCCTGATTTGATTTTTCGAGTTCTTTTTCTACAGCTAAACGTCTACCAAACTCCATATCGTCTAATTTCAAGCTAGAAGTACCAGCCTGTTGCATTTCACTGATCACATGAAGACTTTCATCGTATTCTCTATATTTTTTGCCCGTCAAAAACTTGAATAGTCTAACTTGACGATCAGGGAAACTCATGGTGACAAAGTTGAGTCCATCAGGCGAGAAAGTCAAGCAGGTTGGTACTGATTTCTTTTTTCGAAATTCGTATAGATCTGTCTGTGATTTTAGTTCGAAATCGAGATTGTCAGGTAAACTAAAAGGTTCTTCGGGTGACCAGTATTCAATCATACCGAGTGCGTCTACAGAAACAACTGTATTGAATCTCGAGTTGAATTCGATAAGATGAACAGGCTTCGCGTGCATTTTAGATAGTGTGTGGAGTGGTTTTCCATCAGAACGACCATCGTAAATATGAATATTCGAGTTGCCTGCTTCCGAACTATGTATTGGTTAGCCTACATTATGTATGCCAACAGTCATATACATACACGGCAACAAGTGCTTGTGCTTGACCCTTTTGGTGAATCCAACACACTGCTTTTGGCTTGAATTTCAATTTGATCATATTGATCATATCTATCATTAGTTTAGCATGTCAAATATGTGTATGTCTATTTACTTACCAAAGTTTGTAATATCGTACACTTTTAATGCCATATCATCAGAGACAGTAGCCAATAGTTCATTGTCTGCAGATAGACTGATATCTACAATAGTAGACAAGTGTGATTTATAATGCTTGACAAATTCAATACCGGCTGCTGTCTTCTTCCAGAACTTTAAATGACCATCTACTGAGGTTGTCACAACAAAATCGTTCCTGTGTATAGAATAATGAGTAAATGGTTATGATCATAAGTATTCGTACTTTGTTACGGCCACTTGGTTGAGGATATCACGGTGCATATAACTCTTTTCGTACATGTCTGCTTCAGGTAAATGTTCAAGATAAAGTCTTTCATAAGCAAGTGCTATTGAATAAGATGAATATAGAATTTATGACAACTATATGCTTACTTTTCTTTCTCTTCTTTGGCACTTCCTCACCAGGAGGAGGGGGAAGAGCAGGTCCAATATCATCGTCTAAAGAAGAACGCGTTAATAAATCAATGAAAGTACAATACAATCAATACCTGATTCTTCTTTTAAATCTGGTTCTTCTTCATGAAGTCTCTTGTTATTGGGATTCAAGTCGTCAGCCATAGTGCGCAATATTAACAAAAAAAAAAAAGATAGAGAAAGAAAGAACAAACCAGACCGTCACGGCCCTTTCTCTCTTTAAGTTCGTGTCGAAAGCTGAGTAAAAAAAAAAAAAAGTGCTCAGGGTCGGTCTTTGAATATCAGGTACAAATGCAAAAGTAAATTGACCAGTGTATTGAATCTTTCCCTCTAATACACCGGTGTTACCAATGGTAAAGTCAATCCATCCATCCATTCCATCCATCCATCGATTTGTGACGAGACAAGAGAAAGATGATGATGCAGATACATGTACAACAACATTTTTTTGTATTGAATTTGACAACTTGAAAAGTTAATTCAGAAATGAAGACATGACAATGTTTGCAACATGATGGACGCCCATTCAGTATACGCACTGTTGATCGATTGAATCATCCTTGTCTTGTTACCGATGGAAGAGGAATGACATGTAGACATGTGTTAACTTGTGATTATAGGCTATCGTCAAGGCTTTCGAACTCCGTAACAAGAACAAGGCTGAACTCTTGAAGATCCTTGAAGAGCAAAAGCAACAACTTGCTCACATTCGCGTCCAAAAAGTCGCTGGTGGCCGTGTTCAAGAAATGTAAGTTGTAGGTGTAGAAGTGAATACAAAACATGTAATAATAAGTAAATTAGTGGTGAAGCTCGCAAGAACGTTGCCCGTGTCTTGACTGTCATCAACCAAACTCAACGTGAACAACTTCGTCTCTTTTACCAAAAGAAACGTTTCACTCCTCTTGATCTCCGTGTCAAGAAGACCCGTGCTATGCGTAGAGCTTTGACTCCTTTCGAAAAGTCCAAGAAGACTGTTCGTCAACAAAAGAAGGAAGCTCATTTCCCTATCCGCAAGTATGCTGTCAAGGCTTAAATATGCTCTCATTGCATATCATATGCTTGTACAATAAATCATAAAAAAAAAAAGAGTTTAGCTAAAACTACACTATTGAATCAGACACAAGTTGGCTGAGTTTCGCAGTCCATTCTTTCTTTCTTTTTCTTAAGATATGCCACAACAAAGTAAAAGAAAAGGTAAACTTGAGAGTATCAAGGACACAAAGAAAGCAAAACATCAACAGAGCTCAATTATGAGTTTCTTTGATAAGCAGAGCAAAACAGTCGAACACACAATCAAAGAGCAAGTACAGAGGACAGGGAACGACTCTAAACAAGAAATAAAGCTAGAGAATAATCAAAAGCAAGAAACATCAAGAGTCAAACTAGAAATCGAACAAAGACAAGAATTAGACAGCACACAATTATCTAAACATGATCAAACAGACGATCAAGCTGATGATCAGGAAGATACCCGAGAAAACACTCAAATAGACGATCAGCAAGACACTCAGACAGACGATCAAGTCGATGATCAGGAAGAGACTCGAGAAGAGACACAGGAAGATCAGTTCTTTACAACTTCCATGTATACTGATGAAGTAAACCATATGCTGGACACAATTTTAGAAGGCGAAGCATATCTGTTTGACAAGGAAGAAATACAATTGTTTGATACATATAGAACACTTGAAGGTAGTGCCATTTATTTACTTTTTCTTTTCTTTTCTTTACAAACAATGCTATAGACGAACCAAAGCATTTGATTGTGAGATTACTCATGAGAAAGCATGATTGGATAAGGAAGAGTCGAGTGAATTATGCAAACAATATACGTGATTTGGATACTGCTATGATGAGTTTAGAAGCATGTGGGTTTTTGCATACAAAAATAACTGAATTGGAAGATGCTGTTGCTGTACTGTCCAAGTATGAATTAAAAGAAATAGTCCGAGAACGACACATTGGCATTAGTCATGAGAATCCAGTAAGTACATATAAGAATACAAAATAAGAATAACACACTTTTTGTTTATGTAGACAAAGAAGAATCTGGAAAGAGGCATCATCAAATTTGTATCTAGTACAACACCAAGTATTGTTACACACTATTCAGATGCTTCAGTAGATCAATCCAAAACAGAAAAAATATGGTGTTCTGTTCACTACTATCTTGGTATGTCTTCTTTAGACCCTATGATGGATAAATAACTCTCTCCATCCTTCCTCTTATTTTAATTTTAGGCCCATGTTTAAAAGTAAATACACTACTATATCAAGTCTTTCAGCGTTTACAGCTTGTTTACTACCGTATCAATAGTCTATTGGATACAAACAAAATGTCGACTTCTATACTTGCAAAGACAAGCAAAAGGAACTATCCACAATACACCTCAAATCGATCCAATTGTATTTGGAATTCGCGAGATGATCTACTTCAATATGAGCAAGCACTTATGATAGAGAAAGAATATCATCTCAATATGGAAAGACTGTTTATCTTCAAGACAAAAAAAATAGAAGGTGACAATACTCAAGCTCGTCAGCAAATGATTGAGAACTGGGCTTTATGCGAGAATTGTATAGGTGTTTGGGAAGACTGCATCCATTCAAGTCAGGTCCATCAAAGACCCTATTATCTCAGGCGTTTTGAAGCGGGTTGGATCTATACACGGCTATTAGATCATGGTACTGAGCTACTGGCTAAGCTAAAAGAATACGAGTTGGAAGCACTGGTACTACAAAAGCTATTAGACCAACACATGTATCGATTGGGAAAGAGAGGAAAATGGTATGAAAGACTAGCATTAGTTCAGGCAAACTATCTTCATAAAGATCAAGTACGGCTACAGAAAAAGAAGGCACTTGGTACTTGTATTGATGCTATCCATGATCCCCGAGTACATCAAAGTAAGTCAGACTATAGTATGCTACTTTATTCATCTGTTCAGTTTATTTGCATGGTATATTCAAAAGAATCAGGCAGCTAGAAAAAGATTTATGTGTCCCTAAAAGAGAGCAACATGATTTTAGTTATATGAATCTAAAGAAGCCTAAAGAAATCACCATCTATGGTATGTTTGAATTAACTATTTGGCTTGTCATTGAACTCCTTTTTGAAGGTGAACGCATCTCTGAGGAAATCATTGGAAAGAAATCGATTTGGAGAGGCGATGATGGATCCGAATGTTCTGTTGAAAAAGTAGCTATTGAGTATTATCAAAAGCAAGGCTACAAAGGGTAAATCCTACTTGGTGTATACGTTTTGTAAACTAAACCATGTCAATAGGCTTCATTGTGAAAATGGCATTATTCGTATGATTGTAAGTGTTGTTGTTTGTTCTACTATCCACTCATGTATAGGCTGTACTTTTGTTTTGGGACGTCATTTTTGCTTCTATACCAGGCGTGTTTGAAACACCTTATCAGAGCGAGCCTTTAGATCTTCGTACAGATGCGTTTTATGAGAGTAAGTCTCAAGACAAAAGTTAGTATGCTGATACAATTAGGTCGCCTTGATTTGATCAATAAACAACTTAGGGGCATAGAAGGTGGAAAGCATATTGAGATTATTACTCAAGTTGATAATAGAGAAAGACCAAGAAGAACAATGTGTGTAGGCATCAATTGGAATTATGAACTACAAGACATTTTAGAAATTGCCGAAGTAAGTCATAATAATGAACCAAGTGTTTATAGTTCATTGTAGTGTATTGGCCCTTTGTCTTTAGCTTCTTTATGCAAGTTGTTTTTTGAAGAATTTGGACAACGTCAAGGTGGCATGCCTGATTTATGGTAAATTTCACTCTATTGCCCTCTGTTATGCTAACGTCTATAGTTGTTGGAACTATGAAAAAAGGCATTGCTTGTTTTCTGAAGGTAGTGTTCGATATCATAGACGAGTCTAATTCGATTTTTTTAGTCAAAGGTCCTAAAGATATTTTATCAAAGACACAAAAACTTTGGATAGAAACCCTGACAAGTGTAGGCATTCCAGTTGAAGTCTGTCATGTTCAAGTATGGCGAGGTGAAGATATCTTTTTAAAGTGAATTTATTCAATAAATTATAATATCAAGCATGAGCTTTTCTTTGACTTTCCATCTTCACGGTGCATGGCTTCTTTCCTCTTGGCTATTAATCTCATCAATACAGTATATACTTCATCTACATTCTGTCTTGTTTTGGCAGAAGTCTCAATATAAGGACATCCCCATTCTTGAGCAATCTGTTGAGCTGAGCCAGATTCAACTTTACGTAAATGAGCTAAATCCACCTTATTGCCTACCAAGACAAAAGGTATCTAAAGAAAAATAAGCTTATGTTTCTTATCTTCCTATGTCTTACGGATTCATCATCAAGCACTCTTAATATTTGATCTCGAAATTCTTGTGTATGGTCTAATGATTCTTGTTCACAAACAGAAAAGACACACAAAAAGCCTTCTCCTGACCGATAATAATTATCTCTTATCTAGATAGAGAATCTGTTTAAACAAAGCTGTGGTATGTCACAACTTACGGCAGCATATTCTTCTTGTCCTGCTGTATCTAAAATATCAATTTGACAATCCATGCCATCCAATACAACCTTCTTTCTATAGGCTATATACTTTTGTATGAATATACAATGTATGTGTCTTGTTTCTTACAGTCTGCTTTTGTAGGGTCGTATTCTTCAACAAAATCACCGTACATGTATTGAAGCGTTAAGGCAGATTTACCAACACCACCAGAGCCTACCATGATAACTTTATGGAGAGGCACATTGTTACTTTTATTTGAACGTTTAGTCATTTTTTTTTTATAAAAGGAGAAAAAAGAAGAAGAGAATAAAAGTAAAGAAAATTAAGATATAGCATGCGCGTGCATATGTGTGTATATATATATATATATATATATATGTGTGTGTGTGTGTGTGTGTGACGACATGGAGTGTATCTAGTGCAGTGTTTCTCTTTCCCTTTAAAGTCAAAGAGATTTGATTGCAGCATACATTCTAATAGGTCCTCTCTTCTCCTTATAACTAGCACTTGAGTAGCATTTTGATGTCGAGGATTTCATATTCCGTCTTGCCATGTTTAGAATTGCTTTTTTGTCATGAATGATATATTCAATGGTATACTTTTAAAATGTCATCATCTATTGACAAGTGAAAGCGGACTTTGGGACTTTAATTGAAGTAGATTTTCACTTCCGCATATATAAGCTTTTTTTTTTTAATCACTTCTAGAAACCGATATGTTACTTGAGTATGTATTCCTTTTTCTTTCGAAAACATCTTCTAAAAATAAACCATTTTTATGCATAAACTATACTTTTCGATTTTTAAACAATGGAACCAAAGAAAGCAAACCCAAAGTAATATTTTCGGGTTTGGATGTACCTGTATGTACTCATTATATCTGTACTACAATTGTGCTTCTACACTAGTTCTAGACTTGGTAGTGATTTATATTAGTGTATATTCAAGGAGAATATATATTGGTTGATAGAGAAGCAGCTTTTTGACAGTCTGAGTTGACGCTTTGCAACACTTTAGATGTTCTCCGCTCATGGTATAAAAGAAGGTCTATTGCCCGTTTATTTCTAGGTCCTTTATCTTTCTTTTTCTTTCCTTTAACATGAAGTTCTTGACTGCTTTGGCTGCTTTTGTTGCTGGTGCTGCTACTCTTGTCAGTGCTCAAGATGCTGGTATCTATTTCACTCAACCCATTCTTGGTACTGTTTGGAATGCTGGTACTTCCCAAAACATTACTTGGTAATAATACACAATATATATATTTATATACTCATTCTTTGAAAGGACTCCTGCCAATGCCACTTCTGCTACTATTGACATTATTGAATTGAGAAGTGGTGATGCTTCTAACCTCGCCTTTGTCCAAAACATCTCTACCACTGCTGTTGACTTGAACTCTGGTAGCTTTGTCTGGACCATTCCTGCTACTTTGACCACAAACACTGCTTATGCTATCGCTGCTAAGAATGCTGCTGGCTACTCATACTCTGGTTACTTTACCATCTTGGGTCTTGCTCCTGGTGTTGATCCCTCTACTGCTGCTGCTGCTGGTGCCGCCACCACCACTGCTGCTGCTGCTGCTGATGCTGCCAGTGCCACTTCCGTTACCCTTGCTTAAGTCAATTCTCCTTGCTCTCCTTATTATTTATATATTTAATGTATTAAACTTCATTGACAACGTGAAATCGTCATTGATAATTTCTCCTTTTTTCTTTAAACAAGTTTTGGTAAAGAACAACTTTATTGCTCTATAAACAATCAAGCTTATCAGGATATTTATAAGAGGTATAGTTATATAGAATGTGTGTATATACAAGTTATCATTTTGCTTTGTTCGATTTTATGTCATGATAGAAGAAATTCTGTTTCTTTGATTACCTGCTTTTGACTGAGAATATCCTTCTGATTTATAATGATGGTAATGGCGATGATGAGTCGTCGACTGAGGTTGAATAACAGGTAAATAGATCTTTTTATCGTTGATATGGCTACTGTTCAAAGGAGCCAATGGTGTAAATCGCTTTTCAAAAGTTTTATGCTGTCTATTACAATAAGCTATCTTTTGAACACATTGAGAATGACACTTGAGTTGGCAACCTGTTTTGAAAATTGAATACTACTATCGTTGTGTAACTTAATTTTACCTTGACAATACTTAGCCCATACACTTTTCATGAGAGAGAAACATCCAGAGCATTCTTCACCCGTTTTGTGTGTTTGGTAATCAATGAATTGATGCTTTCTATCAATATCAGCTTCCTCACTCTTGCTTCGCTTGGTAGTGTAGTCAGGACTAGGAGGTGGTGATAATAAGAGTGTTTTGTCTTGTCTAAAATAAGGTTCCATCCACTTTGACTTCATGAGTTCCAATGCAGACGGTCTATCTTCAGGATTCTTTTTAAAACAGCTCTTGAGAAAGTCCATCGCTTCCTATCGATCTTGTTAGATCTGTCAAAACAAAGGTATCTTTACCTCTGATAACTTGAGATTCTTTGGAATAGGTGGCTCATCGTCTTCTACAATACGATACAAAGCAGCAAAAGAAGGCATGTTTGCATAAGGCGGTTTACCAGTCAGCATCTCTACAATGGTGCAGCCTAATGACCAAATATCTGATTTTGCAGAGGCACCTGCGAATTTGATGACTTCTGGTGCCATCCAATTGGGTGTGCCTGCTGGCTCACCTGTGGTTTCGTCGTCTTTCATCTTGAGACTAAGAGAAACACCGAAATCAGTTAATTTCAAGCCGCCTGTCTTGGTCGTCAAGATATTGGCAGCTTTTAAATCGCAGTGAATGACATCTTTTGAATGCAAATAGTGTAAGCCAGAAAGAATTTTGTACGTATAGGAAGCTGCTAATTTCTCAGGAAACTTTCCAAATGCTTTAATGTTGTTATGAAGTGAGCCCATCTCAACATATCTAGTCAAGTTAGTGACATACAGCTATTTTTTTTTGGCTTAACATACTCTAGAATGATGTTTAGAAACTCCTTGTCTTTTGCAAACCCTTTATAACGCACAATGTGTTCATTGTTTAAATGCTGTAGTACGCCTACCTCGTTCTATATGCAATTGTCAGCTTTATTTTTGTTTTCTTCAGACAGTTACCATATCATCACAATCCATTTGATTTCTTTTAATTCTTTTGATAGCAACATATTCTCCTGTATCCATATTTAGACCGCCAAACACCTCGCCAAATTGTCCTTTGCCAATACTTCTTCCAAGTGCCTATTTTTTTTTTTTTTTTTCATGTGTCAACAAAAGAAGGAGGCTAATACACAACTTACATAAACAGCTGTAGCGCCATCATCACTTTCTACTGTGATGGCACAAGATCCCATCTTTTTTAATGACGTCTTTCGATTTGCTGATTCGATATTGTTATAGTATTGAAGGTTGTTCTCTGCCGCAGCCTTTTGATCACAACAGCCTTTTGTTGTAGTGACAGTGACATTCGTGGCTGCCACAAGAGGTGTCGATTTGGAAGGTTTAGGTATAGGCGGTGCTAATGATTTTCTTGTTTCTCTTGCACTCTCTGCTTTTAATGGAACAGGTTTCTCAACGCACAATCTTTCTTCAGACTTGAGACTATTTTCAGAAGAAGAAGATCGTCTGGCTTTTGCCTTTGGCTCAGAAGCCATAGTGAGATTGTTAGTGGTGATCATTTGTACTTGCAATTTAACATATCCACCATTTGTTTGTTGCTTTTTTTGCTCTGAGCGAGCATCGATGGGTTTCTTTGGCCAGTCAAACACAGATGTTCTGTTGGCCTGGTTTTTTGTAGCAGAAGACATGTATTGATGCACAGGACTCTTTTTTTCTGAGGTTTGTTTGATGCTGCTTGGACTTGTGCGACCGCTTTTTTGTAGTAAATTGCATGTTGTAGCATGTGTTAACGTGGGGTATGCTGATGCAAGCAGTAATAGGTTCTTGCTACTTTTCTTCCTGCCTGTAGTAGGAAATTTCGTTGTTTGCTTGGTGGGTATCACCTTTCTTTCACTCATGATTCTTTTAATAGCTAAAAGACAAGAAATGACACTCTGCATTCGTTTTCCTTCTAAAAGGTCTACCGTCTGAAATAAATCTGATTGGGGTATATGAAGCTAACATATACATGAGAAAAGACATGAATAAGACATGCCAAACATACTTACTGATTCTGCTACACGTAGAAATTGTCCAATATTATCTTGCTATTAATTTTGAACATGAGTCCATTTTTTCCGTTAATATCAATAGCCTTACATATGCGAATTTTGTATGGCCTTCATTTTTCACAATGCATTCATTAGGTGAAAAGCGTTTGATGAACCTTTAATAAGTACGCGTTAATCATGATTTTGATAGAACGATGGTCTTACTCGCATAATAGGATGCCGTCCTTGAGAATTTCTTGGAGTGACCCTTTAGGTAATTCTTTGATGTCAAGTGTTTCTATCAGGAATTGTTTTACTATTTCTTCAGGCTCTTGTTGAAATACAGGTAAAGTTGTGATGGTTGTTGTTGTCATTTATATGTGTAGAAATATAAAAAAGAAGAAAAAAAGAGAGAAAGAAAGAAAAGAATAGGATGGAAATGACTATAATAAACGTAATAATTGTATGTATTGTGTCTAAACAAGGTAATATTATACAACACTTCCTGCCATGTTTCCCTTTGTGTGACACTCTTCATAAAGCAATCGTAAACAGATTACCCAAAATAGAAGTTTTATAAAAAAAAACTGTATTCATTGTTAATTTATGACAAGTACTGTTCAGTGATCAAGTGTGTATGTTTCTCTTGTTGTTGTGAATGACTCTATCAATTCAATTCATAAAGCAGTTTTTCTGAATGTATTCAGAAATGAAATGACCTGAAGATTTTTGAAATTATAAACTTTAGTACTATGCAGATTAAATTGAAAGATTCTATTGTAAAATAGACGGCTTACATAATATAGAAACACCCCTCTTGAGACTATATCTCGATAATTAAAAGGAGGAGGGGAGGGGCGAAACATCCTACACAAGAGACTTGTTAACAAAATCAGCGGAAGGGAAACATTAGCATATTTGGTATACAAGGGATTCTTTTTTTTATGACGCCATGCTTTTACTCGCTTGGTAACTAGAAAATGATTGAAACTAGACTATCAAGACTTACTGTCTATGCACAAGCCAGTCAGGTAAATCAATAATCATTTGAGATCTTCATCTTGACTGAACCAACCGGAAAACTTCCTTCTGATAAGCCTTGGTAAGCCTCGTCAACCTTTATGGTTGGTTTCACCATCGTTTTGAATAAACAATGTCCATTATTGTCGAGAATTTTGACTTGACGCACTAGTGATGAACTTTATTTATGCTAAAAAAAAGGATCAGATATGCTTCTCTAATCCTTCTCTTTTATTCTTCACTGCTCAAATCCACACCATAGCATAAAAAAAGTATGTGATGCTTGAATCGAGTATGCATCGATATAGAAAGAGCCATGAAATGCAAACGATAAGCGTATACACTCATGAAACAGCAGTGCAGAGCAGCACAAAAATTCATCATCCGCCAGTACTTGTGTGTGATTTTCCTTTTCTCCCTTTTTTTTCCTCTTCTTCTTTTCCTGCTGAAACTATGAAATATACTTTTGTCTCGGTCCCCGCTTTAGGAGATAAGCAAAATACGTTCCTGAATATCAAGGGAAAATTGGCAGAATATGCCCAAACATATCAATACAATATCCCAGAGTTCAAGGTAAGCAGACTAAAGATGAGCCTGTTTTAAGCAATGTTAGATTGGTACCTTGGACGCCTTGGTTGTCTTGTCTGACGACCTTGTCAAGCATGATACAGTATTTGAGCAGTCTGTTAATAAGCTTGCTGACACTCTCAACAATTTATTGAAAGGTCAACAAGCCAACCTTCAAGACCACTTGTTGGTCAATGATAGTAAAGTATTGTATAGGAAGAAGACGCGTACTTATCACTGTTTATTAGAGCCAATTGACCAATACATCTCTACTTTTACTTGGAACTCTATGAAGTATCGTATAGATAAGTCTTTACAAGAAACCACGCAGACCTTAAGTCAGGTAAACATTTTTAAAAAAAAAAGATGAAACAAAATCAAAGCACCCCCTTAATCATGACGCTTAACAGGAAGTTACAGCTATTGATAATGTCATGAAGAACAAGTTGAATTTGTATACCCAAAATAAGAATGCTCTCATGACTTTGCAGCGTAAGCAAACGTAGGTATATTAAGAAAGAAGGAGGAGAGAAAGAGAAAGAAAGAAAAAAGGAAATTGAGTGCTTACACAATTTTGTACAGTGGTAATTTGTCTGTTCGCAGTCTGAACGGCATTGTCAAGAAGCAACATTGCGTATTGAATTCTGAGTTCTTGACCACCTTGATTGTTGCTGTACCCAAGTCACTCTATAAGCAATGGAACAATAGATACGAAACATTAACGGACATGGTTGTTCCTCGCTCTTCTGTGTAAGTTGAGTTGCAACAAAGAGTTATCAACTAATCCCATGATAGTAAAATTGATGAAGATGAAGAATTTGGATTGTTTACCGTCACTGTATTCCAAAGAGTAGTTGATGAATTTTGCCACAAGGCAAGAGAAGAAAAGTTTATTCCTCGTGATTTTACCTATGATGAAGACGCATTGCAAACTCAAAAGCGTGAGTTAGAAGAAGCTATTGCTACCGAGCGTGAACAACAAGCTGAATTGTTGCGCTTGGCAAAGACAAACTTTGGTGAGACATTTGCTGCTTGGTTGCACTTGAAGGCTCTTCGTGTCTTTGTAGAGTCTGTTCTTCGCTATGGTTTGCCTCCTGATTTTGCTTCAGTTACTATTTTACCAAAGCCAAAGTTTGAAAAGAAGGTAGATGAAACACTTGTTGCTCAATATGGTCGTTTGGGTGGTGTCCATGGTCAAGCCAACAAGAACGAAAGCCACGATGAACTTTTGGATCATGATTTACAATCTGTCAATGACAGCAGTTATCGACCTTATGTTCAATTTGAACTCGAATTCGAATTTGAACGTAGATAAATCAGTGAAATAAAAAGAAAGAAAAATTTATTGTTTAGTATTGAGAAGCCATTTGTTGACATTGTTTAAGAGCATCAAAGTACCATTTACAGGCACTCATGTCGTTATTTGTAGCTTCAAGACATTGTGTAAATGCTTTGGCGTCTGCTTCACACGAAGCGCCATTTTGTGTTTGTGCAGCCATGGGTTGTTGGTAAGATGATTGGTATTGTTCTTGAGGTTGTTGTTGAGGTTCACTACTACCGCCACCAAACATGGCAGATACGCCATTGGCCATTGTGTGGCCAACAGCAGAACCAACAGCTACACCCGCAGCAGTGGAAGCCACTAGAAACAAAAATTAATATACCGAAAGATCGAGTAAATCTTGACTTACTTTGTGAGAAAAGACCAGGTTGACGACCCTGCACAACAGCAGGCTGTTGTTGAGGAGGTTGATGTTGGACAGGTGCATGTTGTTGTTGTTGGTGTTGCTGAGGAGGGGGAGTTTGTCTAGAAGGCATTGTATGTGCACTACGAGTTTGCTGAGTAGGTCCAGCACGACGAGTCTAAACAGAGTGATTAGTTTGGTTCCATTTGATTATAGTTGAGCTTACTTGTCTAGAGCGAGCCATGTTTATATTTTAATGATCTATAGAGTTGAAAAAAAAGAGAAAAAGAAAAAGAAAGAAAATGCTTTATTATTACTTATATTTTCGGGGCAGAAGTTTACAAAAAGAGATTGGTTTAGTATGGAATCATTCATGGACCTTGATTGGATTAGAGTCTATCGGGCAGGACGGGTGAATTATGCGTCAAAGGCGGATTGGGCTGCTGACACAGGTTTTCTATTTTTGGAAACAGTACGCGTATGAATGGTTTTGATTTGCGCAGCTCAGGTCTGCAGAAGCATTAATTGGGTCATACTTCTGGCTCTCGTTTACGTCACTAAATATCATAAAATAGAGCTGTATGCATCAAACTTTTGTTAAGGAGAAACGCTACATAAACATGCTTTAACAGAGTTCGTAGTTCAGCCACCCAAAAAAAAAACCAAGGATCATTATAAAAAAAAGAGCTCAAAAATGTATGAAAAAATTAAAAGCTCCGGGAAACATCAATTACCCAGCATGCAAGCGAAAGACCTGATTTTGCTGAATTCAATTGATTTAAGGTGAAAACTGTTGGCGAGCAAGCCTACTCAACCGATATCGGTCGAATAACATCGGAATCAAGTGTATTGGCCTGAATTTAATAGGGCAACTCCTGATGTCAATTAGATGTCTGAAATTAAAACTGACTTTGTCCGGGAAAAAAATAAAGTTCGTTTTATTTAGAAGGTCCAAAAACTTGTATTTGCATTTTTCTTCTTCACTTTATTTTTTAAAACATGAACCCAACGGAATCAAAATTATTTAGTTCAAGAGAAAAAGCAGCTGAAGACCAATACATTCGTCAAAAGGTAAATTTCCTCGGCTCTTTTTTATAGTATTGACCAAAAGTTAAGGAAGCGGAACAATTAAAAGCATTAAAGGCTTCTATGGACGCTGCGGCCAAGAAAGACAATAAACCTGAGAACAAATAAAGGATTTTTTTTCAAATAAAGTGCATTATTATTAAGATTAATAAAAAACAAGTCTTTACACGGATGTAAAAAGATATAATCTGTTTGTAGATAGCAGAAGGGGTAGGAGAGAGGATTAAAAAATTAAATAAATAGTAAAGGGAAAGTTTAAGCAGAGACCTGCTTAGGTCTAAAGCTCATGATACAGCCATCTTGAGGATAGATAGTAGCAAAGATAGAGATATCGTCACTCTTGTCAGTACGAGTATGGGTCCATTCTAATTTGAGGGCTGATTCGGCAATAACAGCCATCAAGTGCATAATGGCATATTCTCTACCAAGACAGTGGTGAGGACCGTTACCAAAGACCATGAAGTTCTTGGGGTACTTTTCAGCAGTACCTTTAGGTCCCCATCTATCAGGATCAAAAGCGTCAGGGTTAGGATAGGCAACAGGATCATGAAGAGCAGGATAAGTAGAGGGGATAAGCATAGCGCCCTTGGGAACAATGTAGTCGGGAGTAAGAGGCCATTCACGAACAGTTTGGTAAGGGACCATCAATACAGGAGGACGAAGACGAAGGATTTCCTTGACGACTTGACGAAGATAAGGGCTTTCTTCCATCAATTCCAAAGTAAGAGGTTGATCAAGCTTACCCTTACGAACTTGAACTTGTTCATCATATACCTTTTGAAGAACTTCGGGATGATCGGCTAATAATTGATAAGCCCAAGTCAAGGCAGAAGAAGTAGCATCTTGAGAAGCAAAAAGGAAGGTCAAGAGAGTCAAGGCAATTTCACGATCAGTGAACTTTCTGGGAGCAGGCTTGTTGGCAGCAGCGCATTCTGCTTCAAGTTCAAGCATGGAGTTAATCCAAGCATCCATCATGGACTTGATTTCACCCTTGTTAGCCATTCTAATACGACTGTCCTTGATACATTCAATGAATTGGTTGACAATGTACTTGCGAGATTGAATAGCTTTGTAAACCTTGGTACCGGGCAAAGGAATAGGGAAGTTGACAAGTTCTAATGCTGCAGTGATGTTGAAATATTCAAGAGAAATTTTGGCTGCAACTTCATCAGACATATAATCACCCAAGAAGACACGGAGGGAAGATTCCATGTTGAGTTCACGGAAGCGCAATTGGTATTGTTCTGAGATACCGTCCAAAGCAAGCCATTCGGCAAAGTGCTTATGGTAGACTTTTTCCTGAATAGGCATATAGATACTATTGACGTGTGTTAACATAAACAAATAGACATAAATAATAAACATTTACCCTAAAGCCTTGCGAGTAAACAAAACATTCAAACCCTTACGGTAGTCAACATGGGCCTTTCCACTCAAAAAGACCCAGTTATCGTCACAGAGAATGTACTTCATGGAATCGACCACAGCAGGTTCAGCATAAGTAGGTGCATTAAGGACCTTACGACTTAAATCACAAGTAGAGGCAATGACAACAAATCTAAATTTGTTTTGATTTAATATTCGGACATTCAATCTTATTGTGATTCTAAACCCCCTCTTCGCAGAAAGCGATGCCTGTAGAAAAAAAAAAGATAGTGGATATTGGCTGTGAAAGGAGGTGATAGACACAGAACCTTACTGCCACTACATCTCCTTTTTTTTTCCCCTGAAGAACAATGCTTTGCTCTACACAATTCTCGTTTCTATATCGTACCTGTCAAACACACTAACACATGATAATTCACCACTCTTCCATTTGCTCATATAACCTTCAAAAGTAGGATAAAGTGAATCCATAAAAGCACCGATAATAGGAATTTTCAAAGTAGGACCAGGCAAGTTCTTCTTTTTCTTGAGATAAATATATTGTTCATAAGCGAATAAACCAACAACAGCGGAGCAAACGACAGCAGTGGTAGACATCTTTTGTTGAGAGAAAGCAGCCTTCATAAATGAAGCCACTGTGTTTTTTGCTGATTCAATTGAACGAGGATCAAAAATACTATCATGTAGTTAGTGACCATTGCAAATGTTGCTCTGATTGACTTTACCTTGATGAGGACATGTTTCAAGAAAGTATTGGGAGAATTATCTGTTTTACTTTTATAAAAATGTCCACAAAAGAAAAAAAAGATAAAGAGGAGAGGAAAGAAAGGAAAAAACAAATTTTGTATTGAGAAAATTTTTATTTTTCGAGAAATTAGAGGGAACACAAGGAAAAAATCAACAAGATGTCTGTATCGGGTTAAAATGATTGAGACAAGCTCTGTAGCTCTCTCTCTTTTTTATTTATTTTATCCTTGTTCTTTTATTTCAGGCCTCTTTATTTCAGCTCAATATAGACTTGTAAAAAAAAAAAAAAAAAAAAAAGGACAAAGTGTAAAAACAAGGGGTTAAGCGTATTCCTTTTTGGCAATGTAACAAGAAACTCTTGTCTGCTACTCTCTCCGACTTTAGTTCATTTCTTTTTTTTTCTATGTTTCTTTGTTATTTTGAAAATATTGGGATTTAATAGCTATTGTTTTAGCTTGGTTATAGCTCTTAATTCAATTAGGAGTGTGCAATTAAAGTAAAGCAAAGCATGGTGTGTTTATCAAAGATAATAGAAAAACGTGCTTTATTTTTTTTAGTGTCGGACCGACGAAAGCTACATTGAATACGGCAACAGATTTTCCGTGTTGGACGAAAAAACTTCCCTCGTCCAAAGCATAATAATTAACATTGGGTACAATCTTGTGACATGTAAATTCATTAAAAGCTGCTTGAGAATAAGGATGCTTCTTTATTTCTTTGTCTCTATATTAGCAAAGTAATTAGATCCTTGTTTTTTCTTGACTGCGGAGTTGATCGGCAGTGCAGAATACATGGCTATTGTTTATCCAGGATTTGTAATCGAAAAGAAAGATCAACAACACTGAGTTTTAAACAACTGAAATAAAAAGAATTTGGCATTCTTTATCTTTTCTTCTGTTTGTCATAACTGATACATGTACCGCAAAACGACAGCAACCGCGGATTAGAACATGCTTTTGATAAGCCTATAACTCTCTTTTGCATAATTGGCTTATATGTCTTTAAGCACATGTTTCACAAGACCCAAGTGATCTGTTGAAGGCATAAAAATTGAGTAACCATAACAATAGCCATTCAGTTCCTGAATATTAATTTTATTTCGATTCAACATTGCTTATTTTCAAATAAACTGCTGGATGACTTGAACAACCTCATTTCGCTCGTATAATGAGCTAAAAAAAAAGAGTAGGCTATTTTGATCGATGTGAAAATGAATTTTTGTAGTAAATCAATAAACATGCACATATTTGCCAAATTTGGTATTGTCTTCGTTGGAAAAAAAAAGCCTGAAACTATATCCGATGCTCTACATTTATTGATTTTCATGCATTTTAATATTGACACTTTTTTCTTGTTTTGATAGAGAAAACTAAATTACTTTTTGAAACTAAAGTTCTTTTTGGTCATAGAATTGTGACTTTTACCATTCAACTCGTATTTTGTTGTGACAGTCGACCATACGGGCTTACTATTTCTTTGTTAATGGCTTTTTTGAAGCCTTTGCTAGTGAACCTTACAATAGATGCACGACGGGTTTTACTTTATTGATATATATCTATCTTTTATACAGTTTTTTACTAACGTCTCTTTGATCTTGTGCATCCTGAGTGGATAAAAATATCATGCACGTATATAAGAGCTTGAAAGAAGCTAAATCAGCCACAGCGTCTGAGCAGTCTTACGTATCATTTGCAATTTCAATTCTTTTTCTTCAAGTTACTCACTAAGTCTGGCTTCGAAGATTGAAATAGCAATAGCAAGTTTTTTATTCCAGTGAACCGAAATTGAACTTTTTCTCAGAACTACTTAAAGATGCAACTATTCTGTCTTGGTGTCTTAAAAAAAGTTGTAGATCTTTGTTTTCCGAGTCCAAAATGCAAAAAGCACAAAAAGTGAACTAACAAAAAATTGAGCAAATGTAAGGCATAGCCTTTGATTTTTTTGCTCCTAGCGAAACAGTTTCGTAGAAAAATCTATACAAAAACGCTATCAACAAATACTATACTATTTGACGCTTATTCCGAGTATTTAATCATACCGGTAGCGCCATTCTTTGTTCTGTAAAGTCAAAAAGAAGCTCAAATACGGAGATTGAAATATCGGCCATGAGTAATTGTCCAATTTTTGGCGATTTTGGACATATTCCTTTTTTTGATCCAAATCCACTTGAAAAGTTCCATAATGTTAGTAAACATCGTTTCTAGGCATCTAGATTATTGTATAATGCATAAATAGGCTTTAAACTATCTTTTTATACCTAAGAAAAAAGGGAATTTTACTGTTATTTTTGCAAATTTAGAGAACATATTACCTGAACCATAAAGAAAAAGAGAGCTTCCTATTTATTTTAATTATACTTCTCAGTTCTAAGTCATACACTTAATTTACAAGCAAAAAAAGGGCATCACTTGTGTACTTTTGATCGAAAAATAAAGATTTATCTTGGGTCACAAAACCGTAATAGCTCACTTCAACCAGCTAAAAAAAAAGAGGTGCAGGAAAAAATAATTTCATATATTATTTTTTCCAAAACGGAATTATTATTTTGTTTTAACAAATGGATTGATCTATGTAATTTCCCAGCTTGCCTTAATATCAATTAAAGCTTTAAAATAAGACGCTTTTATAGCGAGGAATAAAAAACAAGAATTTCTTCTGTCATGTCAAACTATCTCGGAAACAATGGCAATATTCTCGAAAGTAAGGATGGTGCAGAAACAAGTTGAAAATTCAAGTAAAGAAAAAAAAAAGGTTGGTGCAAAGCTTTACTATTTGAGAGCTACAAAAATAATTGCTCTTTTGAATAAACTCTCTCGCTGATCAATTATCACCCACTATAAGATGATTCTTTCTCTTTTCTTTACACCAGCTTGTCTCAGTATTACCAAAGAAAGTTTATTTTTTTATGTGCTCTTACTCATTTTTGTCTCTTTTCTTGTTTTGATTTTAAAAGATAGTTTAATTTTGTATGTCTAATTTCTATTTCTAAGAGCAAACTTTCTTTTATGAACAAGTCTCAAAGAGAAAGTCTAGCTTGAACAAAGTTGTTTGCCATGGATCATAGTACAGATAAGGTACGCCCAAAACTTGTTCTTTATGTCCTTGATTTTCGTGATACTTAAATGAATTAGACGCTAAATAAACTCTCCAAACAAACGATGTTTTAGCTCCATTACTTGCTGTTCAAAAAGAAAAAAAAACACCGAATACATAAGCCAAGCTGAAGTATCGTCCGCGTCCAAGAAAGGGAATTGATTGTTTGAAATGAAACGTTTTAGCACAAGTCTTTTTTTGGCAAAGTTTAATTTTGTTTACACCATATGAGTATAAATAACAAAATGACTCTCATCTTTCTTTTTTGTATAAGGAAAGCAGCGCATTTGATACACTTGATATACTAGTGAAAGGGAAAAAAAGTTATCTGATCCAAAAAAAAAGATCACTCTCCAATAAAGATGTGGCGTAGAAATCACTAAATGTGGGAAAAACAAGCTGATTGGCAACTGATAATGAAGACAAATAAATACGTAAACTTGAAGATGTAAAATGAGGCAAATCGGGTGCGCCATAGATGTAGATTCCTAAACCTGAGTTTTAACTCAAATGTATGAATGGTGAAATACATCTCAACACCTCCTTTATTTATTGGCTAATCTGTTTTGATGTGGGGTTTTAAATGCATATGTATATCGAACCAGTAAAAAAAAACATGTACAGTAGTCTAAGATAATAAATAACAACAAAGAAAAAAAGTTTTTTCTTTTATTGCAGATAAATACAGAGCTTTGTTTTAGACAAGCATAACGATTTGTTTTTGAATAGCCTTTTTCGTTTCTTCTTTGATTCGAGAGAGTTCTGAGAGATATACGTGGCATAAGCTCATCCATGTAGAGTGGGCACAACATAAGTCGTACATTGTAGAGCAGTTCCACAAACATAATTATTTTAGATTACTATAATCATGCAAGATGTTGATGCTAGAAGATGATTGGCCACAAGAAATGGATAACGCCTTTTTTCGAATCTAAACTAATCAAAAGCTTAATTTTATATCGTACGCGTAAAATTAGCAGACGGTTTGACTCTACAAATCCTTACATACTGCTTTTGCTGGCCTTATTTTATTTAAATAAACGTATATCAAGATGGAATACAGGACCTAGAATAGGGGTCTAAAAACAAAAAGCATGCCATGCGCCCTATTTTAGCGGAGATATAAGTTTAGACATAATAATTGGATGGTTTTATTGGCTATGAATTTCATCATCTAATCTGTCAATGCATCCATATAAAAACCAAAACCAACTTTTGTTTATTTTTTTTTTCTCCATTGAGTTTCATATCTTAATTTTATAATGGTTGTTGCTACTAACCTCGGTTTCCCTTACGTTGGTGCTAAGCGTGAGCTCAAGAAGTCCGTTGAAGCTTACTGGTCTGGCAAGATTTCTGCTGACGAACTCAAGAGCGCTTACCAAAAGATCCAAGAAGCTAACTGGAAGGTTCAAAAGGAGCAAGGTATTGAACACATTCCTTCTGGTGAATACACTTTGTATGATCGTGTTTTGGATACTGCTCATCAATTCGGTGTCATCCCCAAGCGTTATCAACACATCAAGGATCCTCTTCAACAATTCTTCGCTATGGGTCGTGGTCTCCAAAAGGCTGCTACTGAAACCACTGAAAAGGTTGATGTTCCTGCTCAAGAAATGAAAAAGTGGTTCGACACCAACTACCACTTTATTGTTCCTGAATTCGAACCCAACCAAGAATTCAAGATTCAAGATCTTCGTGCTGTTGAACAATACAACTTTGCCAAGTCTCTCGGTATTGAAACTCGTCCTGTCATTGTTGGTCCCGTTACTTTCCTCCATCTTGGTAAGGCTGCTGAAGGCTTTGATGATTTTGAAACCATCTCTCTTCTTCCTAAGGTTCTTCCTCTCTACATTGAACTCTTGAACCAACTTCAAGCTGCTGGTGCTCAATGGGTCCAAATTGATGAACCTGCTCTTATCCTTGACTTGCCCGAAAAGGTTAAGGCTGCTTTCGAAGAAGCTTACAAGACTATCAAGGCCTCTACTTCTATCAAGACTTTGGTTACTGCTTACTTTGGTCGCGTTGAAAACAACATCTCTGGTCTCCTTCCCTATGTTGATGCTCTCCACCTTGATCTCGTCCGTGCTCCTCAAGAACTCGATGCTGTCTTGCCTCTCTTGAACAACTCTCAAGTCTTGTCTCTTGGTCTCGTCGATGGTCGTAACATCTGGATCAACAACCTCGCCAAGTCCATCGAATTGGCTCAAAAGGCTGTCTCTGCTCTTGGAAAGGACCGTGTCTTCATTGCTCCCTCTTGTTCTCTTGCACACTCTCCTTACTCTACTACTTTTGAAAAGAAGATCGCTGAAAAGAACCCTGAACTCCTTAGCTGGTTAGCCTTCTCTGTTGAAAAGACCAAGGAAATTGCCACCATTGCTTCTGCTCTCAACAATGGTCCTGAATCTGTCAAGGAAGTTCTTGCTACCAATGCTGCTGCTATTGAATCTCGTCGTACTTCTTCCCAAACTACTAACCCTGCTGTCCGTGACCGTGCTGCCAAGGTTCCTGCTGAAGCCTGGAAGCGTCCTGATGAGTTCAAGGTTCGTCGTGAAGCCCAAGTCAAGAAGCTCAACTTGCCTCTCTTCCCTACTACTACCATTGGTTCTTTCCCTCAAACCAAAGAAATCCGTGTTACTCGTCAAAAGTTCAACAAGGGTGAAATCAATGCTGCTGAATACGATGCTTTCATCAAGAAGGAAATGAAGCACATGGTTGAAGTTCAAGAAAAGATTGGCTTGGATGTTCTTGTCCACGGTGAACCCGAACGTAACGACATGGTTGAACACTTTGGTCACCTTCTCCACGGTTATGACTTCACTGAAAACGGTTGGGTTGTCTCTTATGGTTCTCGTTGTGTCAAGCCTCCTGTCATCTTTGGTGATGTCTCTCGTCGTGGCCCTATGACTATTGATGAAACTGTCTATGCTCAATCTCTTACTAAGAAGCCTATGAAGGGTATGTTGACTGGTCCTGTTACTATGATGAAGTGGTCTTTTGTTCGTGACGATATTCCTCTCAAGGATGTTTGTGTTCAAATTGGTCTTGCTCTCCGTGATGAAGTTGTTGATCTTGAATCTGCTGGTATTCCTTGTATCCAAGTTGATGAACCTGCCATCCGTGAAGGTCTTCCTATTCGTCGTGCTGACTGGGATGCTTATCTTGACTGGTCTGTTGCTTGTTTCCGTCTTTCTACATCTGGTGTCCGCAACGAAACTCAAATCCATACTCACATGTGTTACTCTGACTTCAACGATATCTTTGACTCTATTGCTGCTTTGGATGCTGATGTTATCACGTAAGTAAAATTTTGGGTTAGGAAAAGCTGTTTGCTAATTTTTACAATAGTATTGAAAACTCCAAGTCTGACGAAAAGTTGCTCAAGATCTTTGAAACCAAGAAGTATCCTAATGAAATCGGTCCTGGTACTTATGTAAGTATACATATATATTGGTTAGGCTTTTTTATTCATTTTTAAATAGGATATCCACTCTCCTCGTGTTCCTTCCGTTGACGAAATCAAGCAAAAGCTCGCTGATATGCTCAAGTACATTGATCCTAAGCTCTTGTGGGCCAACCCTGATTGTGGTTTGAAGACTAGAGGCTGGACTGAAACTGAAGCTGCTCTTGTTAACATGGTTGAAGCTGCCAAGTACTTCCGTTCTCAATACTCTGCTTAAGTCGCTCTCTTTTATATGTAAATAGTTCAACACTAGTTTAGACATTATTCTCTTTTTTTTAATTTCTCTTGTAAAAAGTTCAACACTGTGTATAATAGCCTCTCTAAAAAAAACAAATCATGTCTCAATAAAATTATCATGCTAAACATCAATTACTTATTAAGTTTAATATCATAAATCAAACAATGAGTCACTCTAAAAAGTTAATTAAATAATGTTAGTTACACCTTCGGTAGATCACAAATTGGTATGTAACTAAAAAGAATAAGTTGTTCAGGACCCATTTCTAAGGAAAATATGTTTATTATCATAGTTCACTGACTCTGGAAATGGCTTCAATTTTAGATTTCCATGTTTTCAATACATTCTGAGATTCATATATCTTTTGTTTGATTTTATATAGCTTCTCATCCTGTTCATGATTAGAAGAAAGAGACAGATCTTGCCTTTTGACCAATAAATTGTACTCTATACAGATAATTTCCATCATCCAGTCCAATCCACTTGTTCTCCATGGACAGTATGCTTTGTGTTCTTGCAAGACATCGAATTCATGCACTTGATAGAATCCTTTTTGACTGAAGCATAAATCGCATTTTACGCCTGGAATCTCTGGATGCAATGTTGACCATCCAACTGCAGATAGTATATAAGGATTAATGGTCACATTATCTTGATTGCTTTCAAAATGCTGTACCAGATATTTAATCTTGTTCAAAGCTGCTTTATCCTATAGTCCATAAGTTCACTTCAGACACTATGGATTTTGCTTACCAATGAATGTTTTAATGCTGGCAATGTTTCTTGTTTAGCTGTACAGGTTGATAATAGCATTCTTGCTTCATTTTTGAATTTTTCTATTCCTTCTGAAATAGTTGTTGATGGAAAGCTATAAACAGAGTCTACATATGTCTTTTGTATAAGTATTGGTTTGAGAGTTTGCTTTAGCTAACCTTCGCAATGGCTATGTCTCCACTGACAGTCTTCTTGATGGCACTCAAATAGACCTTTCTTATATTTGTCAATGACTGCAATAGCTAAGACAGATTGATTTAGTCTCGTTATACAACATGTCATGCTAACCTTCAGGCTTGTTCTTGTATCGATCTTCTATCTCAATAACGTACATTTTCCTTTTACAGTCAATGCACTCTAGAACTGATGTAGTTGGATCGCCATCTACTGTTTGTGTATCTCGCCAACCATGTTTGGCACAATCAAGAGCTGATATAGGACGAGAAGCACAATGATATAAAGTTGAATACGACTTTAGTCGCGTCATGAGTGCTTCTCGGTCATTAAAAGGTGCCTTGACATCGGTATGGTTGATCTTTAGTAATTTTGTGGGAGTGTCTTGTGCGTCATCAGTAGAGGCGGGTCTTTTTGCCTTAAACAAAGGTAGTAATTTAGCCTCTTTTCTAATCCTTAGTGTGAGAGCTCTCAATTCAATAGTCTCTTGCTTTAAATTTGGTTCTGTTGTGATAGATTCTTGCATTAGTGTAAAAGAAGAAGGGTAAATTTATTCGTATTTTTTTTTTTTTGGGGAAATTAATTGTATACAATCTGTTTTTGATAATAAGAGTAACTCAAGCGTCTTCTATGTTTCTTTTTGCTTTTAGAACGTTTCCTTAAAGCCTTTTTTATCGAGAAGAGACTTCTTTTATCCTTTAATTCTTGAATAAAGCTAGAGCTTGACTCTGATTTGCTTATGCTTGTGCTACTTGAATCTTTGTCAACAAATTTATTAGATGCGAAGCTACTTGAGAAGCTTTCTGAGCGGCGACGGAGTCTTGGATGATGGCTTGACTTGTTGGTCTTCTTACTACAGTCTTTATTGACTTTCTTACAGGGCCATGTATCGTCTTCCTCTTGATCATAAGACTCTTCAAAGGTATCACTACTACTACTACTGCTGCTGCTGCTACTGCTACTAGAACTGCCGCCACTACTACTGCTGCTACTGCTGCTACTAGAGCCACCACTACCACTGCTGGAAGATGAACTAGAAGAATTGACGCCGCCACTGCCACTGCCACTGCCACTGCTACTGCTACTGCTACTTGATGAAGCGTTCTTTTTCTTTCCACTGCTTGAGGACGAAGAACTAGATGAAGATGAGTCTCCTTTTTTACCACTTGAATTTGAAGAGGAAGAAGAAGAGCTATCACCATCACTAGTACTTCTACTAGATGAAGAAGACAAAGATGAGCCACCTTTCTTGCTATAACGCTTATAATCATCATCATCCGGAGACTCAGATTGTTCTAGTAAGGTAGAGCATTCATCAGCTTCTTGACAGCTGTCTGAACCTTGTAGTAACAGTTTGTCTTCTAAGCTATCGTACGATAAGCACTCCTCAGTAAGATCATTGTTGTCAACTGCAGGCGTACAGATGGAGCCTATGGAACTTGTTTTGGAAGTAGTTATCGCATGCGTGTCGGAAAATACTGTAGTCAATGCTGGAGGTAAGTGGTCAGTAGAACAGATTTCCGTATTAGGCATAGTAGTATACGATTTTTGAGATAAAGAGGTTGTTGAAACCGTTGTAAATAACTCTGTTGTACTAGATAATTCTGATATAGTTTGACTGGTACTATATACAGATCGTATTGAGGAAGTAGTAGCAAAAGACATTGGGGCGCTATGGGTTTTAGAAGTAGAAGTTGTACTAGACATACTTGTCGAAATATCTGTGCAAGTGACAGATGGACCCTGGGTTGAAGAGATACTACATGTTAAACAAATTGATGCCGATGTCGAGCTAACAGTGAAACTTGAATCATAAGTCATTGAACTGGTAATAGGAACAGTCTCCATTGAAGAGAATGTACTTGTTTGACACAATGAAGGTTTTTGACTAATTGTGATAGAAGAAGCACTGAACGTTGAACTTGCCGAAGAACTTGTAACACAGCTTGTCAAGGAGCTTGTATGCTCTATAATTGAGCTAGAGGTAAAACCATCCTGAGTAAAATAATGATACTTAAAGCAACGTGACGGACTTGATGGTAAAGTTATAGCAGAACTTGAGCTACTTATAGCTATACTGGTGATAGCAATACCTTGAGTTGAGGAAGCCACACAAGCGGGGCATATTGATGAACTTGTTAATGTTGGAGCAGCTGTAGAAGTTATTGAACTATCTGTAATTAAGCTAGTCGTGCTTGAGCTAGTAATTGAAGAGCCTTGAACCGAGGAAACAATACAAGTGGGGCATAGTGACGAACTTGACACATATGCTTGTGTTGAACTTGTAATATAGTCAAAACTCATTATGGATGTGCTACCGACGGTAGTAATTTGAGTCAAAAAAGTAGAGCAGCTGTCGCAAGAGGACGTGGTTATTGATTTTATCATATCTGTAGAGGAAGTTGAAGTTGGTATTCTTTGACTAGTAGTAGCATCTAGTATTGAAGAAATATATGATGCAGGGGGAACCACCATACGACCAGGAATACTCGACAATATTGAGCTACTTATTCGATTTGGATTACCAAGACTTGTCGATGATATGGTATTTTCTGACATGGTATAGAATGAAGAAGAGAAAGAGTTGCTTGAAAAACTAGTTTTTGACAAGGAGCTAGCCGTAGATAATTGCGATTTAGAGTCTTGATAGCCTAAGGCCAACGAAGGCGTGGTCTGCATAATGGTTGTACTCAAGGATGTAGTTCTTTCAGGGAGATAAGAAGTGACAGAGTATATAGTAGTAGCGGCATCCAACAAGGAATATCCTGACCCAGTGACAAAAACGGTCGAAACCAGAGTTTCAGTGGTTGCTGAAAGCTGAAGGGACGTAAGAGAGAGAGTTTCTATAAATCTCGATGGAACATATACAGTAACTTGATCATGTGTTGATGAAGAGATCGTTTTAATTGCTGTTACTGTAGTTGTTGCCAATTGACTCGTTGTAATAGTAGCTTTATTAAGAGATACTGCTGTAGTTGTCAAGTGTTCAACTACAGTTGTAGGCTGAGTAACAGTAAAAGTAGCCACACTAGTCGTATAAGAACAAGATTCAGCTACAGGTACATTTAGAGTATTGTAAATTGTACTGATTCCAGTTGTAGTCCTGGCATTTGGTGTTCGAGGTTGTGTAAATAGAGAGGTTGTGATTGTTGTAAATGCCACAGTTTCGGTGGTTGTATGTTGCAGCGTTTTTGTAATGGATTGAGGCTTAGTAGAAGTAATAGGAGCTATTGTAAGTCTTTCATGTGTAGTTTCAGGCGTATAGTTCTTGCAGTAATCAGGCAATGTATGTTCACAGCCTTTGTTAGTGCCTTCATGCCACCATCCATCCTTATGGTAATGCCAATGAGGACCAAACTTTTTATCATACATGTAAGGGTTGGTTTTTTCTTCAATAAATAACCAATGGCTACAATCTCTGTTAATGACTAAAACAATGTATAATGTTAGCCCTTTTTTTTTTGTTCTTTGAATTGTAACTTTTTTTTTTTATATCTACCTATTCCATCTTTGTTATCATGATTTTTTTTAGTATTTTTATCGTTTTCATCCTCATCACTATCCTCATCTTCTTCGCCGCTTTCATCTTCAGTCTTTTTTGAGCCATAATACCATCCTCTTTTAGCGAGATTTATATTATTTTGATTGATAGTGTCAGACATTATAGACCGAGACGCATGGGTATCCAACCCATTTTCTTGCGCAAAAGAAAAATTATTCGTGATTCCTATTACAAGAGCTATTACAAAAATAGACAAAGGTATCTTTTGTAGCATAGTAAAGTCAAATCTAAATAGTAGATTAGGTTAGTAACTAAAACTCTAAAGCCAAATAGCTACCTATTGATCCTTCAATATCAAGTTTATCAAAAAGAAGAAAGAAAGAAAGAAAAATAGCCAAACGAAATAGCAACCAATGTCTTTAATATACAATAATAAGAACCAGCAAGTTCTCCTGTGTCTTGTTTATATCTACTACAGGTGTATTAATGACAGGTTTCAATGATTAAGTACCAGTTAGTCGGATTAGAAATTTAAATTTGGGATCTACAATTTGACTTAAAATTGCTTTTGATTACATCCAACACTTATCGGCCTTCCCAGAAAACCTTGTGATGTATATGCTTATGTCAAGGTAAGTTAAGGTAAGTCAAGGTTATGTCAGTAGGTTCTTGTTTGAAAGAAAAAGTTTATTTGCATATCCATACAATACGACTAAAAAGTTCAAATTTTTCTTAATTCCAATAAAACTATCAAAGAGGAATGTGGCGTTTATTGTGACAGCAGTTAAGAGAACGATTGGTGGCAACAATGAATCGAGAAGAAAAGATTCTTCTGGAAGCAGAATATATTCTCAGATGCAAATAGAAAGATACTCTTTTGACAGGTGCTTCTTGTTTTTTCTTCCTTCTTGTCTTTACCTCGTTATTTCTATTATTTCTATATTTTTTTTCTATCCTCACTTTTTTCTCTTTGCTGTTCATTAAATATTTACTTTTAAACCAAATGCATATATCACATAGTTAAGTATGTGCTGTTGTTTATTTTTAAGTATGCACATGACAATTACCATTCAGATTGTTGAGTCCAAGCTTTTTGAGATGGTTGGTACCTAGGTGCTGGTCTTAGGTAAGGCGCTGGAATGTTTGTTCCTTCTGTTAGCGGTAATACAACCCCAAGCTCCCAATTACTATTAAGCAAATCAATGTTAGCTTTTAAATTACTAAAAATACAATTTTACCTTATATTCATTTTAGGCTGTTTAGAGTCTCGAGATACAGTGAATTTACCCCATGCAGATGTAGTGGCATTATGACTCCTAAAATCAACATTTGTAAACACTTGTTGATAATCATTAAATGTTTGTTTACCCGCAGTAAACCCATCCTTTGATGTTAGACGTTGTTTGAGGTAAGGTAGCAATAATATACTACAAAAATTGTTAGTATATCTATAAGCATATAATATCTTGATTACTTTTGAATGCATAAGAGTGCCTTGACGCTGACTTATTGAATCACACATGACCTGCTTTGGAAAAGTTGTTTTTTTCCAGGTACTTTCGCTCAGACAAATAGTGCCTGCTCCCTAGAATAAGTTTTCAATTCACCTTTCTTCCTTATTAAAGCCTGCTTACAGGTAGCCCTAGTTTGCTTGATTCAACTGTATCTTGACTTGGAAAGATAATATCTATTGGGGGCAATTCATTCTTTTTACCAAAAGCAACTTGCTTTCCTTTATCATATGCAGTGATACCACAAAACGATCTATACAGCTCATTCAAATACAAGACTGATAATGAGCCTAATGAGGATGTCTACAGTATGTAAACACAAGTGTAGGTGACTAGCAAACATACCTGCATCTCTATTTTTGGAAGGGATTTAGGGTTTGTAATAGGACCAGTGATTTCCTGTACAACATCTGATAATCGAGTATGTCCATATTTTCTATAATGCTCTTCTCCTTCAAACACACCAGAAACAGAGGCAACAATACGTGCCTAAATATCGACCTTAATACATACTTTTTGTGTTCTATAACAACATACTTTTGCTTTGTCGAAATTATAATTCAGTAATTCCTCCTTAACTGATACTGGCACTTGCATTTGATCAAGTAAATCACAAATGTCTCTAGCAAAGCGAGGGAGCTTCGAAGTCGACTCAAATGGACTGTCTACCTTAGGAAAATCTTGAATAAAGACTACATTTTCTAATTCTTCATAATCATAGCGTTCCTAGAATCAAATTGAATACTTGTCTTTCTATGCCTGTATACAAACCAAATTCGCTGATCCAATTACAACTCTTAGAGAAGTAGCATGAAACAACAGCATAAGCTTAGGATGAAATACACCATATTTATCATCTTTAAGTGGGGGTTGAATAATAATTCGATGTGAATGCACTTGTTTTCTGGTTGCCTAAATTTCATGAATAAAAAAAAAGAGGTACTCTTATGCATGAATAATTACAGGTCGACCATGTGTGACAATGCAAATATTGACATCCGTTGGAAAGCTGTCATTGATAAAGTCCATGCTAACGACAAATGCCGTTACCAACGCTTTTTTCAGATTATGCTACATGGCTTATCAGTAATCATGACCAAGTTCTATTGATCAAACAAACTTTTTGAACAATGTCTTGAAAGCGTATATAATCAGGTCCAACAAAGCCTTTAATATAAGTTAATTTGACCGTACCATCCCAAAAGCGTGTATCTGAATTATTAACGCGTTTTGAAATGGGATATATGGCATCTTCTTCTCTTGGTCTCTTATTGTTTGTTGCAGGTAAGCTGGAGATATCTGCTAACAACATATCTCGAGCTGTAAGTTCTTCTACTTTTTTGCCTAGCGAAGCAGCAATAGCAGACTTGAGGTTGTCTTTTTCTTGTGCTTCTCGAGACATATGTGACTCCAAATTCTCGAGTGAGAGTGCCATGGCTAGAGCCAGCTGTTCATTCTCCTCTACATCGCTCATTTTGACAGCAAAGAGAAAAGATGTAAAGGAGTGTTTTCTACGGACATTAAAATCGATTCATTTTAATCTCAGTGTTCGTTCGGCTCAAGAAGGCACTGCTCCCCTAAGCCCTCAGAGAACTTCCTCTTTTTCATAAACTAAGGTAATGACCACGATAGTCCATGAATCCATTGAATGATCACTAACCATAATGCCATCCATCTTTCAATTCACCATTATTATCTATATCAATCTTTAAATCACCACTTTCAACTTGTAAATTTAATTTTTTCATCACTTTTATACTTCATCCATCCATCCATCCATCCATTATATCAACATACAATAGACTATCATGCCCGCCTTAGGTTTGCCCGCTGATGTCAGTGCCACTGCTGATGGTACCCGCAGATTGTTCAACAAGTGGTCTTACGAAGATGTTGAAGTCAAGGATATCTCTCTCCAAGACTACATTCAAATCCGTCAACAAGTCTACTTGCCCCACACTGCCGGTCGTTTCGCTGTCAAGCGTTTCCGTAAGGCTCAAGTAAGTACAAGAACATGTTTCGCGAAAAGTGTGTTTACGTCTTATCTGGACATTTTCCGCAATGTCAATTATAGTGCCCCATTGTTGAACGTTTGACTAACGCTTTGATGATGACTGGTCGTAACAACGGTAAGAAGCTCATGGCTGCCCGTATTGTTCAACACGCTTTCGAAATCATCAACTTGTTGACTGATGCCAACCCTCTTCAAATCCTCGTTGATGCCATCATCAACTGTGGTCCTCGTGAAGATTCTACCCGTATCGGTTCTCAAGGTACTGTCCGTCGTCAAGCTGTTGATGTCTCTCCTCTCCGTCGTGTCAACCAAGCTATCTCTTTGTTGACTGTCGGTACTAGAGAATCCGCTTTCCGTAACGTCAAGACCGTTGCTGAATGTCTCGCTGATGAATTGATCAACGCTGCTAAGGGTTCCGCCAACTCTTACGCTATTAAGAAGAAGGATGAACTTGAACGTGTTGCCAAGTGTAAGTACAAATCAAAAGTTTGTTTAGCAGTGACTGACGTCTTTTTCTTTAGCCAACCGATAAATTATTTGCTGTTGTATTTTTTGGAGAGAGAGAGAGCGAAAAAAAAGAGAAAACAGAGGAGTTTCCTTTGTTTTGTCTTGGTTTCCTCCTTTTTTGTTGAAAATAAACATCCTCTTTTAAAACTTGTAATTTTTTTAACGGATATATGCACTAAACCATTTAGTTTGTCTTTTCCAAATGAATTGCATAATGATAGAAATGTGTCAGCAATGGCTTGAAATTTCTAGAAAACATCGCAAAGATTGTGATACAAATTTGTAATGATTGCAGCACTAAATCGATCAAAGTTTTATGCTAAAACTGATATGTTATACTCAAATATTTTCCTCTATTCTTTTTTTCAAGAAATAAAGCATGATTTGTAGAGCACGTATCGCATTTTCGGTCTTTGGCTCCTCAATTTTGCTATTTTTATTTCATTTTCAAACGCGACATTGTAACAATACGCGGCCTACCTCTTTAGGAGCTAGACCAATCAAAAAATGGATTAGTAAAGTACTAATTTTGATGAATAAGAACTTTCATGCGGTCATTGCATACTAAAAAAAGACCCTTGTTCCACCATATTTTTGATATAAAAACGCGATCTTTTTCATCTTTTCAGAGACTCTATCACATTATTAAAACATGTCTGCTGAACTCCAATTATATACTTTCAAGTTGTCTCTCTGGGCTGGTGCTGCTCGTTTGGCTGTCAATGAACTCAATATTCCTGGCGTTAAGCAAGTCGAAGTTGACCTTTCTAAAGCTGAAAACTTTTCTCCCGAATTCTTAAAGATCAACCCCAAACACACTATTCCCGCATTAGAAGTGATTGAACACGGTAGCAAGAGATACCTAGATGACACCAAGTCAGTAGTAGAATACTTGGACAAACATACTGGAAACTCATTGAGTCTTCCTGAAAAGCAAGCTGAAATTGATACCTTCTTGAAGGAAATTCATGAAGATGCTGATGTTGGTAACCCTCTTTTCTTTACATCTGGTAATCCCGAAGAATTACAAGCCAAGAAGAACGATGTAGTTCCTTTCTTAGAAAACCGTATTAAGGGTTGGGAGACCTACTCAAAGCAAGCACCTGAACATACTGAACTCTACAATAAAAACATCCAAGAAACAAAGGGTCTTCTCGGCTTCTATACTGGACCTAATCCTCAACCTATGTTCGATCTCAACAAGAAATTATGGGAATCTGGTTCCAAGTTCTTGGATCACGTTGAGTCTCTCTTGAAACAAAATGGTGATTATGTCTTCGGTACCTATTCTGTTGCTGACATCCATTTGACGCCTTATCTTTTCCGTATGTTGTTGGTTCGCAAGCCTGAAGAGGTCTTTGGTAACCGTCCCCATTTGAAGGCTTATTACGAGCGTGTTCAATCTCGTCCTAGTTTCAAACAAACCTTTGCATAAATTGTATCATAGTGTATTTAGATAATCCAAATAAATAAAGCGTGTTTAATCTAAAGTTTGTTGTACAGGTGTAACATATGATATCACAGTAACCATAATTTATGTTGGTAAGCATTGAGCGCTTATTTGTCATTGCAGCCAAAAAAAAATCATAGTGTGTATCACCAATATTCATTCTTCAGTCATAAGTGCATAGGCAATACTGCTCAGTTGCTTGCAATTTGAGCATGCAACTTATCAGTAAGAACGATGACTAAAACAAATAAGAAACTTTCTTTTGTAGATACCTATTCAATCAGTTTAAATATGATAATGTACTTCCTTTTTTCTAGGCATAAAAAATAGTGCAAAGCATACTTATGCATGATCGAATGTGTTGAATGTCTAGAAGCAGCATCAATTAGCATATGTGGTACTTCTGAAGTCGACTTGAACAAAAAAAAAAAAAAGCGACATGTCTTAACTGGCCAAAAATCACTGTTTTCATGACAAGGAGTACTGTTGATACGGACAAACCATTATCAATTATTGTAAGCTACACAGACATTGACTACTTATTAAATAAGTTTCTGTTTCTCTGGCTTTTCTTTCTCATGTGGCTTGAGTCCATAGCCGAGGAAATTGCTCTATCGCATGATCTTCGTTATATTACGGAAAAGAAAGCTTCTGTAGATTTCAGAAAATAAAACATGTCAAAAGAAGTGAAAATATAAAAAGAAAGAGAACTTTCTGACAGGTAAGAAACTGTAAATGAATAAACAAAATCGACAATGTAACGCTTAAATGTTAGAAATGATGAATAAAAATTTGGAAATTATGTGAAAAAATAGTTGAAATATTGAATGTTTATTTAATTTAAATTTTTAATGAAAGTATCTCTGTATCAAATCTATGATTTTCCTCATGAAAAACGCGAATTCAAGACAAAACACGCGCATCTAAATTTACATTTAAAAATAACGATAGCAGCATTAAGAAACAAATGAAAAATATGGGCTTCTATTTAGAATAAAAAAAGTCAAAATAGAATATTTCTCTCTAAACAAATAAAAAAATGATTTGAAAAAAAAAATGTCAAAAACAAATATTTTATATATGTAATCCAATGGACGTAATGGTCAAACGAAGATACTAGCCAAAGAAACAGTCGAAAGACATATAGAATTGGAAATGAAATTTGTCGAGAGATTGACAATCAAAGCATGAGATAGATCTCAGAATTCATATTTGACATGATGTTCTATTTTGAGCTTTATGGCTAGAGACTACTCAAGTCTTGCCATGCATTATTAAGTAATCATTTGAAAACCAACTCTGTCGAGAAATACGATGTAATATACACAAGAGATAGCTGATAGGCATCATATTTCATAATGTTGCATAACATGTTTTAAAGACAGATTCAATTGTCTATAAGCAAATAGTTTCAGGGTTGAAATAGTATCATGGCAAGCCCTGAATAATAATAATAATAGAATAACAGTGTAAAAAGTACACATGGCGCGTGGAAAGCAACATTTAATATTCTGGGCATTAGATAGCAAGCACTCTTATTAAATAAAATATTCTCGTTGCATCTTTAGACCCTATGCACTAGAATGATTAACTTTATCTAAGGTACTAAATCAATCAGACCTCCTCTTGAGCTATTATTAAATGCATAACTGTGCTTTTATCGAAATACAAACCAAGAGATATTCAGAATAGCTCCAAACTCAAAAAGGGCTATATAAATAAGTTTTAGATAACCATTCCAAACTGGATACATGTTCTAAGGCTTTGGTGACATGAAAGCCACAAAAAATGCAATAAGGGACCAAAAGAATACCGACAAGGAAAAAATGCACTCGTAAAACGTATCTGGGCTGCAGTATATAAGCTTGTCCTTTCATGAAATAAAAAAGGAATAGCAAGGAATAGTAAGGAATAGCACGGATGAGAGAAATAATAGAAAAAGTGTATGTGTTTTGGATTTCCAAATTAATTTGCTCCTTAGTGTAATGGATTTATAAAAAAAATTCTTAGTTTTTTTTTTTTTTTTTTTTTCTTTTTTTTTTTTTTTTTTTTTTTTTGTAAATTTATGCAAATTTTATCGAATTTTTTGTCAAAAATTTGACAACAATCTTTGCTTTTTTCTTTTTTCTTAACCTGATTTCTTTAAAATTAAAGATCAAAAGTGAAAGAATTCTTCACTCACTAAAGGAAAACCTTGGCCAAATTTTCACTCAAAAATGAAAGATTTCTTCCATCGATGGAAGAATGCAATCGCTTACGCTGTGGTGAGAGTGTGTTTTCTTTACCTAAAAATAATTGTTTTCCAGAGATGTTTCTCTGTTGATACTAATAGCACACTTGCACATTGGTATTAATTTGACAAATTAATACTCAAAGTTTGTTGATTTGTTAGTTGTATAGAAAAGGTCCTTTTGAATACATAGCCCAATGTAGTCTTTGACTGTTTGTACTTGATAAATTCATAAAAATGACTATGCTAAGCCAAAATTGCTTTGAGAGAATAAGGCCAAAAAAAGGAAGAGAGAGGAAAGTGTTAATCTAATGATGTGTCTGGGCGCGGATTTGTAATCAGAGACGAGATGGAAACATTTGGTTGGACATTGGAGGGAGTAGGTTATTTGTGATAACATGTTACATGGAGGTGCTTTGGGATAAAAGCAAATGTATAGAGGTTCATTTGGTACTCCAATAAAGTGCAGAGCGTGCAGTCTTAAGTATTTATGTAAGCAAGCAATTTTCAATCCTCTGAAAGACAAAGAGCTTGGTCAAGGGCACTTTTGCATTCTCTAAAGCCACCTTGAGCAGTGTCTAAGGACGATGCTTGGCTTCGGAAGAGTTTCTGATGCACATTTCAAGCGTCTTTCTGGAAGTAGTATTCAGAGCGGTTAGGTAGTAATTGACTGGATCAGTCGGGTAGCCCTTCTCATGAATTGGGGCTACTTGTGCGAGTCGTCAATAGCGAGGCATGTATGGCCAACGCCAACACAGATCAGAAATATGAAAATCCAAGTGGGAATTAAAGCTTCTGGCATGTATATAAAAATCAAAGCCACAGCCATAAACAAAATCACAGTAAGAGCCTTAGATGTCAGGAACTTTTCATGAATACAATGGATTTACAAAACATTTAAATTTCGCTAAAATTTATGCCGACTTACAAGTATGCCATTTGTATACTCGAAAAAATATTTTTTGTTATATTTTAAAGTAGTGTTTCTGTCTAAAACAACTCCAAAGGCACCGTTTATATGATTAAAAATTGTTTCTAGGTACCTAACGTATTTATGCGTGCATAAACAGGTCTTAAAGCACCTTCATTTGCCTAAGAAAAAGAACAAGGTCTGCATGAATTGCTATCTTTTTTTCTTTTTCTACTGCTAAAGCGTTTATTTGTCTAGAGTCTTTAATACATGAATAAGATATGTACTATCAAGTAGCTTATTTGAATGGAATGCCCTGATAAAATAAAACACCTGCTTCACCTAAATACATAAATAAATAAATAAAAAACTGATATGTGCTCATAAGAGTGTCAAAGTATTGGAAAATTGTATGATGCATTAAATCTGGTTCAGATGACTATATATTACCTATATTCACAGCTCTAATTTCTATTAATTGCTTTATCTATAGTCAGGATACATTCAACTCAAAAAGTACAGTTTTATTTGCATGATTTGACACAATTACTCTAATGGGCAAACATCAACTAACAAATGTTCTACATCTAATTAAGCGGTCATTTCCTTATTGATAAAATGTTTTAAAGTAGATAGAAAATAATAGGTATCAACCTGTCAATCACACTGAACTGATTGGAGATCGACTGGCTCATCTAATGCAGATCCTTGTACAGCAGTAGTTAGTAAATTATCTGGACCAATTCTACTATTTGTGAAATAAAGTTTCTTGAAAATTATGCTGAACCCTGACAATTCATCTATACATATGAATCTGTTGTTGACTCAGTAAACCGCATTCTTTGTTTGATCCTGATCTTTTCATTCTTATTTTGACATTAATAAGTTAGCAAGAAATAGTATGGGTGAGCATGAATGAACACGTGCGATCATGAGTGAGCATACGTAATCATGGATGACCCTGGGTGATCATGAATGGGCATAGACGAGCAGAATGACAGAAAAAACGTATGTGTTTTGGATGTTCAAAATCAATTTGCTCCTTAATGTAGTAGACTTATAGAAAATAATTCTTTGTTAGTTTTTTGGCTGTATTTTGACAAGACTTTATCATTTTTATCATTTTTTTCTTAATTTAATCTAATTCTCTTAAAGTTAAAGACATTAAAGCGTAGACGATAGAAGGGAAATGTTGTGGTGAGAGTGTATTTTCTTAAGCTGAAAGTAATTGTTTTCCAAAAATGTTTTCTGTTGACACAAATAGAGTACTTGCGCATTGATATTGGTTTTGTCAAGTTCATAACTAAAGTTTGTTAACTTATTAATTTCATGGAAAAGCTTCTTTTGAGCACATGGCCCAATGTGGCCTTTGACTGCTAGGACTCGATCAATTCATAGAAATGGCTATACTAAGTTAAAGATAGACTAAAAGAACAAGGGTAAAAAATGAATAGAGAGGAGAGTGTTGACTTAATGGTGTGTATGGGCGTGGGTTTATAACCAGAGAAGAAATGGAAACATTTGGGTTGAATATTGGAAGGAGTAAATTGTTTGTAATGGTATGTTGCATAGAGATGATTTGGGATAGAGGCGAGCGTATAGAGGCTCATTTGGTACTCCTACAAAGTAAAGAGCTGGTAGACTTGAGTATTTTTGAGAGAACAATTTACAAATCTCTGAAAGACAAAGAGCTTGGCAAGAGGCACTTTTGCATTCTCTGAAGCCATCTTGAGCAGTGTCGAAGGACAATGCTTGGCCTTGAAGAAGTTCCCTGATGTATGTTTTGACCGTTTTCTGGAAGTAGCAGTCAGACTAGTTAGAAAGTAATTGACTGGATCAGTCGGGCTGCCTTTCTCATGAATTGAGACTACTTGTGCGACTTGTCAACAGTAAGGCGTGC